ATCGGCCACTGTAGCAGCTTCCTGGTTTGGCAAGGCGTACGCTTCCGCCCACTTGCTAAAGTAGTCCATTACAACAATGATGTATTTATTTCCAGATTCTGTTTCCGGAAATGGACCCGCCACGTCGATTGCAATTCTCTCAAATGGGCTGCCCACATTGTACTGTCGCATTGGGGCTTTTGGGCGCTTCTGGGGTCCATTGCTTGCCGCGCAAACGGCGCACTTCTTGCACCATTCCTTCAAATCTCGTTGACTGTTGACCCAATAAAACCGTTCCCTAAGTCTTCTGAGCGTCCTGGTCACCCCAAGATGTCCTCCAGTAGTTCCATCATGGATTTCCTGCAGCACTTCTGGTATCCTGTTTCTGGGGATTATTATCTGCTTCCGGTCTTCCCCCCCTTCTGACATCTCCAGAACGCGTTTTAGAAGTCCGTCCCTTAAGATGATGGAATTCCATTGGGCCCAGTACGATTTCACATTCGGCGAATATTGGGCGACTTCCTGCCACGTTGGTTTATGGTCGTTCTTTTTCCAATCGATGATGAGCTTCAAATCCGGGTCCCTTTCCTGGTCTTGTTGAACCTCAGCGGATTGCCAATGATCATCTACGATTGTAGTCCTGCGAATATACACATCCTTTTCTTCGGCCCTATTTATTTTTCTAAATGAAGTCGGCGCCACCTGACTTCCTCTGCAACGACTTTGTATATGTCCCAGCTTTCCACATCTCCAACACCGGATTTCCTTCTTCTCTGGTAAATTCTCCTTAAGAACTCGCCTAATTGCTTCAATTATCCTGGGTTCTTCCTTCTTTTCTTCTTCGACTCTCCTAATTCTAGGCTGGCTCCTGCAGCTCTGCTTTGCCGCCTCGAATTCCAAAGCTCGAGCCAAGGCATCAACCAGTTGGCTCGGACGAGCCAATGTCAGAGCCTGCCTTGTTTCATTGTCTCGAAGTCCATCCAAAAAGGCTTGAACCGCTAATCGTTCCATAACGGTCGTTGGAGTAGCTGGATATGCTAGCCGGACCAAGCGTGCAATATCAGCCTCGAATTCTTGCAAAGTGTCGTTTGATTTCTGGCAGCGGTTCTTAAGTTGGGAATGGTAGACATGTTCCAAATGTGTCTGGCCATATCGATGTTCCAGATGTTTCACCAACGCTTCGTAATCTTCTTGATCGTTGGGAGAAAGCGTCTGCAAGATGTCCGTTGCATCTCCGCGTAAAGCCAGAGTCAATGCTATAGCCTTCTCTTCTGGTAGCCAGCCATTTGCTTTTGCTGCTGCCTCAAACTGACGGATGTAGTTGGTCCAAGAAGTTTTTCCATCAAACTGAGGTGGTTTCATCCGGACTCGGCTCCCCTCCTGCACTGTTCCTGGTTCCGCCAGCATCATGGGTAGATTTACAGCTGTCAGTTTACTATTTATTTCTTTAATTTTGACTTCCAATTTCTCGTTCAATTTTTCTTCTCTTGTATCTAATTTCCTCCTTACGTCGTCAAATTTCTGTCCTACTTTCTCTTCTAATTCATTTACATTATCTAGAATCTTCTGTTCCAAATATTCTTTTAAATGTTTAGAATTTTCCAGTATTTTCTGTTGTAAATCATCCTTTAAATTGTTGGAATTTTCCACCATTTTCTGTTGCAAATCCTTAGAATTTTTTAGCATTTTCTGTTGCAACTCGTTAGAATTTTCCAAAATTCTCTGTTGTACATCGCTAGAATTTTCCAACATTTTCTGTTGCAACTCGTTGGAATTTTCCAGAATCTTTTGTTGTAATTACAAGTAAATCGACTTTTAAATCGCTAGAATTTTCCAACATTTTCTGTTGTAATTCGTTGGAATTTTCTAGCATTTTCTGTTGTAAGTCGTTAGAATTTTCCAGAATGTTCTGTTTTAAATCACCTTTCAAATTTTGCAACAATAAATGCATATCACACGATCCTTCAAATAAATACGTATCTGGATTTTCACCCTCTTGTTCCAAAGCTTCTCGAAGCCGCTGCTGCAACACATTCTTTTTTCCAGTTGTTTCATATTCTCTTTCTTCTAGCTCCCGCTTAAGGTCCGCCACTTTTAAGTCCATTAACGAAACCATTTTCGCGAAATTTCACACTAACCGCACTCCTGACACCAATTGTAACGTTTTTACTGTTCGTAGTGTGAATTAAAACACGCACTGGTTAATTAACGAACTAAACTATTTATTTAATAACTTAACTAAACTTAAAACACTATAAAACTAACTAAAAACTTAACTACTAAATATTTATATCACTACTAGTTTATTTATTTGCACTTATATTTATTTATTTCTTCGCGAGTACCAAAGCTCAACTGACTACCCTGTGCTGCTCCGTTTCTTATATATTTAGCGCCCAAGTCTTCTGGAACATTCCAGCGAGCTCCACACTCTCGATTATTCGAGCGCTGAGTCACCGGCGATGACTCACCGGCGATGACTAACCGGCGATGAGTCATCACTCCGATATCCAGAGCGGTACTCGCTACAATATTATTAGATAAATAAATTAATTTTAATATAAAATATATATTATTGCACGCCAAAATAAAGTACGACAAAAAAGTATCGCACATCAAAAGATAGTATTGCATGCAAAAATAGAGTACTTATTACACGTGGCCTAAATTGTCTTAGTCGTAGTTTGGCAGGACACCGATCTTAATAGGCTTTACTCTATTTCGTCGGAAAATGTCTGGCGTGCAAACACTCTTCCCTGGCGTGCAGTTATATACCCTGCTCAACAATTGAACTGGATAATTATAATTATCCATTATATTTTAATGTAATAATGTTGTTAAGTCAATCCCATTCTGTATGTTGTGCTCGATGTTGTGTATAACACATCTACAGTAAACATTTTTAAAATTTTTTTGTTTAATTTTGTTTTTGGTACTTTGTTAACATAAATATGTAGAAATATGGTTTCAAAATTATAACCTTTTAGTGAAGAAGAAGTTCTTGTACCGCCTTCAAGACGAGCTACAAATACACGGTTAACACCGGGGCAACGTGCATGCAGATATCGTTGGCACAGAACACCAAAATTGGAATTTTTAAAATTTGAAGTATTGTCTTTTTTCTGGCAAGTCAAGATTCCGTTTGTATACGTGTGACAGTGATACAACGTCATCAACCTCCCCAAATATTGCAACACATGGCCAATAAGTTGCATGCAATCTTGCAAAACATACTCCAAGACTTTATTAATAATTTGATAATGAGTCTTCCAACCAGGGTAAAAGCATTAAGGCAAGCCATGGGTTCTACACGATATTAAACTTTTACAGCTGGTGTGAATACCAGCTTTTACTTTCGTTTTGATACCCGGACAACATTCGTGATATTCATACGAACATCATGTCGTGATTTTCACAAATTTTATTCATACTGATATCATACGGAAGTCACCGCGTGATAAATGAAAATCATAAGAACGTCACGTCGTGATTTTCACAAATTTTACTCATACGGACATCATCCGGATGTCACTGCGAAATAAAAATCATGTCGTGATTTTTTATGCCAACGGTGTTTGGATAATCATTTTTGCGCCACGTTCGTACACTAAGAGAAAAATTATGTTGAATCAACAGTTTTGCGGTTAAATACATTTAATATTTTCTTGGATTTAAATAAACTATACATAGTTAATTTAAATCCAAGAAAATATTGAATGTTAAACTGTTGATTCAATTGTTAACATACTTTTTCTTTTAATGTACGAATGTGTCGCAAAAATGAATATCCAAACACCGATGGCATAAAAAATCATGTCGTGATTTTTTATGACCAAACACCGATGGCATAAAAAATCATGTCGTGATTTTTTATGCCATCGGTGTTTGGATATTTATTTTTGCGCCACATTCGTACATTGAGAGAAAAAGTATACCTACATATATTGAATTAACAGTTTTTATAGTTAAATACATTCAATATTTTTTTGGATTTAAATTAATAGTTAATTTACATCCAAGAAAATATTAAATGTATTTAACCGCAAAAACTGTTAATTCAATTGTTAACATACATTTCCTCACAATGTACGAACGTGGCGCAAAAATGATTATCCAAACACCGTTGTAATAAAAAATCACGGCATGATTTTTTAGGCCATCGGTCAATCGCAAACAGCGATGACATAAAACTCACGACATGATTTTCATTTCTCACGAAGTGATGATGTCCGTATGAATAAAATTTGTGAAAATCACGACGTGACGTTCGTATGATTTTCATTTATCACGCGGTTACTTCCGTATGATATCTGTATGAATAAAATTTGTGAAAATCACGCCATATGATGTTCGTATGAATATCACGAATGTTGTCATTCAATTAAAAAAGATATTCCAATGTTTAACAAAACGTTCACGTTTTGTTAAACATTGAAATATCTTTTTTCATTGAACCCGGACAACATTCGTGATATTCAAACAACGTTTTATAAATTATAACGGTGTAATGTGAATAACAAACTAGGTTTTAAATTCGCAGTTCGCAGGGCTCATACGCATGCGCAAATTTTGCAAATATCAAACCGTGAGTTCTACATGATATCACTGTGATGAAGCATGTGTATGCACTAAGGATATCACAGCGTGATAAAAAAAATCACGTTGTGATATCATCATGACTTCACCAGGAAATCCCGATTATTGTCCGGGTACTTTTCTTATATTTGTATATTTTACTTTAATTACACATTTCTTTAATTTTAATAAATGTTTTTTTTATTTCTTTTCTGGTATCATAACTTTCATCAGTATACTATTATTTAGTGCAGTAGAATTTTTTTATTTGAAATATTTTAAAATTCTTCTTATATCCATTTCAATTATAAGCAGTGTATTTCTCTTATTTAAATTTTAACTAAATAAAAATTGTATTCTAATATTAGGCAATTTTAAGCACTATTGTAGTCTGGGTTGCATATAAACATAATTTCATCATTTGACAACACTGCGTAGCTTTTTTTCAACAGTTTGAGTTAAACCTCCAACACCGCTTTATTGACATTTAAAAGTTCATCCCGGTAATTACTCAAAATATAACAATTCTGACACATTTATTGAACGACACGTAATACAATCATGTCCACACAAAAAATTGCCTTGGTAAGTTTGCAAATTAACCTTAAAATATATTTCAAGTCGTTTAATCGTTAATTTTAGGTGACTGGAAGCAACAAGGGTATAGGGTTTGCTATTGTAAAGGGGCTATGCGAAAAATTCGATGGGGCTGTTTATTTAACGTCGAGGGATGAAGGCAGAGGTGAAAAAGCTGTAAAAGAGTTAAACAAACTCGGTTTAAAGCCTCTATTTCATCAACTCGATATTAACTCTCAAGAAAGTGTTAATAAATTAAGGGATGATTTAAAAAATGTCCATGGAGGAATTGATTTATTGATAAATAACGCAGCTATCGCCTTTACTGTAAGTAATTGTTTTTGGAAAAAAACTTTTTACTCCTTAATTGGCAGATTTAATTACCTACTTAATAAATGCAAATCACATGCATGACTAACAAATAAATATTTATATATTTTTTATTGTTTAAAATATGATACAATTTTAATTACCAATTATTTATATATTGAAATATGAGTAAGAAATGAGCACTTATTATTCTAGAACGATTCAACTGAGCCTTTTGAGGTACAAGCCCAGGAAACAGTGTCTGTCAATTATTTCAGCACTCTAAGATGTTGTGAAGCCCTGTTTCCTTTGCTTCGCCAAAATGCCAAAGTGGTGAATATTTCGAGTTCTTCGGGACACCTTTCCAGAATTCCATCGGAATCTTTAAGAAGCAAATTTAGCGATCCAAAATTAACAATTCCAGAGTTAAATAAGTTGATGGAGAAATTTGTTCAGTAAGTAAATATGCATTATTATTTTGTTTGATTTTAACTTAAAAAGTAATGTCTATTTTTTTTTAATTTATTGAATAGCAAACAAAAGAAGTTTTATAACAATATTACTATCATTATATAAATAAATCCCAAATTTTTTAATTGTATAAACTATAGTTATTATAGTTATGGTTATATTCGTTTTTTGAAAATGTGTTGCAAATGGAAATAAGTATGACCTTTTGAAAAATCACTCCTCAGTTATACTATAGTAATAATTTTAATAAATCAACAATAAAAAGTTTAATGTGTTCTTTAACAATTTTATATTTGTTATTTTATTATAATAATTTTATATCAAAATTTAAAAATAGTGATACTGCAAAAATCACAATTGATTTTGACCTTATCTAATATTTTGAACCTTATACTACTAAAACTAAAAATAAATACTGTTCAGTAATGGATATCTTGGAATCATTTATTGCAGATTCATAAATAATACAATTTTTTTTCAATTAAGTACCTACTTTTTCTAAATTGATAAGCAGCAATCTTAAGTTTAACAAAATCAATTAAATTTAAACGTTGATTTTTTTATTAAGATATAAATAAAAACACAGAACATAAATGTGTATTTACCTAAATTTTAATAAGATTTGTTAAAAGCGTTTTGCAGTTTTATTAATAATTTTTTATATATTTTTCTCTGGTAATTTTTAACCATTATTTTATACATATTTTATTGTTTTGACCTTTACTTCATGACACAGTGTTTGTTTTTATCTAGTTATACATTAGTATTATTTAATACTGTGCACACTGTAAAATAATGGTTTAAAATTACAAGAAAAAATATATAAAAATTTGTTGGAAAAATAATTTAAGGGTAGGTATTCGTTTTTTATTTTAATAACCGCGTACCCACTGCATTTTATTTTTAAAAGGTTATATAATTCTTTAATGTAGGAGGTAACATTATATTTGATGCAACTTAAGTTTAATTTTAATCTCCCAAACTTCATATTGAAAATGTAATTTAACATTTGCAAATTTACCTATGTTAAAATGTAATCATTTTTTTGTAATCAATTTTTTTCAAAGCTCAATCTTTCTAAATTTACCATTTTGTCAATAAAAAAGTATAATATTTAATACTTTCTATTTAAATTAAAGGTGTTGATTTTATATCCCTTCTATCTGCTTTTATTGTAGAGGGCGCCAGTCATAGTTGTATCATGGCGCCAGTGATAAATGCAAATGTCAAATTGCTAGTTAGTTCTCTATTGTTTGAAATGATTAGGTGGTAAATTTTATCATTTGTTTTCCATTGGCAAATTTACTTGTATGTATGTATTGAAAGTTTTGTTGATTTTAAATAGTAAATTTTTACATAAATAATACATAATTTTACTATATAAAACTAAGAATGGACAAAAGGGACAATTTTGTTATTTTTTTTGTTTTTCCAGTATATGTTGTACCTATCTAGTTTTCAAAAAATATAAAGTTCAAAATAATTTTTAAGGTTTTACAAGCTGCAAAGTCAAAAAACATATCTCTGTCCAAAAATGTTAAAATTTAAAAGTAAAAAAATGCCCATAAAAATATTTAAGAAAAAAATCTTAAAGACATAGATAGACAGAGGAGTTATTTTAAGTATAAAAATTCCAAAAAATATTTTTAACAAATGGGTTATTTTTGTGGTTTTAAAAAATTGAATTTTATTTTATTGTTTAAAATCTTAACTATTTATAGGTATTAATTTTATACTATAAAAGGATTAAAAACAATTTTCTATTGACCATTCAAAAGTTAGAATTAGTGACTTGAAAGTTTTTTTTGCCACAAAATATATCTGTCAATTTCATATAAAGCTTATATGATTTGTTTTCAGAGGAACCATATTATGATGTTGATTATTTTTCAGTTCATAAAACACGTGTATATTTTTTAGACCTAACTCTAAGTTAATAAAAGAATGTATGCAATTTTGTATAAATATATTATATTTTAATCGGGAAAATTTGGTAGTCGATAGAACTCGTAAAAATGGTTTATATGGACTTGTCTGGTTTTAAGCGTTGTTTTCGTGTTACAGTCAATAAAAAAAATATGGTCACGCCACTGCATTTTTTTAAGTTTAATTTATATTAAGATTTTTCAATTATGCCCTTTGCATTTTCCTATCTTAATTTTCAAGAAAAAAATTAAATTTGTGTATCCGCTCGTTACCATAATTTTTCTAGGGGCGAGCAAGTAAACGAATTTTATTTTAGAAGAAGAAAAAATGCAGAAGACAAAAAAGTACCCAAATTCAATTTTTAAATATCTTTAAATATCTAGTTGGGATGCCCCAGCGCCGCTTTGGATTAACTAAATTTAATTTAATTACATTTAATCAAGCCCTTTGCCTGTTACTAAAAATAAGAAGATTATATTTAAGAGCTTTATTCTGTACAGTGTGTCCCAAAAGTCAACGGTATCTTTTGGAGACTCATGACTAATCAGAATAAAAAAAATAAAACATGACCCTATAAAAAAATTTCGACGCCTGAGATCTGTTTTTCAAGTGCCACAGCTACGAAATTCCCTGTTCTAAGATTCTAGTTTTTGTTTTGCAACCCTGAATATTGCTATTGATTACAGTTTAAAATTAAGGTCATGTTTTAATATTCTGTTATGAGCTGGGCCGAAGGGTAAAGATAAATTCCTCATAAATTTTGGCTTTAAAACCCGAATTTACCTTAACCCTTTTGGGCCGCCAATTTTGGGATACCCTGTAAGGATTTGATCATTTCAGAAAAATATAGATAAAATAAAAATTTGTAAAATCTTAAAACTTTTTATCAGAGATGCCAAAGACAACAAAAATAAAGAAGAAGGCTGGGGAAGCAGCGCCTACGTTGTGTCAAAAGTCGGCCTTACAGCTTTGACAATCATCCAACAGAGGGAGTTTGATGCCGAACAGCCAAACAGAAACGTCATGATCAACGCTGTGCACCCAGGCTACGTTGATACCGACATGACCAGTCACAAGGGCCCTCTGACTATAGAAGAAGGCGCCAGAGCCCCCCTTTATTTAGCCCTTGAAGCCAGTTTGAAGGGGAAATATGTTTGGTTCGACTCGCAGGAGGTTAATTGGTATGGGGAGAATACCCCATCTCTTGGTTAAGTGTGAAAGTTTTGTTTTTTTTTTCATTTTTAATACGCAATTATTACTTATATTGTAACTTAACACCAAAGTAGATAGAAATTATTCTTGTATTTTAATAGGTCAATAAAAAGGTTTATTTTAGATTTTGTTTTTTTCATGTAAAGGGGACAGTGTTGCCAGAGGTGGTACTTGCTCATAGTGGGTAAGTTGCAAGTTGGAGACTGTTCGAACTTGGGCTCCAAAGTTGCAACCAATTAAAAAATATTAGATGAAAAGTTACTATAATAATAATTTTTATTGTATCATTTTTCTTATTTTAAAAACCTATTTTTTCTTTTTCTTAATAGATATTTATTTTTGTTATAAAATATAAAATAAAAGTAATACAGAGTTTTATTAAATATGGAGGGCCTGGCAACCCTATATATTATAATTTGCAAATTAAAACACAATAAAAACCAGTACCAATACACATATTTAGTCCGGTACCAAATTTTGTGATATTGAGGAAAATTAATAAAATATAAGGTAGGTAATGTATCTAAAACATTTACAAAAATGTATTAAAAATGTTGTGAAAAAATATTGTATAAATATAAAAAAGTGGGACATCTAAATTACCTAAAAACATTTTAGAGGCATTTAAATAATAATGACTAATATTTTTAATATATTTTTGTGTTATGTGGGGCTGTGCAAATCAATCTAAAATAAGATGGATTGCCTATTTCTTCACAACCTCTTTAACATGGGTATCAAATGAAAGGGTTTAACGAGTAAAAAACGATAAGGTAATTACAAATTTTAAAAAATTACAAAATTTCCAAAATATAATATAATAATTTTAGCGTTACTCATACTTACATAAATCATATGCATTCAAATAAATACTTAAAAGGGTTTTATGTATTTTAGGGATTTTTATTTGGTAAGTATTTAAAAAATAAAACACAATAATTTGTATACTATAGTATATTGCTTACAGTACTTGTCAGATACATAAGATGAAATGAAATATATACAAATGAAGATAAAAAATGAGGCAACTACAAAAAAATACTGATTATGAAATTGAGTGTCTTGGATATTATATAATTGATAACTAAATTGATATGAATTTGTTCCTAATATTTAAACAAAGCAACTTTAAATTGCTAGAATAATAAAATTATTTTCTAGCCATTTTAAGTGGATATGATGTAGATATATTTGTATCATTGAAAAAACAGAAAACGGACTGTATAACTATTATTTAAGTATTTATTTTTATAACACGTTTGATGCAAAAGCATAAATATTTGTTTAAATAATAAGTATGTATGCACATTTTTTGTTTTTTCAACTATAACAATTATGTTAACTTAAAAGTCTAACAGGGTGTAACAGAACGAAATATAATTTTTATTATTAACTTAATTTTTAACGCATGGTAAAAAAATAAACCATCAGGTTTTTTGTACTACAATCGCCTAAAATGTTTTGATTATCACCTTTCTGGAACACACTGTACAAAATTTTATACAAATATAAGTAACTATTTGTTACAGTCTTACCAGTACTATGGTTATTTATTATTGAATATCCTATAATGCTTAGAGTGGGTTAAAAAACCTTTACAAGTTCAATCAAAATAATATTATTTGACAAAAATGTTATTTTTATCATATTTTTCAATGTTCACTCCCAAAATATAATAACTTACTCCATTATTTTTATAGTAAAAAAATATTTGTAAAAGTTAGGAATTATTGGTTTGATTAAAGCTCTTAACTATACCTTTATGATTTTTAGAATGTTAATAAAAACGACCAAATTAATTATTAAAATAAAGTAAATTAATTTGCAAACTTTTAAAAATGTCATTCATATGAAACAGTTTTTATGGCATTTTTTTATGGCATATTTTTCTTAAAAGTTTAATAATCTCAAAACTAGCACCTTGTATGTGTGGGATTGTCTGATAAACTTCAACTAATTAAAAAGTATTAAATTTAAATCGTAAACTTATTTTTTATCACAATAAGAAATAAAGAGAAGGTACTAAACTAAAGTTTATATTTCAATAAATTATTATTGAATGAAATATATGTTTTAAATGCTGATCAGTTCTGTAAAGAAAATGCCTTCATAAAAATAAATAAAAACTAAAATGGCACATTTTTAAAATTAATACTGCCCAATCAACTAAATTTGGCACAATATGAACAAAAGAAAATACAGTGTATTAAAATTACCTAGATATAATATATAATATATATTATATTACCGAAAATTACTATTTTGGAAACACGCTGTATTAAAAATTTAGTTTAAATATTGCCTAGTAAATAAAAAATCGTGATCAACACAATATTTGTTATTTTCGTTAATAAACGCTTCACTATAATTAAATTTGTAACACTTATATAACAAAACTGTTAACTTAATTTCAATTATTCAATATTAAACAACTTTTTGTCTCTTTACACGCACATTTCCATATCTTCAATGTTTATTGTTGTGTCTCCGTTAACTAATTTCAGTAGGGTTTTTTTAATCCTAAGCGCGGGCAGGCGAACGTTGGGGTTTTGATGCCAGCATTCCCTCATTAATTTGGCCATTCCGCTAAGTATCTATAAGAAAAAATCAGCGGGTTCGTTGTATTCTCCAAGGTGTATTCATGTTTTACATACTCAAAGGGTTAAGGCAGGGGCGTATTGGCCCTCTAGACACCGGGAAAAATCCCGGACTTAATCGTACGATAATATTAAATAGACAATAAATAAATAGCAAATTTAAATTAATTAGATTAACACAGTACTGGCTACTCGAGTTGGGTGGAGCGAAATATGAATACGTTTAGAATTGAATACGCCTGTATATAGAATTTTTATGCATGGTAACTTTCTTTCACCGCCCCAAAGCCATTTAAATATAAAAATTATATTATTCAGACGGAGGTAATTTTTTTTTTCGAGCAAATATTTTTATAATTAATTTTTACAAAATTAAGTATTCTGATTTTCAAAAAAAAGCAGGTCCCGCCTTTTAAAAATATAAATATTTTCATATTTCAGATTAAGCGCCGATTTGGTTTGTTTTTCTTTTTTAATTTTGGAAAACTTTCTTATGTTTGAAATAAACATTTTGGAGAAAAAAATTATATCTGAGCTGGGGCAAAAAATGGTAGTAATATAAATATAATTTTTTTTAGCCAAGTTGTTTATTTTAAGCATACTTTTCCAAAGGTGATCACTTTTTTCAAACAAAAAAAACAAGCGAAAAGGGCGGACCCCTGGTCAATGTCAATTATGAAAATTGACCGAAGGCCCCTTATTTAGCGTGTTTTTTTTTTGTTTAAATTAGGCGTTTGCAATTTTAAAAATATTCATAATTCGCTCCGCCCTACTGAACAAGTGCGTTTTCCGCCTCGCAGTTTGCTTGAAGTTTAAATATTTTTTAACAGATTTTTATTTTATTATTTTATTCCAACCAAGCATTGTATGACCTTTTGAACCATTTTCAGCAAAACTTGTAAACTGTTGACTTTAGAAAAAAAATTGAATACATTTTTGTAGGAAATTTAGTTTTCCACAACTGAGGTCATATAACTTTAATCTCTAAAATTAATATTTTAAGAGATATATCGTCGCGTGATATCCACATTTTTTCAAGTACAGTAGAGCAATGTTTATAGTTGGCATTAAGGCAAATATTGGTATTATTTATATTGAAACTACTCAAATTGAAAACTCTATAAACATTTTGAAAACACTAACCATGTCATTAATCAAAATAATATAACGCGATTTATAGTGCTAGCACATAGCTATGTTAAACTTTTATTGGTAATTAAGTTAATAGCAAAAAAGAACAATTAACAAATTAAACACACACACATATATATATGTGTTATTTATGCATGTAGTTTTATTTAAAAGTAATAAAATATGGATTTAAAAAATAACTTTAACTATAATAGTTAAAGTTATTTTGTTCCTTAATTTTGTGCTTCACAGTATTAATTCAACAATGCTTTTATGTAATCCTTATCTTCAATGCACATCCATTTATAAGAAAATTATATGTTCTTTAACTTCCAAAACCGTAGCTTATATAAATAAAATCTGTCACAGTACTGACAGGGGTACACAGATTAAACTTGAAACTTCATTGACTTAATGATTATCTTAAGGTCAATAGCAAATATTTGCTATATACTAAATGATGCAGTTGGGGTGCAAATCTTAATTTTGACCAAAAGTGTACTTAGAACCATGTGGTACTCACGCTACGATATACGAAATCAAAATTTAAAATTTTAGTAAAATGACAGATTAATGGTTTTATAATTAATAATAATAATAATAATGTGTTTTCACTTATTTTATTTGTTAGGTACCAAAAACAATTTAAATTTGTAAAATATTTAAAGATTTAATAAAAATAATGTTTGCATACATATCTCTTAAAATATTAATGCTAGATTTTTTGCTCAAGACTACTTTATATAAAATATGGTTTGTATATAGTTATTTATATTTATAAATGTATTTAAAAAATATTATTGTGTCTTAGTTGACCTATATTCCCGGACAATTTTGACTGTCCCAATCCGCCCCTGCACTAAAGTAACGGGATCCCCGCATTGTATGCTCTAAGGTTTATCCATGATTTTAAAACGGTAACGATTTTTGATAACACATTTTCGTGACAAAAATTAGGAATTTGAGCCATACCACATTATCAATGTCAAAAAGATGTAGTTACCAAAAAATGTCTATGCGCGTGCAATAAAGTAGACAAAAATTGCACTTTTCCGCAGTAATTTTTGACAGTGTTTTTACACTAGGGCAAAAAATAGTGCGGTAAAGTGCAACTTTTGTTAAGGGTGGTAAATGTAGCTTACCGGATCGCTGGCCCATCTATTAGGCAAATTGGGCCGCTGCTGATCCACGCAAACGACTTTTTTCATGTCCTCGAAACTGGGATCGCTAGGCACTACATCGTGAAAAGGCGACTTGTAATCTTCCGCTATCCCATTACTTATTGTTCTTCGGGACATTTCCCACAGGACTAAACCTAAGGAGTATACATCGGCTCGACGGAACGATTCGAAATAATCCATCCGAATTCTGGAATAAAAATCAATATAGCAGTACTGTTATAGTGCTACTGTTGTAGGGATGACGGTGAGATGGAAAGTAAGCTTGATGATTGGTTAGTTGAGGCATGGCCTACTTACGTTTCGTCTAAAATTTCAGGGCTCATGTACCGCTTCGTTCCTACCCGGGCATTAGATCCAATATCTAGTTCGTCAGTCGATTGGAAATGCGTAACAGCCAACCCAAAGTCGGCTATGCAACACGTACCGTTGTTTTTGATCAGTATGTTTTTACTTTTGATGTCTCTGTGAGCAATTGCAGGTTTACCCTATGATAATTATAACAATTACGGATAAATTTAACATTTTAAAGGGGGGTTTTCTTTACCTGGGTGCCAAATATTTCAGTGTGCAAATGTACCAGTCCGTTTGCTAGAGATAGACATAGTCTGAGTAGTTGGGAGTGAGATAATGCTGTGTGATTTAAGTAATCATATAGACTTCCCAATGGGTGGTAGTGGGTTATAAGCCACAATTGGGTGCAGGAATTTCTTGAAGTCATATCTGACGCTATGTAGCTTAGTATATTTTCGTGACGTAAAAGAATTGTACTGAAACGCATGAAAAAACATAAAATTGTAGAAAATATGGGGTGTTTTAAAAAATAATATAAAATTAAATGAAATAATTTAATTCCACGAAAAAACTAATTAATTAAAACAAGAACTAATTAATAATTTAAAATAATAATTAATGATATTACGAAAACTTAATCAGAATATCATTTTTAATAAACATTGTCAACGCCCAAGCCCAATTTTTTTTATTAAATCGAAAAAAATATTTAGTGTACAAGAGACTACATGTAGTCTCTTGTACACTAAATATTTTGCAAGATGCTTCTGATATCTCTAGATATCCTAGATAAATCTTTAAAAAAATATTTACAATAATTTGTTTGTTTTGTGAAAATCCATTTTGAGTAACAAAAATTATAAATTAAAAAAAAATAATTTAAAAAACTTTTAAAAATAAAAATCATAATAATAATAATTATTCCTAAGAAATGATTCTTAAAAAACAAGAAGGTAGTATGAGGCGCCGTTTGTGTCAAAATTAAAAGTGCTAAATAAACAAATAAACTTATTTTGTTTTATAAATAATTAATTATATGCTTTATAAAATTATTATTATTTTTGATTCGCAGAAAATTATTTTATAAAAAAATAATTTTTTAAAAAAAATAATTTTATAAAAAAATTATTTTATATAAAAATTATTTTATAAAAAAATTATTTTATAAAAAAATTATTTTATAAAGAAATAATTTTATAAAAAAAATTATTTTATAAAAAAAAATATTTTATAAAAAAAATTATTTCATAAAAGACGATTAATTAATTTTTACTGCAGCCATCTCTATTTGTTTGTAGACACTCGAGTAAACCCGAGTGAACCCGAACGCCCCTCCCCAGATACAATTTTATGACGGACTGGGCTTTTGTTTGACGCAATTTGGGGAAACGATTGAAAATAATAATTTATTATTTTTATTAATTAATTAATCTACATTTATTTTTTAGTTTTTAACAAGAATTCTTTATGTTTAAACGTTTTTTATAAGAAAGCACTTTTAGTTAAATGCAAAACAAATAATGATTTACCCTTTTAACTAATAATTAACTGTTAAAAGTGATTACGTTACATTTTAAATATCTGAATTTTTAAAAGTAAATTAACTTAACCTCTAATTCGACACCTGAGTCCCCGGGACTCGCATGCGAATTTTGTTGGCGCCTAAAGCCTAAATTAAAGATTGCCTTCCTCCTTTCTCCCTTCCTCCCGTAAAAGATGAACAATACGAACACCGTAGTGCTGTTTATAGATTTTAACAGTTAATTATAAGTTAAAGGTGTAAATCATTATTTGATTTGCATTTAACTAAAAGTGCTTTCATATAAAAAACGTTTAAACATAAAGAATTCTTGTTAAAAACTAAAAATCAAAATAAATGTAGATAAAAAAATTAATTAATTAATTAATAAAAATAATAAATTATTATTTTCAATCGTTTCCCCAAATTGCGTCAAACAAAAGCCCAGTCGGTCATAAAATTGTATCTGGGGAGGGGCGTTCGGGTTCACTCGGGTTTACTCGAGTGTCTACAAACAAATAGAGATGGCTGCAGTAAAAATTAATTTATAAATGCGCCCGTCGTCTTTTATAAAATAATTTTTTTTATAAAATTATTTCTTTATAAAATAATGTTTGTAATAAAATTATTTTTTTATAAAATAATTTTTTTTTATAAAATTATTTCTTTATAAAATAATTTTTTTTATAAAATTAATTCTTTACAAAATAATTTTTTTATAAAATAATTTTTTTTTATAAAATTATTTTTTTATAAAATAATTTTTGCGAATCAAAAATAATAATAATTTTATAAAGCATATAATTAATTATTTATAAAACAAAAGTTTATTTAGCACTTTTAATTTTGACACAAACGGCGCCTCATAAGGTAGGTATATTAATTATTAAATAAAGTATATTAATTATTAAATAAAGTATTATTGGTATTACGGCCATTTCAAGCGGATGGACGGGACAAATTACAAAACTGTTTTTATAAAAAAAATTGTAGCTAATTTATTATATATTATTTTTGCATCAAAATTGTCAAATATATTCATCTATTATTAGGGTATACATTAAATAAAAAAAATCGCAAGAAATATTTTATAAAAGTAGAGATAATGTCAATAATTGACAGGGATGGACGGGACAAGATAAATCTTTTTTTTGTCCCGTCCACACCTTTCAATTATTAAAATTATATCTACTTTCATAAAATATTTCTTGAGTTTTTTTTTATTTATTGTATAACCTAATAAAAGAAGAATATTTTTGACAATTGTGATGCCAAAATATTATATAATAAATAATCTACAATTTTTTTTATAAAAACAGTTTTGTAATTCGTGCGTTTCGCGCGCTTGAAATGGCCGATTAGTAACATTTATTAATTGAGACTTAAAACTCGAAAATTAAAAATATTTATATTATTTAATTAAAATATACTGGTCAAACTAATTTTGTTATTTATAGAATAATTCATTATGATTATTTTACTTTTCAAGGTAGTATCTCCATTTGAAGAGTTTCCATAGAATGTCTTTAAAATTTAATATATGATTTTGTGAGGCATCAGACACTAGGGGTGTTAACCCCGGGATCGGATTTTTAACGGGATCCCGGAATTGACACCCCTAGTGTCTGAGGCCTTACAAAATCATATATAAAAGTCCCAATCCCGGGATCGTAGTAGGTATACCTACTATAATAAGTTAGTAGGTATACCTACTATAATAAGTTACAATGAACAAAATATACTTTTTTTCAAGAGTATGACAATTTTCATATTTTAATACTCATAAGCATATACAGAAATACCTAATTTTTGTACGCAGTTCAAAATATTACACACGCCGTACAATAATGAAAATACATTGAGATTATATAGCAAGAGTGGTTCCATCTATCGCGTTTAGCATAAAATCAGCAAAGAAAATGTAAAATTACAGGTCACAAACTCGATACCTAATTTCAATGTAAGTTACAGCCCCAATTGGAACTCACCAAGGCCCAATTGATAAAAAAATGGAGTTATTTGTTAATGGGGGTAAACGTGGGTACAATGTGCCTACGAATTCTTGAAAACCATTCCTTCAACTAGTGTGCGAAGTCAAAAAGAAATCGTTCGTTTTTCCATCATAATAACAAATTAAAAATTTATTTACTTTTTATGTTGTAGTAACGTGTTAATTTTGTAATTAAAATACGTTTTATTTTTACTACATTGGCACCGCTGACTTTGCTGTCACGGCCTACTACTATTTATTTATCAAAAATTTTAAATACGATTTCCCTGAGGATTCTAAAAATTTATTTTACCAATTTTTGAAATTCCCAAAACTGGAATTATAGCCCGTTTTCTTGTTGGGTTTATTTCACTAAAAATTTAATCGAAAAACGAGTAGGAAATGTTGCTTCCCCACCATTAATTAATAGAATTTTAAAGGCTTTTGTTACAATTAAATTAAATTAATTGTGACAAGCCTTTAAGATTAAATGAATACTTAAAAAAAAAAAAGTCATTTGATTTAAGTTAAGAATTAAATTAAATTGGTTTAAAGTTAAGCAATATTGTGGAAAATCAAAGATAATTATTGCATAGTAACAATAGTAGATTATGTTATAAGGAGTAGAAGTGACTCTTTTTGTGGTGAGTACATAGATTGACGGCCGAAGCGTAGCTGAGGCAGGCAACTGTACGAAGCACAAAAAGAGCTTCTACTCCAAATAACATATACATTTTTTTTTTCAAGGGCATAATATAAATAGGATAAGCAATAGAATTATTTTATTTACTCATAACTCGTGTGGGATAAAATTTTGGCTAAAAGCATTAGAAATTATTGATAAAAACTAAAAAAACTAATAAACCTTACTTACAATGCCGATAAATATCCGAAACTAAAACTAAACACTGCTCTGTCAAAATGCTGCGCTTGAATTAATTTTGACGTACTGACATTTGTTTGAAGTTTCGACATTGGCGACTCGTCTATCATCATAATATTATACTAATAAACTAGTTTTTCTTTATTTCGTTCAATTAAAATTTAATAAATAATCACTAAATATTCCGTGCGATTATAATTAATATAATTAATACATCGTGATTGCTTTGTATGAAATGCTAAATTAATTTTATTATTTGACGTTTATTGAGTCACCTATGGATTTACTTCTATCCCTAGGCTTTTTTGAGTTTTTTGTCTGCCGCTAATGAAAAAGACGCACTTCAACTATCTCTATACATGCATATAAGGTTGTATATCATGGCCGCTTGAAAAAAAAGTAAATTTATGCATTTTAATTTTAAAAGGTTATTATTTTGAGATTTTTTATAATAAATTTTAATTTAAATCCTTGTTAAATCTTAAAAAATCTATTAAACCAATGAGATCAAAGAAATTACAAAAAAATGTTTGTTATTAAAAATGGTTTAAAAAATACATAATACAAAAAAAAACACATTAAAATTAAAATAAACATAAAAATATATACAAAAAAAATATATTTAAATATCGAATTTACACTATTTTTAAATAATAAATTAATTATAATATATGTAATTAATTTATTATTTATATTACCTATAGGTAGGTACTTTAGGTACTAATTTTTTAAAATATTCCATAATTAGTTCGTTTTTTTAAAAAAGTAGTTTTAAACCTGTTTTTTTAAATGTGGGTAAAGAAAATACAAAAAAAAAATTCTGTTTACAAAAAAGGTTAAAAAAATATTTTACCTGTATATTTCAGTTTCCCTATTCCAACTAGCTTCATCTCTTGAAAAAAATATCTTAACAGCAATGCTTTCCCCATGCCATATACCTCTCCAAACCTCCCCATATCTTCCCTTTCCGATGCACTCCACCAAAGAAATCTGCTTTGCCAATGTCCTCTGAATCAAAAGTGGCAAACCAGAACCACTACCTGATGTCATAGATTGCTCCAAATACTCCCGTAGGGTACTGTCACCAGCTGCTGTAGCCCTTAATAGGTCTTCTGTAGCACAGTACGTGTCAGGATTATTTCTGCTTTCATTGCAAAGAATTTGTCGATGTCGTCTTCTCATTAAGGCAATTATAATAACACCCAGAGTGCCAAGGATGATAATTGGCACAAGAATAGCCCCCACGATTTTAGCGATGTAAATAAACGACTCCGAATACGGATTTCTTTCAACAAATGCTGGCGGTAACTCAGGGAAATCCCCATCATTACAAAAATCCCCCACACAGCAGTCAACTTGATATTGTCCACTAACATGCCGTTTCTGCACATTAAACGATGGCATTCTGCAAATTAAAGGTAGCTGTTCTGGGTTTGTAGTGCACCCCCTATTGAAGCTCTCCTCCCCCGAGCTCTCTCTAACATGGGATTTCCAGCATTGCACCGCATTGTAACAAACTGATGGTGTGGCACAGTGCGAGGCCTCACACAAATGGCACTTGTACCTTGGCTTATGCACATTGGTGTGGTTATAACTGGCCTGTTTGTCCAGCAAATCGTTGAAAGACGGTCCTCCAGGATCATGTTCAATATTTGTCTCTTCATCGTCGTCAGGATCTTCTCTTAATTGCGGTTTGTTATTGATTTCTCCTACGAAATTAAAGTTTGCAATGTTTTGTGTAAAAGTTATTTTTGTAAAATACCCACCTGTTACTATTTGCATCAACAAAACAAGTAACAAACAATATATAAACCTACAGGCGGCCATGTTGTGCCGTCAAAACAACAAAGTTGCAACAGGGTTGCCGCATCTAATAATCCTCCTCTTAAGATTTAAACCAAAATAAATCTACAAAAAAGTAAAACTATAGTATAAATATGATACAAAGAATACAATAATATTTAAATTTAATTGTTTATAATAGAATTTAGACTTATTTTTGTATTTAATATTACACATTATTCCCGTTGTTGGGCATGTGATTGGCCGGTTTTATTATACACGGTGATTTGGACCAATTGGGAGAAGGCGACTATAATAATATTTAAAATTGGTAGAAAGTAAGGCTAACTATCTAGAAATGTCAGATTTTGTTTAATTGTTTGCAAATCATTTAACTTTCTAGAAACTGGAGGAGTACTTCTCCTCCTGGAGAAGTATAGTATTACATTTACACTCGAGATTATGTGCATTATTTACTCGGATAATACGCATTTTCTCTCTAATATCAATGCTTTTTTGTATATATAATATATAACTAATTTAAAGTTGTATTTCTTCAAATAAGGAGAGTATTGAGTACGTCTGGCAATGTGTACGTTATTAATTGAAAAACTTTGCAACAGATGTCGCTCTATAAATTAAAACAAAGTTTACTTTTTTGATGTCGGTAACTTGATTTTTGTTTTCAGCTGCTGCAAGTTGTTATAATCTGTGTAGAAGGGTATGCTGTAAATAAATTATTAAAAATACTGTAAGTACTATTATTTTACTCGATTAAATGCCAGAATTAAATGCATAAATTAATATGGTTCCATTATAGAATAATTATTGTTTTTTTTAATGCATTTATTCCTTTATAAATTCTAATTAAAGCTATAATTAGATTTTTGGTGGGGAAATGCAGTTTTATTAAAACAATACAAGTTTGTATTAATTTATTCATTTATTTAAATAAAAACTGCATTATTATTATCATAAAATTACAATTATTTACCTATTAGTTTTATTATATTATAAATTATATTATGTAGTTTTTTATCACTTAAGACCCTTGAGTGATAAAAACAGACTCTTGAGTCAAGAGTGTTTAAACTTTAAATAGGTACAAAGATTAAAATTAAGATGTTATGAAATATCCACTTAAATTAAATCATTTTCAGGTAAAATTACATTGTTGCTACCGAGGTTGCTACAGTTGCCTTAAGAATGTCAAGTTGGCAGTTGTACCTACATTTCTAGTTCATGTTCAAAATGGTCTTAATTAATAGAATTAGCAGCTTTAAAATTTCAACTTAAGCTAGATAAAACTGTCTTAAGAATGTACCTAATTAAGCTTAATTTTACTGTCTTAAGAATGTCAACTAAAGATAAATATAACTGTTTAAAATGAAAACTTGAGCCTGATACCTATAAGCCTTATAGTATAGTCTCATAGCCTTATAGTATAGCCTGATACCTATAAGGGTCAGTCCATGTCAACTCAACACACCCATTTTACCACACCACCTCAGATTTTCTTAAAATTTGATATACTTATACTATGTACCAAGACTAAGAAAAATACCAATTTTTAAATTTTTATCTCACACCGTTTCCGATATATGGCTATGTAAAGTTTTTAAAAACTCGCGAAAAAAGTATGAACGTTTATTTTTTAAATTGCGCTGGAAGCTGTCCTAATTTAGTTAGAAAGCTGGGAGAGGTGTCATTTTGCAGCATTTTAAATGCTCTTTCAAATGACATACGACTGCCAAGGGTATTAATGAAAAGATTTTGTTCAAAATCCATATATATATTTTGATTCAATTTTTTTTCAAAAAGTACATAATTTAAAATTCTCAAAATATTTGTATAAATACTTAGTACTGTTTTAAACCATATAGTAAAATATAAATGTGGGGTCTTAATGGGTTCATGTTAAAAAAAAATATTTGTGATGCTGGTTTTTCACTTAACTAATTTTGACAGTTTCGTTACATCTTTCCTGCAGGTATGACAAATCATGGAGCCAATAGGCATTTGTGGAAATAATCCAGTCATCCATGCTGGGACTTTTCTCAGTTTTTTTCTGTCTCTAATAAAATGATTTATTTTTTTCATTGGATTATAACACTGCACTATTACAATAGTAGGCTCCATGTTGACACCAAAATCACTTTAAACACACCTCATTTATAGTTTTATTTTTAAATAAACTACGAATATATACAGGGTCCGATAAAAGTTCCCTGAATTTTTTTTTAAGCGAGTTTAAAATTTATCAATAACGTTTTCGCGGAAATTGTTTGCTCGAGCAGGTTCCTAGAACCCTTTCAATTCTGAAAATATTCAATTTATGTTGTTCTGTTTAAAATTTAGTAATTTAGTAGTCGGGAATGTAGGCAGCCGATATTATTAGGGTTCTTAGAACCCTTATATTTTTGAAAATATTCATTTTATGTTGTTTTGTTTAAAATTTAGTTCAATATGAATCGCCAAAACAAGCGTATCACAGTAATTAAATTACACAAGTCGGGAATGATGACAGCCGATATTATAAAAAAAATACAATTGTCAGGCTTAAGCCTGATAAACGTTGAATAATGTCAAAATTAGTTAAAAGTGAAAAACCAGCATCAAAAATATTTTTTTTAACAATGAACCCATTAAGACCCCACATTAATATTTTATTATATGATTCAGAACACTACCAAGTATTTATACAAATATTTTGAGAATTTTAAATTATGTACTTTTAAAAAAAAATTAAATCAAAATATATATATGGATTTTGAACAAAATCTTTTCATTAATACCCTTGGCAGTCGTATGTCATTTGAAAGAGCATTTAAAATGCTGCAAAATGACACCTCTCCCAGCTTTCTAACTAAATTAGGACAGCTTCCAGCGCAATTTAAAAAATAAACGTTCACACTTTTTTCGCGAGTTTTTAAAAACTTTACATAGCCATATATCGGAAACGGTGTGAGATAAAAATTTAAAAATTGGTATTTTTCTTAGTCTTAGTACATAGTATAAGTATACCAAATTTTAGGAAAATCTGAAATGGTGAGGAAAAATTTCTTTTTAAAGTGTGTTGATTTGGCATGGAATGGCTCATAAGCCTTATAGTATGAACTGTTTTAAGAATCCCATTAAGCTAGACTTAACTGTCCTAAGCAAGTCAACTTAAGCTTAAGAATGGCAACCTAAGCTAGACATGGGTAACTGTTTTAAGAATATCAACATGGCTTAGGATTTACCAATTTAGTTCCGGCGATAGTTGTAAAGATTATGATAATACAATATTATTATTTCTTTTTTTAATTAAAAAATAACCACAAACAACTTTTCTAATTTTAGTTTAAAATGCCGACAAAAATTGTATTTAAAAGCGGCCTATCAAAGTCGGATCCACACCGTAACCCCGTTCTTATTTTGGGCCAAGTAAAACACCTAACCCAAATCAAATTCCAAGACATAAAATGCAAATTAGAACCCAGGGTCGCCGAAGAAACCTTTAAGGTGGCTGTTGCGGGACTTCACCCATCGCCAACCGACACCTGTTCGTTGTACTTAAACTTGGCAACGGTGGCTGCGTTGCCGGTTAAGTGCAGCAGGCATAACACGCCCTCCAGGGCTCATGCGATCACGCGATTGGTGCAGGTTTGCTCGGTTGGAGTTGACGAGAGTATTGTTGTAAGTGGATTATTAAACAATATTTTATCTATTTTTTTATTTTTAAAGCCTGATTTATAGATTGCCTTCCTTCCTCCCGTAAAAGATGAACAATACAAAAGTGCCATTTATAGATTCCCGTACGGGAATCTATAAACAGCACAAAGGTTTTTGTATTGGGGTCAGAATTTCTCAAACGGGCCACCTGAATTAGGTCAAAATTAGTTTTTGATTGTAGATACATTTTTTCGATAGTATTTTACATCACTAACACAAATCCTAAAGGATTTTGTAAAAAAAAAAATTTCAATTGACATATTCATGATATTAAAAGTAAAAGTTTTTAGTAATTAAAAAATAAAAAAAAATCATTATGGCTAAACTAATTATCCGATTCCAACGATTTAACTAGCGTTGGAATCTTGTTTTGACATAGATTCTTTGTTATTTTTTTCAATTGTAAAATTTTCATTTAGGTCGATTTTTTTTTGTTTTTTTTATAACAAATTCGGAAATAATTGGCTTCTGCGCCAGCTATCGACTCGAAAAAAAAAACACATATACTCCAATCATTTTTCGAAATTATGCTGCTGAGAAAAAAAATGGCCCGCAGGTTCCCGACCACCGTAAGACGTCGCGTCACAAGCGCGTACAGCGTACACGGTTCGGAGCGTGAGCTGACACCGCGCGCGGCCACAAAAGGACGAATAACTTTTTGTCAACCTGCGGGCCATTTTTTTTCTCAGCAGCATAATTTCGAGAAATGATTGAAGTATATGTGTTTTTTTTCTCGAGTCGATAGCTGGCGCAGAAGGCAATTATTTCCGAATTTGGTATAAAAAAAACAAAAAAAAATCGACCTAAATGAAAATAGGACAATTGAAAAAAATAACAAAGAATCTATGTCAAAACAAGATTCCAACGCTAGTTATATCGTTGGAATCGGATAATTAGTTCAGCCATAATGAATTTTTTTATTTTTTTATTATTAAAAACTTTGACTTTTAATATCATGAATATATCAATTGAAAATTTTTTTTTTACAAAATCCTTTAGGATTTGTGTTAGTGATGTAAAATACTATCAAAAAAATGTATCTACAAACAAAAACTAATTTTGACCTAATTCAGGTGGCCCGTTTGAGAAATTCTGACCCATTGTTCATCTTTTAGTGAGGAAGGGAGGAAGGAAGGAAATCTATAAATCAGGCTTAAGATTTGAATATTCTTCCTAACGGTTTTTTATAATACATATTTTGATAGTTTTTAAAAATTTTGAAATCTTGTAATGTAGAATTCCAATAATTTACAGCCTAACTTGTTTTTCTGAAATATTGCATACACATATTTTTAATGGTAAAATGTTTTGATTGTATTTGTTCCAAGTTTTAAGAATAGCATCTGAAGTTATGTTTAGTTAATATTTACAAAATTAACCATAATGTTCAAAAAAACAATTTGTACACAATATTCTATATTATTAATATTTATAAATTATTAGTTATTTAAAAAATGCAAGGATAAATTCGCACAGTTCAAAATTAAAAAATAATGGAAAAAATTCGCACAATAGCATAAATTGTAGGACAAATTCGCACAGTAGGTTAAAATTAAAATTTGGTAGGAAATTTCGCACAGAAGCAGCTAGTGAATATTAATTTTAATTTTAGATTATTTGCGAAAAAAACGATGTTTATGCTAGTGCATGTGCGGTAACAAGGGCTTTCCCACAATATTCCAAAAAAACATCCACAAATAATGAGGAAAATGTAACAATATCTGTGGAATTTCTTATTGTATCTGGACACTCAAACAGTAAGTAAACAACATATTTTATTACTTAAATCCCCCCTACCTGTAAAGTCAGCTTTCTGAAACCTGAAATAAGTATTTTGGTTTTAATTCAATAAGCAATAGCAATATTTTATTTATAAATCATTTTAAGAGCTTGCATATAGTAAACTGGAGTGGAAACTATTTTGTTTGAAAGATTTATAGATTATAATCTAATAATTTATAATAATTTTATAAAATTATTGAATAATACAAAATCATCATCGTTTTAAATAGGAATAGAACGATATCACTTTTTTTTTGCCGATACGATATATTGGCCGATACCGATATTTACGTGCTGATATACCGATATACCGATAAATCGTATCGGCAAACATAATGTCATCTATTTATACACGACCGAAGCAAAAATCGGGGAAGTCCCGTTTTAATTCCGTTGCGAGGAAACGTTTGTGATTGGTAGTGAGTGACATTTCGGATTTCTAGGAAGCCCCTTATACAGTGTGTATTAAAACGAATAGATACACTTAAATAAAACAAGTGCCAAACCCCGCCCACTGTGGTAGGGATTGAGAATTTATAGGTTTTATTTTTATCGAATTCGTTTGTTTTGTTTTAATGCATTTCTGCAAATAAAAACTAAGTATTGTTTAAAATCCATTAAATTCCAGTTAATGGCGAAAATGTATTTCTTAAAAACTATAAACATTAAACGACAGTATTTCATTTATGCACTGAAGAGTGAAAAGCGCATTTTTTTTTGCCGATATATCGGCAATTATCTTGCCGATACGATACGATACCGATAATCGGAAACAATTGCCGATATGCCGATATACCGATATCAATATCGGTATCGTTCTATCCCTAATTTTAAACTGTTTTTTTCTGTATTATTTTCCCCTTTTTTTGTATTTCCCCTTAACATTTTTAGTAGAAAATGGTGACATTCTCGAACTCGCCCCCGAAGAAGTAAACGCTTTAGAACACGCCGCCACTGGCATACGCATGGCGGCGCGCATAGTGGACACCCCTTGCAACGAAATGAACGTTAATAGCTTTTTGGAGGAAATCAAGGCCGTGGGTCAATCGTTAAACATTACCCCCACAATAATCAGGGGGGAAGAATTGGCGGCGCGCGGTTTCGGCGGGATTTACGGGGTGGGCAAGGCCGCCTCTGTGCCGCCGGCACTGGCTGTGCTCAGCCATATGCCTGAATCGGCTCATGTCAGCGTTGCGTGGGTTGGAAAGGGGATTGTTTATGATACCGGTGGTCTTAGTATCAAAGGAAAGGTATGTTTTTGATACATTTTAACGATTTTTACATTTCACCTTTGATCAAAGAAGATGTGCTCCATCTCCACATTTTTTACTTTACACTTTAACTATAAAGATTTTTTTTTATCTAGACTGCTATGCCTGGTATGAAAAGGGATTGTGGTGGCGCTGCTGGTATTCTAGGTGCTTTCTATGCGGCTGTGAAGGCGAATTTTAGTCAAAATTTACATGCCATTTTTTGTTTGGCTGAAAATGCAGTAGGACCAAAAGCAACAAGGTAAAAACTTAAATACGATTTATCCATTTTTGTACTGGATTTTAATTTGATTTGTATCCTAATATTTTTTTCTACAACCGAGCGAAAAGTACAAATTTGCGCTTCCAAAAGAAAGCGGAAAGTTGCACTTTTCCGAGGAACAAGCGTTTCTTTACTTTGTCGCTCGCCGAGCTTATTTACTATGGAAACCATAATAACGAAACGTCTAGTATACACTGCGACTTTTGACCTTCGGTCATCTATGCACAAAAGTCAAATTTGTGGTTATCAATAATTATTAATTATTACCAAACATTTTTATAAAAACACCGGTTGTAGCAAAAATCCTGTGTGTAATTCGAGCGCAGTGACATTGCCGCTCTCGCGAGATAGCTTCTCGCTCAGAGCGACAATATATCACTTTGCGCTCTTAATACACAAATAGCTATTTTGATTTTTTTTAAATTTAAATCATGGTTTGTCCTATATGGACAAAAAATATTTTATATAATTTTTAGGTACTAATATTTAATTAGAAACTTTTAAATACCTACACATATTTAGCTTTTTTTTAATTGTCATATAATTATCCAAAAACCTAAAATCTGTTCATCTTTTTTTATGTATTTTCTATATTTCCCATTTTTACATGATTTTCAACAAAGAAATATACAAGGTGTCCCTAAAATGCCTGTACAAAATGATACCACATATTCCTGAGACCAAAATAATGCGATATAACTAAATTTACTTTTATATAAAAGTTGATGATAACCAAGATACAGGGTGTTAAAGTAATTTTGGGAAAAACAAACGTTTTTGCACAAAATATGATTTTTATAAAATGTCTTAAGAAAATGTAGATTGTAGAGGCTCAGGAATATGTTCACTTAGTTCACGTAGTTAAAAATGCAATTAATTTGGCTTTGGTAGTGCTTGGATGGTAAAATCATATAAAAAAGTAGTTTAATATAGGTTGCTTTCGGCCCAGAAGAGAAAGTATTCCTAGCGGATAATAATCTTCGCTTTGAAAAGAATTTATATAAAAAAAATTAAAAAATTTTAACGTAAATGTTGTCCAATGGTGAATAATGTGAAAATAATGTTTGATGTAGTATTTATAAAACCAATTTCGTTACTTTTTTTACTCCAAAAATATCCATAAGGCGATGTAGGTACTTTTTCTTCCATTGTGGCATTTGACATAATTTCATCAAAATGAATTTTTGCCCTCAAAAGGGCTTTTACATTCGAATTCGTTGCTATTATTTTTGGCATAATTATCTTTTTATTTATAAGTGACAAGTAAATTATTAATAATAAATATTATTGTCAATTTGACAGTGTCAAAGTATTCTTTAGCAGAAATACCATTTTTAAATAATAAAAATACTTAATCAAACTGGCATAAGCCACCAACCTAACAAAAAAAGCCCAGATAAAAAAATGAACTGTATAATATTTATTTTGTAACAGTAAAAATGTTAATTTGAAGGGTGGTAATTCAAAAACGTCAACAGCAAAATATCTAGTTTAAAGGCCTTTTATGTACATTTGTTAAAAATACAAAATAATTTTGATTTTATTGTATACTAATAGTATATTATGTATCAAGTTTTATAAACGCCATTTTAGTTACGAGTTTAATTAAGCACGAGCTCCAAAAATATCCATAAGGCGATGTACTTTTTCTTCCATTGTGGCATTTGGCATAATTTCATCAAAATGAATTTTTGCCCTCAAAAGGGCTTTTACATTCGAATTCGTTGCTATTATTTTTGGCATAATTATCTTTTTATTTATAAGTGACAAGTAAATTATTAATAATAAATATTATTGTCAATTTGACGGTGTCAAAGTATTCTTTAGCAGAAATACCATTTTTAAATAATAAAAATACTTAATCAAACTGGCATAAGCCACCAACCTAACAAAAAAAGTCCAGATAAAAAAATTAACTGTATAATATTTATTTTGTAACAGTAAAAATGTTAATTTGAAGGGTGGTAATTCAAAAACGTCAACAGCAAAATATCTAGTTTAAAGGCCTTTTATGTACATTTGTTAAAAATACAAAATAATTTTGATTTTATTGTATACTAATAGTAGGTATATTATGTATCAAGTTTTATAAACGGCATTTTAGTTACGAGTTTAATTAAGCACGAGCGAAGCTTGCGAGCGAGTGTTTAATAAAAACGAGTGTCTAGAGAAGTTTATAAACGAGTTGCATACTATACTTTATCTACGACGACTACAAAACAGAATTTAAAGCCAATTTTATTTGTTAAAATTTTGACATCTGTCAACTGTCACACGAATTTAACCTCACTTTTTCCCAATTTATAATAAAGCTGACTTCAGCCCGTGGCGTAAAATGTCGAAAAGCCACTGTTGTTAACTTCAGCCCGTCAATAAAACGCCATAAAGTCACAGCTCGTCAATGTAGTAGATAAAATAATTTTAAGAACTGCTTTTTTATATTTCAATATTTAATTTTTTACTTGAAGCTTTTAACCTATAACGCTTCAATTTTTTTCTAAAAAATTTTAAGTAAATTAACCCTAATTACAAAAATGACACAATCAACATTAATTAAGTAACGTAAAATTTACAATTTGCATTGTATCATTGTGTCAATTTTGTAATTAAGGTAAATTCATACAAAATGTCCCCCTATTTTGGAAATATTCCCTAAAATTGTGTTTTTTTTTCAGGCCAGACGATATTCATACTTTATACTCTGGAAGAACGGTTGAAATTAACAATACTGATGCAGAAGGAAGACTGGTACTAGCAGATGGAGTTGTATATGCCCAAAGAGACTTAAAAGCCAATATCATTTTGGATATGGCAACTTTAACTGGAGCCCAGGTAAAAATGATTTTGAAAAAGGTAAATATAGTTATAACAATGTTTAATTTTAATCTAGGGAATAGCTACTGGTAAGTACCACGCGGCAGTCCTGTCAAATAACGAGGACTGGGAAACAAAATCGATGGTGGCCGGTCGCACATCGGGCGATTTGATTTTCCCGATTCCCTACTGCCCGGAACTGCACTTTTCCGAATTTTCCTCTGCGGTTGCGGACATGAAGAATTCTGTAGCCGATCGAGGTAATGCGCAGCCCAGCTGCGCAGGACTTTTCGTTGCAGCCCATTTGGGCTTCGATTATCCCGGTACATGGATCCATGTCGATATGGCCAGCCCATCTCACTCAGTAAGTAAAAGTTGTATGTTTAAACAAATAATTTGACAATTTTTTAAGATAATTTAGGAATATTAAAGATTTTTAAGTTAATTTCAATACAAAACCTCCACTTTTTTCATTCATTTTTATGTTTGAATTATAGTTGGTTGGGTTCCTTTTTTAGAGTTTACTATTTTTTTCGTTGTTTCAAAACTAAATTTTAATGACGTGAAAAAAATATTTATATTTATTTAATAGGGCGAAAGAGCAACTGGTTATGGTGTAGCCCTTTTAACTACACTTTTTGGTAGCTACTGCCACAATCCACTTTTGAGGTCAATTTGCCCAGACGCAGAAGGTCCAAATGAAAACATCGCCAAAAAACAAAGAATCAATTAAATTAAAATCCATTATACAACCCAGAAAACTTTATAAAACTGTAATACAAGCAATTCATTTTTTTATAATAAAAAACAACATGTATATGTATAGCTTTGTTTTATTTAAAATAATATTGCACAATATCCTACAAGTTACATACATACAAAATGTGTAAAAAGTATTAAAGTATTAAATATAAAGGTAAGTGTATAAAAAGCTTAGTTATCTCTAATTCCAGTCCCATAGTTTGCACCACCAGCCTTGTTCAGTTCGTCTTTGAAATTGTTTAGGTCTATATCACTTGTGTTTTCCAGTTGTAATTCCACAGCAAAATTCTAAAATAAAATGTTACATTAGGGTCAGAATTTGTGAAATCAGCACAATAAAAATGGCTAACATTGTTTTTTTGTTGAAATCTTAAAAAAACTTGCATTTGACAATAAAAATGTATTGTCCAATTTTTTTTTTGTTTTTAGAAAAGTAATTGTCATTGTTATTCTCGCATTTAGTATGACGTTTTGGATGATTTAATACAAAAATATTTTTTTACTTAAAAAAATATCTTCTTAACATTTTTGCTTCTCAAGTTTTCAATGATATATTCTTGTTATTACTTAAAAAAAGACAACTTTGGTGATATGTTAAAAAATATTAGAAATATCCCCCAACACCAAAACAAAACACAAAGTGCTTAAAGTAATTTTCGCCAACGATGTTGGTATCTTCAGAAGCAAACATATACTTGATGATGGTAATAGAATAGGATTTGACAACCTTAAACTTATTAAGGAAAGTTTATACATCTAATAGAATAGAAATATATCTTTAACGATAACGGGCGGATACCCGCTCTAGTTTGTATAAATTAGTTTGTTGGATTTTATTACTTGTTCATTGAAGCGATTACGGTCCACCGTTTAGTAAACTGTGTCGTTTCACGGTTCAGTCAACCTTAGCTTATAATTTGTATAAATATGGTAGATTTAGCAGTTAGATTTAGTTAGGTACATTTCGCTTTTGAAGATGCTAACACAGGTGGCAAAAAGTACTTTAAGCACTTTTTGATTTGTTTTGGGGAATATTTCTAATATTTGTTTATTCTTGTTCTGTTATTTAATTCATAAAAAAAAACATGTTTTGATTTTTAACCATTTGATTGTTATTGAATTATTGTGTCTTTCAAGTAAATATATATATATATATATATTGCCACCAATGCATGTGCAACATTAAATAATTATGTTGATAGATATTTTACTTAAAAAACACTTTAATTTACTCAATTAAAACCAAATTATTAAAAACTAAAAAATGTTTTTTTCTGTAATTTTAGAAAAAATTAGCCCAACACAGTTGCGATTTACTTGAACATATAAATGATTTAGAACATATTTTTGAATTAAAAATTTAAAAAACATTTTTTAGGCCTTTAAAGTTTATAAAAAAACACTATTTTTTTAATGCAATAGTTTCAGGACCTGTTATTATTATTAAGAGATCGTTCATCGAGATATTCTATTTTCCATTTAAATAACATGTGATTTTTTTAATTTTGGAATTATATTACTTAAAGGGATCAATGGACTAAGGGGAACAAAACATATTTTTATAGAAAATAAAACGCTCTACAAATAAGGTTTCTTATTATTTAATGATAAATATACCCGTTTAAAATTATAGGTTGTTCTTACAATTTTTTTTTTTAAATTTCTTGTTATACAAATTAATTTTTTGCAATAAAATTTCTATTTTCTTAAAATTAATTGTTATTCTAGCCAAAAACATTAATTTGTAAAAGCACTAACTGTTGAGCAATAAAGTTTAAAAATTATAAAATAACATATTTTTATGGAAAATAAAATGATCTATAAATTGTCCTATGTGATTTTGTAATAAATCCGATGGTTTTACATAAAAAGTGAGAAGAACTTAAAATTAAATATATTTTTTATTTAAGCTTGAAAAACTTTTTAACGACTAGATTTACCATACAATTATAAAATACCATTTTTGTAGAGCATTTATAAATATCCAGAACATTTCTGTTCTGATCATTTTAGTCCATTGGTCTGTTATCAAGTTATATAATTTTAAAGTTAAACATTTTTTCCATGTTATTTAAATAGGAAATAGAAAATCGCGATATTTTTTTTATTTAATATAATTTATTTCTGACCTCTAAGCAGTATAACCATATTGATATCGGGGTCTACAAATAAGGGACCCCTAATAATATTAAAAGCTGAAATTTTAACAAAATTATTTTTTTTTAATTTTCACCGCGTAGGACGGTGGCCGTGCCCAGGGCTGCAGCCCGTAAAGCACATACCTAAATCCGCCCATGTACTGTTGGGATTTTTTTCTACGTATTTAGATTCTTGTTGAGTGTTGAAGTGATATTTTTTTATATTTATTTAAGTAAGGTTTAGAACACGAAAAAATTAATTGTTTATAAAAAAATTGATAAATTTTTATAAAAAAAATAATATGGAAATTTTAAAACAATTTTCCATACTCAATTTCTTTACCTGAGATATTCCCAAAGTTTTATTAAAATCGATTTATCAGTTCAAGAATAACTAGATTTTGTTTAAAAAGGTATCAAAAATTTAATTTGACAATAACAAAACAAAAACAATAAAGTAAAAAAATATTGGTAGATTAATTTTAGTGGTAAAATAGAACAGTTTTTTGAACATTTCGACAAATAACAATGATAGTCATTCTTCACGAATTCTGACCCACTATAATTCATTAGAAGTACGGAATATGGGCTTTTCTCGTTAAAGCACAAAGCAATAGAAAAAACTTTTCCCGTAATGTAAGCAAACATAAAATTTTCAAATTTGTATCTTTTTACCGAAACAATGTTCTTGATTAGCGACTTATCGGTGGACATTTTGGCCCTTTGTATCACGCTGACAGAAGACCCAATAAAGGTGACCAAAAGGAATTTTTGTCTTTTTGACAGTTCGTCGCCAGTCTGGATTCTTATGTAACCAAAAGCGCGATCTTTTTCGTCGAATTGTTCGCGGAATTTTTCGAAATCTGCACCTGTAGCTGAACAGATAACTCTTGGCCCGTCGAACTTGAAAACAGCCCTGAAAATAATTAAATTTTTATAATGTTGTGATTTAAAAAAAAAATCTTTACCATTGTGTTTCCGAATTATCCGATCTGACGTCATCATATGCGGCCCTTATATTTTCCATGTCTATTACGGTGGACTGTGAAGCCTATAAAAAATATAATAGTAGACAAAAAATTTATTTAAACTTTAACTTAAATTTTGTTTTAGTTTTCCAATCGTTCACATCTTTTTTTAAAAGAATTAATGAAAACCGATTTTTCAGTCAAATGTATTTAGATCCTGGAAACATTACACTTAAAATGCAAAATAATAGAATAAAACCATATGGCTTAATTTCAATTAACCAGCGAAGTATTTACAAAAATAAACAAAAACCTTAATGCGGACATAAGCGTTTAATTATATACAATTAATTAATTCAAATCAAAAAGTTTTGGAGCGCAAAAAATCGTGGTTAAATTTGGAAGTCGTGATTTACTTAAAAATCACAAAATGTTTCACTTAAGTATTTATAACATGTGGGTCATGAGCATGACACACATTGCAATTTTTAGTTTTGTAAAACCGTAAAATAATTATTCGTGCAAAAAAAACGACTTCATTAAAATACCAATGTTGGCAAATAAACACTCAATTAGCAAATCAAATAAATAAAAAACAGTTGAAGTGCCATTATACCATGTGGTATTGGCTTTTATTGAATAAATATATAACATTTGGTATATAGAAACTGTAAATATAATAACTTTTATAAATAAATGAGAAATACGAGGTATAAAAAACAAAGAAATATTGAATAAAATAAAAATCAAAAATAATAAGAAAAAAAAATTTCAGATTTTTTTTCATAATTTTTGATTATTTAAGTAGTTTAGTTTGGTTAAATAAAAAATTAACTGCAGTTAGAAAAAAATGTAAAAGTTAACACAAATGCATCAATCAAAAAAATGCCTCAATCAAAAAGGCAAGCGTTATTTTTTTTAAATAAAATTTGTATTACCAGTTAAAATTAAAATAGTTAATATTTTAGCATTGCATTAATGCATTGTTTTTTGTAAATATTTGCCTCGAGTTAAATTTTCAAAAAATATGTACATAATAATTGCACATAAGTAAAAAAGTTACCTTAATGATTTTTTTATTTTGGCCTTCTATAAGAAAATTTTTTTTGTTAGTTTTTTGCCAAAATTAGGTCAAAATAAAAATAACAAAAACAGAAAATTTTGGTGGAAATAAAGTTGCCTAAAACTATACTATTAAAAAGGGCAAGTCAGTACTGTATACATATATTTATTTAAATATTTTACAATTTTTTTGTTACTTGGGTATCATCTAAATTATTTGTTTAGTCTAAAAACAGTTTTTAATATAATTTAAAAGTTTTTTTTGCCTAAATGATTTAATTATTTTATATATTTTATTTAAACTATGACCTCAGATGATCTGAGTCAGATCACTTAAATGGATTGTTTACGAAAAAAACGTAAAAGACCTTTTTTTGTGGAGCGTAAAATGTTCTACTAAAATTTGTCTGGGGTATTGTGACATACATATCTTTTAATAAACAAGTTTAGAAGTTGATATTATGTAGTATCATTTAGTCAGTAAAACACACCGGATTTTTTTCTGTAGTCAAATAAATAATTTAGAGGATATCCAAGTAAAAAAAAACTAAAGCCAATTTGGAAAATTTTTAAAAAAAGATTTTTTTTTATTTCAAATATTGACCTAAATTTCCTACAAAAATATTTCTTCTATATTTTTGCATGTATATTAATTAGCGAGTTATGCATTTTTTATTATGTCATTCAAATGTCATTTAGGCAGGGTTAAACATCGTATAAAAAATATTTGTTTCAAAATTGTTTTTAGGTAAATAATTTAGATACCAAAGTAAAAAAAACAACGGAAATAAATAATAATTTGGTAGACGAATACAAATATAAAAAATTAAATCCTGAGTTGTGAAATTATTGTAAAATTGCAATTTAATGTGATAATATGCATTTGTCATTTTAAAGTAGGTTTTCAATAAACGGTAGATTTTACAAACTGTTAATTTGTATAAATAGGTTAATTAAATAATTTATCAAAATTAAAAATAACGTATGGCGCCAACATTTGACCTTAGATGGGTATTTAAAACTTAAACCTAAAAAATGGCGAACGCGTCGGGGTAACGGTAATTTGATTTTTACAAAACGTATTTAAAATCCAAATTTAATGTTTCTTTAAATCAATAAAAAAAATCTATTTTAAATGCAAGAGAGGTTCCACAATAAATTACTGTTTCTAAAAAAATTAATTAACATGTATTTCGTTAAAAAAGATTTTTTATTTTTAATTTATGAAGTAAAAATATTAATTTTAATTGGGTTTATCGACTAACAGACATAAATAGGCAAAATTTTATATTATTTTACCTTGGATAAGTAATTAAAACTTAAAAAAATGGCGAATGCACCCGGGTAACGGTCATTTATATTTTTACAAAACAATAAAAATTCTAAATATCAATTTTATGTTTGTTAAATAAATAAAAAAATCTATGTAATCTATCTAATGTAAGAGAGGTTCTATAATAACTTTTACTCAAATTCAAATACAATTTATGTATATCGTTAAAAATTATTTTTTTATTTTTAAGTTATGAATTATGGAGTAGGTATTATTTTTTCAAATTAATTTTTTTTATTTTAAAATACAAAATTCAAGGTATTGTTGAATATTACAAAAATTCAATTGTTTTAAATTATTTTAAACCAAAACTGTTATTTTAATGTTTTAATAAATCAATAACGAATTCTATTTTTAAAATAAAAAAATCAACGTCCCACAACGTGCTATTTTTGTATATTTTATTCTTTAGTTGGCATCAGACAACAAAGAATCTAATTCTGATGGACCGCGCACATCCTGCACAAAAAGATTCACAAAAATTCCGCATGATTCATCAGAATTGGGTTTTCGCGGTATAAAAAATATTTGTATTAGATAAAAAATTAAAAACTATAATAAATCATGATTTAATCTGAAAATAATACAAAATATTAATGCAACAATATTTAAATTGGCACAAAAATGGTATGGATATAAATTACTGTGCACAGACATGTCTATACAAATATGAACAGTTCTTTAAAAGTTTTTTACTCATTTATATAGACATTAAGGCCACTCTTGAAATGGAAGTGTTACAATATTTATTAAAAAATTAATTATAAACTATAGTAGCAACAAAATAGAACATACAATTAATTCGCAATATCAAAATTAATTAATTTTTACATTACATTATTTATATTGTTCATATAAAGAAATTAATAATTACCATGTTACGTTTTAAGGAAGTTAAAGAGAAACTTATGTTTTTAATTAAAAATTATACTTTTATTTTTTGCACTAATCAAAAGCAAGTAATTGGATCTTCACATATGGGCCATTTCATAGACATGAATATTTTTAATTAAATGGAATCACAATTGCATATATACAAGGTGTCCTTAAACTTATTAACAATTATTGTAATCTCAAATAGCTCGGAAACGGTTTATTTTATGGACGTTTGAGAGGTACACCTTTTTAATAGTATCCGAACTGAGTAATCGAAAAATTGCATCAAATGGTATTAAAACCTAACCTCAAAGTTTGTATGGGACAATAAACTTAAGCAACCCCAGTTTCTATGACACTGCGTTCACTCGAACAATTGTAATTATGTGTGAATATGTGTTTTGGTAGTAAGTTACTGATTAGAGATAAGTTGCGTAATAACAATCCTATTAAAATAAAATTTATAGATTGGAAAAAAAGCCAGCGGTTCTAAAAATATTTGTGAAAAACTTAAAACCATTTTTCATAAAAATTTTACATGTAAGTACCTACATAAATTGAAATATTTAAATTAGGAATAAGCCAGCGGTTCAAAAAATAAATAATATAAACTAAAAATATTTCAAACCAAAAACCGTTATTACTTCGTTATTCCTGCGAATTTTGAAAATAAGTAAGTTTAACATGTAAACATACGCTATTATCACATTTTATGATGACCGCCATAAACTTTGGATTTTTTTATTTATTTTTTATCTAACAATGTAAAATTACAATATGGCGGAAATGGGAAAAACAAAAGATGGTAACAAAAATCACAAATTTGAATAATGTGAAACTTACTTCTTTCAAAATAACGATTTTTGGATCCAATATTTTAATTTATTTGATCTTTTAATAAAAAAGATACACATACTGTATGTACAGGGTGCATTAAGTATACTATCATAGGATTCCTATGTATGTGACATACATATGAATCCTATGATAAGATACTTGATGCACCCTGTATATACGAGTCAAATATTTAATTATACCTACAGGGTGTTATATTAAAAATAATGCTATTTTTTAAATTTTCGAAAGGTTTTTTATTTGTGTAAAAATACACTGCCCGTCAAAATTAAGGCATAAGTAAAAAAAATTTAACTCTAAAACGCCTTTACCAATCTATGAAATTTTGTATAAAAATACTTCAACTTATATCTCAGTTTACGTGTTCGAGGATTTTTCGAGAAATTATTTTGAAAGCACTTTTATTTAATAATTAAAAAAACGTTCGAAAAATAACTTTAAGGGAATTTTTTAAGTAAATAAAAAATATGCTGTTAAAGACTGTATTTTCGTTAGAATACCCTGAAAATTTTGTAGAAATCAAACAAACAGTAACGAAGTTACAGCGCTTCAAAGTCGGTAAAAATTACCTTTTTTATTATTTTGCTGAAAAGTGCTCATTTTTGACGACTTTGAAGCGCTGTATTTTCACATATTTTTTATTTACTTAAAAATAAATTTCCCCATAAAAGTTATCTTTCAAGCATTTTTTATTATTAAATAAAAGGGCTTTAAGGATATTTTCTCGAAATACCCTTGAACACGTAAACTGAGATATAAGTTGAAGTATTTTTATACAAAATTTTATAAAGATTGGTAAAGGCGTTTTAAATTTTTTTTACTTGTTATGCGTTAATTTTGACGCTTTGTGTTCTTTTTTAAGAATGGATTTTTTGTTCAAAAACTAATTTAAATTATTTAATTTTATTCATTTTATTTTCAAAATAAATAAATTAAGTAGGTACGCGTTTATAATAATAAATATACATATTTAAAATTCAAAAAAATATAAGAAACCATTAAGAAAATACAAAGTGTTTATCTACTGACCTTTTTGGAAATAATCGGTTGACTTTGTTGCATTTCGGGCTCCGCCTCAACGGTCGTTTCTCCAGGCATTTTGATTGTTTTTTTTTAATTTCCACCCCAGGAAGAAGCACAAAAACTGCTAAAAAACAGTAAACACAAACAACAAAGCGAAATGTGATGTCTGACGGTTTGTAAATATCGGCACCAGTAGACTAAAATGTCAAATACCGGCCGCCGGGTAAAAAACGACGACAAAAACCGCTAGGCATTGAAATGATCAAATCTCGCGAGCGCAGTCGCATCGCGGCGAAACGCGCCAGCTGGTCGTATCGACATGGATTTTATTATTATCTACATTATACGCGAACAAGGTCTGGGAATGTTCAGCATTCAGCGAAGATCGAATCGAACACACGGGATTACCGAAAATCGAACTGTAGTTGTTCTTGGAACTTGAAGAAATTCATAAAATCATTAAATTTATTTCACTTCCTAAGATTTTTTAAAGGAATTTTAATTTAAATTTAAAATGTTGGATTAACAAATTACAACAATGAATACAAATTACTGTAAAAAACCACGGTAAAAACCTTTTAATCGTAATTATTAAGAATATTTAATAAAAAAATATTTTTTCAGATATTGGAAGCAAACGTACGATTAAGTGTTTTTTGAATTGAATTTTATTATTTTTATTTAACTGCTTTATTATACAGGGTATTCAGAAATTGGCGCACCAATACGCGAACTATAAAAAAATAACAAAGATAGTTTTTAAAATCACTTTTTTAAATTTAATATTTTAGGCCTCTTTTTTATTACTAAGCCATGCGTTTTTTATATTTGAAATAACGCCCTACATCTATTGGCATATCTAAGCCATAGCGCTATTTTTAGGACACCCTTAAAATACCAAAAATAAAAAATATAACAATCGCATTTTTCGGTGAAAAAGTTACAAAACAGTTTTAAACTAAAAAGGAAAATATTGTATTAAATAGATTGGTCATTTTAAAATGTTAATACCCAAAAACCAAGTAAAAATGCATTTTTTTAGTTGATCCATTACAATTGTAATTAATGACTGATTAAGTGTATTTAACTCTTGTTGATTTAAGTATATATTAAATGTAGGGTGACTGAGCCTGTTGTCGGACGCTTAAGCTCATAGCTGGTAAAAAATAGCTTATATTTAAAGTAGTGGACAATCAAAGACCTGTTTCAGTTTAAAAGTTTATACTTTAGGATGTTAATAATTATTTCTAAAAAGGATTTTAACATTAGATCGTGAAAACCAATTTTATTTAAAAAAAAAAGTAAAGGTGGTCAATTTTACCCTTTATCGGACGCAATTTACCCATTACCGGACAACACTTCGCCTATTTTCGGACATTTTTTAAGTTGTAGGTGCGTAGGTTGATTTGGAACATTTTCCAAAAAACAAACTCATATCTATGTTTAAAAGTTTATTTGGTAAATATAGGTAAGTGCCTATAGTATAGAGAACATAATAAAATAATAAATAATAACAAAAATTAAATTTAAAAAAAATTGACACAAAAATATAAAAAATGCTTTCCACCACTGCTCTGGGGGGTTGTACATATGGGAATACAACTAATGGTGGACATATCTTTCCGTTAGCGGTAAAACATATTAAAACCGTTAAATTTTCGTTGCCTTTTTTGATTTGATAAAAGTTCTTCCATCCTTTAGGCCCCAAAACTTTGCCAGATTTTGGACAGAGGGAGAAACCTGATTCGTCTCCATTAAAAATCCTATCACCGTCTTCCATGATATAAAGAAGATTTTAATTTTTTAAGTTACCATAATCTAATGCTTTCTTCAGTCACTACTGCTCGCGCTTTATTTACACTTTCAGCTTCTCTTAAAGATATTTCTGGATGTCTTTTTAGAAAATTCTGATACCATTTCTGGTCTTCCGTTTTTAAATAAGTCTTCCTTTTTGTTGTCCGGACAATTTTTTAATTTTTTTTTCAACTGTATCTCCCAGACAGCACATATATCCATTGGACGTCCAGCGGACGACCATTGTACATCCAAATGTCCAATGTAAGTCCATTAGACGTCCAATGGACATCTTGTGCTGTATTAAAATAGATCAGGTTTTTTAATAGGAAATACAGATTTGGCTAAATGTATGACCCAGTTTGCAATTCTGTGGGTAAAAGGCATAAGCAATTTTTCAGTAGAGCCTTAATCGTATTCGCACTAATGCCATATGCTAACAAAAGCGTATACCCGCTAAACATAAATATATTTCCTGAATTAATGCGAACACGTTAAAGTCTCAATTGAAAAATTGCTTTTTTTGACTTATCCCATTATGCCTTTTACCCACAGAATTTTGCTTTCTCTATCCAAAGCTGGGGCTCTGGACCTGTTTTTCCACTTTTTTCTGGAGCTTTTCCTTGTGTCTTATCGTGGAGAGTACTTTTAGGAACACCATACAGCTGTCAACGCAGATTGTACAGCAATATCTGAATATTTGAAAAAACTTCATCTGAAATACTAAAATATATACCTATAGGTATAGGCACCTAAATACTAAAAACGGTACTATAGTATAAAAAGGTATGGTCGAGAAAAGGGCCCTTTGTCGGACACCAAATTTCGTATCGAAAAATATAATATAAAATGAAATTTTTTAGTGTCCGAAATCCGGAGAGCAAAGTTGCTTGACTAAATCCGTTTACTTAAAAATTACGCGAAAGGTATATTTCTTTACATAAGGTCAGAAGAAGACAGAAAAAAGAAAAAATTAGTTTACCGGTTTTCGGACGCTTGTACGAAAAAAGGATTTTCAACATTTTTTAATATCGGTTATTCGGACAGCAAATTTTTGTAAAAATAATGAAAAAAAGTTAGGTTTTTAAGCATATTTACTTATTTTTATATTGTATAAACAGGGTCAAATGAAAAAAGAGACCAAAAATTTTAAATATACATCCATACTTACTATTTTAAAGGCACTATATCACTACAATTTAAATACAAAAACGTTTAACATCCAACTTGTCACGTGCACGGCGGTTAAAAAAGTGTTCTGTCAAATTATTTACTTGCCACCAGAGGGTGCTGAATTTTAATAATGGAAAAGAGGAGGTGGTCAAATAATCAGAAAAAGTTAGACAACCAACATTTCAAGCTATTTAACTATTTTCGAGACTTTTAAATGAAATTGTCCGAAAATGGGTGGTGTCCGGCTAACAGGCTTATTCACCCTATATCGATATATCGTATTTTCACGGTAGAACTATACAGACTGACTGCATCCAAACTTAAGTTTACATATTATAAAATTTGTATAAATAATGCAAATCGTAGTTTGTTACAGGTTAACTTCATAATATAATCCAATATAGGATCCTTATTTTTAAACAATTGACGCGTTTCTCGGAAAAACATCATTAGTCCAAAATTAACATATTTGGGAAAATGAAAAAAACTCTCCGAATTCCCATTTTTGACCAAAGTACTTTATTGACCTATTTACTACATGTAAAAAAATGTAAGATACTTTGTCCAGAATTCCTCATGTTTTTTTTTTCAAACGAATATGAAAAAAACACAAAAAATACATAAACATGTGAGGTTTTTAGAAGAAAAAAAAACGAACAATTCTCCTTACTACAAACACTACAAACTAAATATTAACTCTGAGTAACAAAATAAATGAAAAAACTAAAAACTGTATTACTGCCACACTCAGTCTTTGCATCCACTGCTGTTATCATCGTTGTCGACCGTGTTATCAGGACTCTCAGGTGCTATGGTCTTCTGGTCTTTTATCAAGTTATCATAAAATTTTCTATTGCTGTGGTCACGTAAAAGAGGTAGAAGCTTTTCTAGAGTGTCCAAAAACGTCACATGTTATGCACATGTGACTATCTTAGACGAAACTGAGTGGACTTGTGATGTTTTTAGAAGAACAAGCTAAATTTCATATTTAATTATTATGGAACCTATGACATTTTTACGAGAAACACTTATTTGTATACGTATATATGGAGGTTAGGAAACAGTTGGTGCTAATATCTAAATTTCGACGATTTTGGACTAATGATGTTTTTCAGAGAAACGCCTCAATTAAGTAGTTTTACTTTTTCAGCGGAAATTTGGAATTTATATCCAAATTTGGAATTTTTATATTAATAAAACTATTTAAAAAATTGATAATAAAAAAAAAATGATCTTACTTTTACGGCCGTTTATTATTATAATCATAATATTATATCATAACATTATATGATTATAATCCGAGTCGGGAATTCACTTTTTTGTCGGTATCACTAGTATTCGGATATCCGGATATCCGAACTCTAGTGATACCGAGAAAAAAGTGAATTCCCGACTCGGATTATAATCTATAAAATTATGATTATAAAAATTCATCCTATTATTTTAATTCAGTAAGAATATTCTATCGGGCCGCAAAAAACATATGCGATGCTTTATTAACTTAATCAAAATCCACATTTGGATTGTGAACATAACCATTGTTTTATTTGGCACATTGATTTAAATAATTATAATTTGGTAATTTAACTTTATAAATCATTCATTATTTTGTAAAAATATATTTTCAAAAGACTCCCTTTTGCAAAAAGGACCCAACCAACAGTATATTTAACGTTTACGGTTATTTTCTTAGATCAAATAAATTTAATTCAATGTTTAGTTTTATTGTTTTTTTTTCTGTAATAGAGGATATTTTTTTTAAATTAAAATGTTTAGTTGTTAATTGCTACTTTTATTAAAATGTGTAAATTTTTCACAAAAAAATCAATATTTTTCAAAAAAGACAATTTTTTTAATTCCTGGGGAAAAACGGAAAAACAGGTTTTTTTTGTTTTAAAACGCTAGTTCGTACACAAAAGTCCCACCACGAGACTTTGATACAAATAATTAAGGTCTGTGTCAACTTTACACTGTCAAGCTAATTTCGTTCTATTTTCTAAAAATAATGCAACATACCCACGTATTTTTTGTGTAAAAAGGTCTTAATTTAGAAAATACAAAATACATATATTGTTTTATTTTTAGAAGATACGACTAAATTAGCTTGACACTAATAGACAAGTCCAAAATTTAAATTGTTTACAAGTTATTTTATAAAATAATTTTTTTAGATTAAAATGTTATTAAAACTGTTTTATAAAATATAATAACCATATTTTATACAATAGTTAAAACATTCTCACAAAAAATGCATTTTAAACTATAAAAATAATTTTATAAAATTTTAAATTTTGGACTTGTACTGTTCTTGATCTTACCAATTCAATTATTTGTATCAGTCACGTGGTGGGACTTCTGGGTGTGAAGCATAGTAACTTTATATTATATAATGCATGAAATAAACACCAAGAAAGATTTTCATGATTAAAAATAAAAGTAAAACATTTTTTCTTAAAACAAAGTTTTTCACTGAATAGCTTTTTCCCCTGAGTTCTTCATAGATTTAAATAAAAAACAATTTAAAAACCACGATTTTTTACACAAATTTTATAATTTTTCTCAACTTTTTAATAATATTATGAATATAAAAGTGCATGTTACAAATAAATATTTATTTATCACATGATAAACAAATATTAAAGATTATAACAAAAACCTACTTACCTTTATCAGTGTAAGATAAGTGTTTTATTATTCTCAATACACACTTAAACAGATTAACAACAATTAAAATGATAAATAACTTTAATAAAATAGCAAAGAATAAAAATATTTATTAAACTATGCAAATATATGGGCTATATTAAATTATTTATGTGTAAACGTGATTAAATAGAGTTAATGGATAAAAATACATATTTTTGTCTATGCAATAATTAATAAAAAAGGCATAAAAACATGATTAAAAATCAATGTTCCGAATTGCCCCACATTCTTAGGGCTGCCAGGGCAGCATTGAACTTTGAACACCATTCAATTCTTTCTTCTTTTGTATCTGCTGACAATAAATGCCTAAAAGAAAGAATAAAATAATAAAAAATGTTAATTATTTTAAGTATTTTACCTTATAATAGTTCTTTCCCCTTTTCGCACCATTACTAAGGTCTCTTTATCCTGTGGATAAGCAATCCTCTCCCTTTCCAGTAAAAACGTGTGCAAACGCGCACATATATCCCTACTAACAGGCCCGACCTGTTTTGTGACACAGTTTTTCAAACTAATTGTATCAATCGGTGCCTAAAAATATAAAATTATAATTAATATTAAAAATAAAAGTAAAATTCGGGTTTTTTCTCTTACCACTTTTTTCTCATCATCAGGGTACTTCCAGTAGCTTAAAGTGTGTCCTTTTAAAAGACACCATCTTCTGTGCCATGCACCAAACCCAGAGACATCTTCAAACATCGTCAAAAAACCGCGGTGTTCAACAGAAACTGCCAAATCGCATGTTATCTTCATTTCTACTATGCCTTCCAGAGGACTCATTGAAGGGGTCTAAAAATTAAAAATTATCACCACCATTCCAATAACTATTATTTTCAGTAAAATCGCTTTATTTTGAACATTTTAATGGTGTGTAGTGGGTGCCAAAGAAAAACCTATTCCACTACAATCTTACTTACATTGTTTAATGACCAATGTTTTTTTGTCACCGCCTGTACAGAAAAAACAACATATCCCATAAGGGAAAATGATGTGGATCTAACAGCTTGAGGACCTGCAGGAGATTCTTTAATAGGTCTTTGTAACCTGTCCTGTTTGGATTTTTTTGGTGTCATCTTGCTGCTGGGCTGCAAAGATAATTTTAAAAATCATATTTTGTATTTTTAATATGGTTTTTGTGTTTTTTGTCAATCTACTTACCTAACATACAGTTATATATTGCATATAAACAAAATACTGTGGGTATAAATAGAATTTTTTTTTAAAGTAATAGGGAAAATATTGTTACAAATGACGAAAAAAATGATGTCAAAGTATGAATTTTAGCATAACATGGAAATGTGTAATCTTTGAAATTATAAAACTCGTCAACGCATTTTTGACGCATAATAGGACATATTTTTGTATGGAATTAAATTTTCTCTTACAACGTTTTCAAAATTCCTAAATGGACGCCTTTCTGCAGAAAGGAACCAACCCACAAAACCAAAAAAATCGAGATATTTAGCCTATGAACTAATTAAGTATGTATAATTTATCTACAAAATAGGTCATAGCCAAAATGCAAGTGTAGTGAAATCTATTAATCATTGAACCAACCAACATTCAATAATAGTGTGGATTACTAATCCAAAATTAGAATCTGTACAGTATCTGCAAGTGGGTTGGATCTTTTTTGTAAAAAAGCAGGCTGGTAGACCCACTACCAAAGTCTTTAAAGATTTCCTGCTTCTGCAAAATATAAAGTCTTGATGCATTTTTTTGGTAGCTTACAAGATGAGGTGGGGTTGGAAGATGATGTGAACGAATTTCAAATAGAATCAAAATTAATTCATATTACCATTATAATACAGGGTTCCCACCAACATTGTCATTTAAAAAATCAAGACTTTCATGACCAAAAATTAACTTTTTCATGACTTGGTTCATGACTACAGTGAATAAGCCTAGCAAGCCTAGCAAGATATTAACCTTTTTTATTGAAAAACATTTATTCGATATAAAATAAATTCTTATAAAATAGAAACAAAGTAAAATTTTTAATAAAAACCGAACATAAAAATATTTAATTAAAATAATTTTTTTGTACAAATAATTATATGGCAAAAAGCTAAAAGAGTATAAGTAGGGTTACTAAAAATAGACGTTATTTCGTTTGAATTAACCTTAATTACAAAAATGACACAATTATACAATGCAAATTGTCAATTTTTTATTTTGTTGAAGGGCTTTTTCGAATCTTTTGTGTTTAGGCGTTTTAATGTGAATGTCTACAGCAGCTTTTCCCATGTTGCTTAAGCTGCATGATTTGTTGCATATTTTACAATAAAATCTTGTAGGGTCATTGACAACTGGGGTTATGATATTAACAAAATTACCATTTAAATCTGCATTTTGCCAATCTGGAAGAAAATATGTCTTTTTCTTTGGCATGTTTGCATAAAGCCGAAGCCACAGAACATAAGCCCTGCAATCGGTTAATAAACTTTAGAAAAATAGGAGAACATTAGTTACATTACTTACCAAAATTAAACAAAAATAATTCCGTATCAGTGCAATTATGACCGTTAGTGAGACATTGAAATTGCATTTGTTTAAAAATGACACATGGGAATGCAGGTCAAAATATGTATATGGGGTTGCCCAGAAGACAGCTTTGCCAGGTTAGTGTGGATTCACAATGGACATAACCATAAAAGATACATAATGAAATCATAAATCATAACCATAAAATTTACATAAAACCCAAAGAGCGTTCACAATGACCATAAAAATTGACATGTTGAGCATGTCAAACTAATGTCATTTTTTCGAAAATAAACTCATAAAATTTGTGAATTGTGTTTTTAAAATGAGTGAGACTGAAGAATTGTTATTATTGTTACTACTAAGACGACGATGCCAAGAACGCCAAGATAGGCTAAAACCAAAACGAACAAGACGCTGGTGGGTTCGTCCTATAAATAGAGATAGAGAAGAAAAGGGTTTTGAAGACTAATTATTGAAATGCGACTTCATGACACTGAATGGTTTTTTACTTATACTAGAATGACAGCCTCATTATTTGAGGAATTGCTAAAACTAGTGTCCCCTAAATTGATTAAACACAGCATACGAAAACCACTGAGTCCAAGTCAACGGCCATTACATTGAGGTTGTTTACTTACTTTTAAATAAATAAATAACGTATTTATTAATCCTTATGTAAATACATACAATGTAAGGTTACAACATAAGATTAAATGGCCAATGAAGAAAAAAAGAAGTTAGTCTAAAATGGATTTGAATAGTTCAAGTAATGTCTTTTCGGGATGTTTGAATTTCTGTTCTTCTGGGTGTCTTGTACCTACCTACTTTTATTATAATAAAAAACTAAAATAATAATTTGGCTTTATCTTAGGTATTTGTCTACCGGTGACTCAACCTTTTCCATAGCAAATGGTTACTATATAGGCACCGCAAGATTTGCCAATATAAAAACATAACAAACCAAAAGTCACCAAATTTTCCCTAAAAACTACATAAATATTTCATAAAGTTAAATTATTTTAACTTTATGTGATTTTTACGGTACTCCATAATTTTTACATAAGAGTCACATAAACGTAAAGATTACGTACTATGCACATTGTGAACGCTTCTTATGTATCCTTATGTACTTTTTTTATGTATTTCTTATGTTTTTTTTATGGTTACGTCCATTGTGAACAAGCACTTATATTATAAAAATAATTTGAAAATTTTTGTGCAACATACCTACCGTAATGTATGAAACAATAAATTGATAAAAATTATTATAAATCAAGAAAAATAATTGTTTTTAATTGAAAATCAAGACATTTAAGCTATATTTAGCTTCAATTCAGGACTTTCAGGTTCAAAATTTGTATTCATGACTTTATCAAGACTTTCAGGTTTTTCAGGATTGGTGGGAACCCTGTAATAGTAATATCAGTTGTATTTTGTTTGGAAATAAATAATTGTCGCTTTTCTTTAAATACATACATACATCAGATAGTAGTTTTCATAAATTGCAGAAAGGAACCAACCAACAAAAGCCCATTTTTTTCGTCACCCTTACACATAACATCACAAAATCCACCTGATGAAATTATTAAATTATATCCTTTAAACCTAAGTCCAAAATCGGCATAAAATTAACAGGTAATTTTAAAATTATTAAAATCTTTGATAGCTTTTTTCTCAGTTTCATCATGGTGTGGGTTGGTCCCATTCTGCAGAAAGCCGTCCAAATAGTCTTTAGTTATTTCAATTATATTTATGCTTAAATAACATTCTCAAAAAATACAGAAAACCATTGTATATGTTAAAAACGGAAAACAGACAATTTTTAAATAATGAAGAAATAAGAAAATTGTAAATATTTAGAAATTATAAATATCCTGAATGATAATAAAATGTTGTTGATAGACTATAAATAATTTAAAGTTATAAAATAAAAACCAAACATAACAAAAAACTTTGACTTACCTTTTTGTTGTTGATGTGGTATTTAACCTCGTGCGGTAAAAACTCTTCTTGCGCTTGCAGACAGTAAACTTCAAAAGTTACCGTTAAATCGCTATACACATTTTTAAGGATTATCGTCCCTGGAATGTACAAATCCACCTCTGGATTTTTCTTACTGCCCGCCACTGTGGACACCAACTTCGTAGGAACCACTTGATCTCCGCATTTTATGAGGCAAACAACGTGGTGTCCTTTGCCACCAGCTAAAAAGAGAATATTTGCGTTTGAGAAACGTATTTTTTAACATATAAATTGTCACTTACTGGCTGCCAGTGCGGTAACATATTTTTGTTTCAGAGGCAGTACCATATTGGATATGGTTAGCGCGCCTTTTTCTAACGGTAAGTTTTGCGCATGCTCGCCCTGTGGGCGAATGGTACCTTCGACTTTCATTCGTTGAATTTCGTGTAGACAAGCTTGTCTCCTATGAGCTACAAACATTTCAGATACAGACAATTTTTAAAAAATTTTACTTCTACAAAATTGGGGTGGGTTGGAAATTGTCCAATATATGTCAAAAACATAACTTAAAATTTCAAATCGTTTTAAGTTTATGTTTTTAACATTCTAAAATGTATTTTTTGGTTTTTATATTCCAAATTTATTCAACATTCTAAAATATGGTTTTTACATTCTAAAATTTGCTTTTGAGATTATTATTAGTATGCTATTATATGTTTTGACTAGTGATGTAAACTGAAAACTGTTTTTTAAACATGTTTTTTTACATAAAAAAGAAAGCGGTTTAATAGAGATTCTCTATTTTATATTATGACTGCTAATCCAACAATATAAAATCAAGCTGATTCTTATTACACAGTATGACAAAATTTGATTCTTTTTTCCTTCCATAAAAAATTTCTACAGATTTTAAAAACAGACTTAATAAAACGATACCCGTTTCACGTCATATTTTTTAGTGCGATCCAATAGAATGTTATCCACAGTATTTGGCACATAATAAAACAGCTTCGATAACAGCTACTGTGTGGTTTAAAAAAAAATATTTACTGAACAAATGGTTAAACAATAAAGCTACATTTTAATAGTATATTATGTATCAAGTTTTATAAATGCCATTTTAGTTACGAGTTTAATTAAGCACGAGCGAAGCTTGCGAGCGAGTGTTTAATAAAAACGAGTGTCTAGAAAAGTTTATAAACGAGTTGCATACTATACTTTATCTACGACGAACACAAAACAGAATTTAAAGCCAATTTTATTTGTTAAAATTTTGACATCTGTCAACTGTCACCCGAATTTAACCTCACTTTTTCCCAATTTATAATAAAGCTAACTTCAGCCCGTGACGTAAAATGTCGAAAAGCCACTGTTGTTAACTTCAGCCCGTCAATAAAACGCCATAAAGTTACAGCTCGTCAATGTAGGAGTAGATAATAGTTATTTACGATATAAGTGGGATAAGCGCTTTATTAACGTACGCATGCGAAATTTGCCCAACGAGTGCGTAGCACGAGTTGGGCAATCGCAAAAGTACGTTAATAAAGCGTTATCACACGTATATTGTATTTTTATCTACGCCTCTAAATGAAAAAATAAACGGTAATTATTTTTGTCTAAGACTTAATTTAGGGTTATTTTGACATTTTGACTTTTTTATTTGATTGGTTAAAAGCAGAGAAAAACGCGTGCGTTAATAAACTTCTTATCTCACTCAAAATGAGTGGGATAAGAAGTTCTTATCTCACTGGCGTAGATAAAATTATTTAAATTTTATACAGGGTATTGCACATTTACAAAATATATCAAGTGGTGTTTTTTAGGTTGTGATACCACTATAGATTCTAACACAATGTATAATCGTCAGACTAGAAGAACAATATTTTTTTCCAACATATATTGAATCTAAGAAAAATACAAATCTGTTGTTTTATTAAAAAAAATCAAAAAAATTTCTTTTAGCTAAACAAAAATTTAAATTATTATTTTTTATATTATGTAAAAACACACAATAAATAAACAATCGGAAAGTTTTCATTTCAAGGAAACTTTCCGTTTTGGAAAGTTTCCAATTGGGAATTTATTTTCATTTTGAAAGTTTCTTTTAAGCTACCGGAAACATTCCTTGGAAACATTCCTTGGAAACTTTCCTTGTTTTTTTCATTTAAATGTCAATTGTTTAACCGCTGATTTTCGTTAAGTCCATGATACAAGGCCAAGAAACTTTGAATAAGAATTCAATGTGTGTTAATTTAAAGCAGAAGAAGAAGTATAAATAATGTGAGTTATGTTACATAACCTCAATGAAGCCGGATTATTCAGCATCATCACAAAAAACTTTTTTAAAAAAAGGTATACAAAATAAAAACAATAAACAAAGTTAAAATCATTCTTACATTTTTGTTGTTTATTTATAGGCATAGCACAATGCAAAGAGAAAAATCTAGTGTTTGGAATTATTACAAAATAGTGCAAAAAAACAAAAATTGTATCAGTCAGAACTGCAATACTATTTTTAGTATCTTTTACTTTTCAATATTCCTATATAATATTCCTATATATATATATATTAGTTACTTTGTCCATTTTAATTTTTTTACGTAATATCTAGGCAGTGAATTTCTAATAGTAAACAATTTATTTTTATTTTGTAGGTTTCAGTATACAATAGGAATATTCCAAAGTAAAAGATACTAGAAATAGTATTGCAGTTACATTTTTTTTATTTTTTTTCTTAATAAAATTTGACAAAAAGTTAATGTGTTCTATATTTTATCAAATCCCTGGCATAAAAAAAATATTTTCGCAATAAAAAATTTTTTTTTAAACTTTCGGAAAATTTCGGGAATTTTCGATGGAAAGTTTCCGGGAATTTTCGTCAAATGGGAATTTTCCCATCTCTAGAAAATATTTTCTCCATTGATTTTTTGTTTCACTATAATTGGAAAATATTATCACAAAGTATTAAAAAATTTTACAGGGAAAATTTTTAGGTACAAAAAGTGACGGTTGTATTTATTGGAATTCCCGTTAGAATTTTTAGAATGGGAATCTATCGGCGTTAAAATCTCAAATTTTTCTGTGTAAATCAAAATTTATCAATTGAAAATAGACTAACAGTAAAAGAGAATAGAATGTTTTATGGGCACTGTACGCAAAATTTGTAATCAGTAACTGTTAAATGATTTAACTTTACACGGTGCTGTTCTGAGAGGTGATTTTTGGACTTTCTGTGAAACCTAATTTTTTTTATATTCTTGTTAATTAGGTCATAACTAAAATTTTAAGAGCAAAATAAAAAAAATTTGACGGTTAATTTTGTTTTAATTGGATGTTTATTAAAAATATGTATGCACACTATTTTATTTAAATATTATCATAACTTTTTAAATTAGATTAAAGATTAGTTAATTTCCTAAAAAAAGGTCTATACATTTTTATATCTTTTACTGTTTTGTTGTAATACACCTTTAAAGTTTTAATTTAAGGTTAAATGTATAGTATACATTTATTAAACAATAATTCTAAGGGTGCCACATTTTATTTAGGGCCGATTTATTCATTTTTGATTTATTTGACGAATAATTTCTTTGGATACTAGATATTGCCAAGACATGAAAGTTATCGGCCCGATAAACTTTACTAAAGATGAATAAACCGGTCCTTAGTTAAATTTCATGAATTTCTTTGTAACTTTTACTACAATTTTTCATTTTTGTTTATAAAAAACACTTTAAAAAACTAAACAAAAATTATAGAATACGTATACTGAAAATGACAATTCAAACGTCAAATAATTTTTTAATAGATTAAGTTTCATGGCAACCTTTAAGGATATATTAATTAAGGGAACATAAATGTATACGTCAAAGGTTAGATTAAAATTTTGAATGTTTATTGCAACAAAACAGTAAAATATATAAAAAAATTGTAAAAACCTTTCTTTTAGTTATGCAAATATTAAATATTTAAATTAAATCGCTAGTTTTAATTGGATAATTGAAAGAGTGCATAATATTTTTAATAAACAGCCAATTAAAACAATTCAAACCGTCAAATTTTTTTTATTTTGCTCTTAAAATTTTAGTTATGACCTAATTAACAAGAATATAAAAAAAAATTAGGTTTCACAGAAAGTCCAAAAATCACCTCTCAGAACAGCACCGTGTTTAATCTAGTTACTGCACTACTAGGGCGAAATCAAAAGGTCAGAACAAACGTTCATATAATCTTTTCAAATATTGGCGTCAAGAAACTATTTGATACTTTTGTATTTTTTATTAAGGTAATAAAATAATTTTCATATTAAGTACATTTGACAACTGCCATTAACTTAAAACCAACTTCAGCCCATGACTAAAAACCTGTTGCTAACTTCAGCCTGCGACTAAAGCGCCATAAAGCGACAACTTGTCAATGTGTATTTAAAAGGTCATGTACAATAATGGGCGTTTTAAAGGTGGGAGTAGAAAATATAATTTTTTTATCATTTTGACATCATGCCTTTCATCATTCTAAAGTACAATTTAACCTGTTGAGTCAAAACTTTTGACATACTAAAATGTTAAGAAATTTGACGTTCTAAATTGAGATATTGACAACTGAACACATTAGGTATGTACTATTCTTTTTAAAACTGAAATATTTTTTATTTAACTTTGTATACACATAGGTTTTTTTTAAACACTTTTTTTACAGAATTGAATGTGATTTTAAAGAATGGTTGCGTATATGTGGTTAGATAAAAATATTTTTGTTTTAAAAATTGCGCCTTAATTTTGCGGCGACGTGTATGACTTTAAAAAGTGCTTTTTTATGTTATGTAAGTTACTTACTTGCAACAAGCAAAACTTTTTCAGCCTCGACTTGTTCAGTGGATCCCGAAAATTCCGGCGTACAATTGCACAAATTTAATGCCTGGCTGGTCTGCGATATTATCATTTGCTGCTTGTTAACTTCATCGTTTAATTCCTTTATTTTTTTTTCCACTTCCTTTAATTGTTTTTTATCGGTTTTCTCGACGTCTTCCTCAATCAGAGCCTGTCTAGTCACTTGGCGCACTGGAGTCTTATTTTGCTAAAAAATTATAATATAAAATATGGGAAAACCCATACAAAAGTGTTATTTTCTCACTTGAGTTTGTTGTTTTCTGTAAAAACTGACAGTATGGGTAAGGGGCACCATATTGTCCCCATCCATAACATATTGCTGCTGCTCCAATGATTTCCTAGGAGATGGAACTTTCATAGGAGATCTGAACTGAGATTTTGGAGACTTAACGTTAGGCGTGAAACTCTTATAGTTAAACGAGTGCGATGGAGCAGCTTGACACTGAAAAACCACCATCAAAAAAAGAATGATTGATGAATAAGCAAAGCGATGATCACATTTCTATGAGGGAAATCTAAACGTATTTAGAGTTCCCGTGCAGAACTCTAGGCGTATTTAGAGTTCCTTGTAGTTTTTCGAATGTTTCGACTTACATTTTGTGACTGCCTTAGATTTTTTGGAGGAGTTGGGCCAGAACTTTCAATGTCATCTTCTACCATGTCGTTTAAGTAATCAAGTTCTTCAAGTGCACTTGAAATGTCGCTGGCGGTGCTTTCATCGTAAATTGGCTAAAATAAGTAAAACAACAATACAAAGTTGTTTTTTTGGAAATCAATAAGGGTTTTTAAATAAATATTGTAAAAGAGATGAGTCCGATTATGTAATGACATTTTTAGCCAAAGCTTTCCTTGTACTGGGCCTTTACAAGAATGTTTTAATAAAAATATTAATTTTGATAAAAGACTGTCGTGATAAGGTCATGCAATGGCCCTTTTCAGGCTAATATTTGTATATTTTACCATAAAAAACCCATATATATAAGGTGACCAACTTTCTAAAATGAAAAACCAGGACACATGCCCCTCCTCGACCTTCCAAAAAATAAACAAAATTTATTTTATTTCATCTTTTTAATTTGAAAAAGATGTGCCAATAACGTCAATAGTAAAAAAAATATCCTGAAGGTACTCCCAAAAATTAAGATTTTTAAATTAATTTTTAACCTGAACCCCGACAACTTTTAATAAAAAATCCCAAGAAAGTGGAAACAAAAATTAATATTTTTTATTTTTTTTAAACGAGGTTTTTTCTTACTTTTTTACTATCCTGGACGACAAATTTAGATTTTTAAATTAATTTTTAACCTGAGCCCCGACCACTTTTATTAAAATATTAAAACAAATCCTAAAAAAATGGGAAAAACTTATAATTTCGAAAAAAATTAAACGAGGTTTTTTCTTACTGAATTACCATCCTAAAGGTACTCCCAAAAATTCAGATTTGTAAATTAATTTTTAACCCGAGCCCCAACCATTTTTAATAAAAAAATTATAACAAATTCTAACAAAGTGAACAAAATTCATAATTTAAAAAAAAAATTAAACGAGGTTTTTTCTTATTATTTTACTATCGTGAAGGTACTCCCAAAATTCCGATTTTTAAATTAACTTTTAACCTGAACCCTGACCACTTTTAAAAATAATATAACAAATCCTAAAAAAGTGAGAAAAAGTCATAATTGTTAATATTTTTTTTAAACGAGGTTTTTTCTTACTCTTCTAAATGTACGTCCAAAGATTTGGATTTTTAAATTAATTTTCAACATACTTTTAAAAAAAATTGCTAATAACGTCAATAATAATAAAATTAGTTTAAACCAGGACCAAATCAGCAAAACCAGAACAAAACCAGTAAACAATTAAAACCAGGACACATTAGCAAAAACCATAACATGTCCTGGGTAAACCAGGTCACCTTACATATATGACAATTTTTAGTATCAAGTTAATGGGACTAAAAACCATTAAAGTGCCAAACTCGGTGCCAAATGGTTTTCTGTATATAAAACTTACATGAACCTTTAATTACTTTGGTTCACGCCATATTTTAAAAATTACGCGTAGTGTAATTCCTAGATTTAATAGTGTGTTATACATAAAAAAAATAATACCAAATGGTTGTTAAATTTAAATAAGTAAGTATAAACACAAGGTCCTATAGGTCCATTTTTAATTTTAGAACTTTTAGTACAGACAAAATACTGCCAGAGTTTAGTACAAAGGTTTAATAGATAAGGTCAAAATTGTGACAATTGCGAATAAATAAAATTAATAATGACAAAGAAAACCTAGGATCTTCATTTGGACGAAAATTTCTATTTTTTTCGCCCGGAAAACTTAATTTTTGTACCCTCGAAAATTTGCGAACACATTTTGCAAAACCCTTCGTTCACGAAAGTACTAATATGGTTTTTTTATCAAGATCTGTTGGGCGGTTTTTGATATTTTATGCTCACCGCAAACGCTTAAAAAAAGGCGTTTCGGGGCAAGGGCTGTATTTTCCACAATTTTGCATATTTTCGCATACAATTTTTTCACAAATACTTTGAAACATACCCTATTCGATGCTTTATAGTTTGTTTTAATATAATTATTATTATATACCAAAAAAATTACCAAAACCCGTTAATTTTTAAGCGCCCATATGTATGTAACCCCTTAAGGATTTCTTTATTTATTTAAATATTATGTATTTTATTTATTAATAACGAAATAATACTTTTTTTAAATAAAAAAAAAGTTTTACTTACAACACATTGCTTTGTATTTTTTCTTGTAAATTTATTAATGTTTTAGTATTACATTTCACGATAGTATATAGTAGTAAAGTATTTATTATGGTATTTATATTTATTGGATTGGATATTCCACGGTAATCGGAAATTTTTATCCCGACCGTCAGAAATGGTATTGTGACGGTAGGGAGAACAATTTCTGATCATTGTGGAATATCCTTATGTAATAAATATATTAGGGTGGTCGTTAAAAATTAAATTTTGTGCGACGCTCCCTAAAAAGCTTCTTTTTGATGAATTTTTTTTTTAATTAAAAACAACACGTTAATTTTTTGGTATAATCATGTTTTTTTTGGGAATTTTTTGTGAAAAATAAAATTTTATTCGAAATATAAACAATTATAGAACCCAAATCAATAAAAAAAATAGTTATTTGAAATAACAATAGACAAAAATTTTAATTCAAAATTTTTCCCAGTTGATTTGGTCTAAAAAAATAAAAGATATTCAAATTGATATTTTTATTTTAAAACTAAATTAGTACAAACGTAATTTTAATATCTAGATTTCTTCACTCCAAAGTGAAGTTATTTCATTGTTAATAATTTTTAAATCTTAAAAAAAATTATTACTCCATATTTTCAGAAAAGACATAATTACGTGTTGTTTTTAATAAAAAAACAAAAAAATTCCCAGTGTTTTTTCATCAAAACAAAGCTTTTTAGGGGGCGTCGCAAAAAATTTAAGTTTTAACGCCCACCCTAAAATATACCTACCACATTTAATCCACCATAAACAGGGCTCCCACGGTTAAATTACAAATTTTATTTAGGAATTTAGGAGGTTTTTTGAAAAATTTTAGGAGAAAAAAGTATGCAAATGAATTTATTCAATTAAATAAAAATAACTCTACACTATACTTAAAAAATAAGAAAAAAATAAGTAATTCTTTTTAACAAAAATATAAATAAATATCACTTCTTTTGTACTTATATTGACTAGTTTTTTAGCCAAATCGCTTGACGAGTTTTTTTTTTAATAAAATGAAAAGTGAGTTAAAATTACTACTTTTGTATACATATATCTACACGTAGAAATTTCACCACACTTTTAATTTTATTTAAAAAAAAAGCGTCGATAGATATGGCTAAAAAAGTAGGCCAAAGTTTAATGATGTTATATTTATATTTTGAAAAAAAAATTAACAGTTTAGTTAATAACTAACAATAATTTTAATGTTATTGTTACAACATTCTTTAGATTGTTTACTATTTTAGCAATCATTTAAAAGAAAATTAAAAATCCTTTGGTTTGATATATAACACGGTATATTTTTGTCGAAAATTAACGAAATATGGCTAAAAATGACAATTTTGTAGAAGTCTAGAAGCTGCTACATGGATTTTGTTTTATGGTATATTTTGTTGTTTTTTAAGAAAAATGTAGGTTGTGAAACCTATATCATTTTAAAAAGAATTTAATAAACTAGAACCCAAAAATATATATTTTTAAATTACTTTTTAAAAAAGAAATTTTTTAGCAAAACTACCTTAATTAAACGCAGTTGGCCTACTTATATTTAATTTTTAGGAGTTTTAGGAGATTGATGGCAATTTTAGGAGTTTTCAAGATTTAAGCCAAATTTTAGGAGGTGTGGGAGCCCTGCATAAAAGATACTTCACTTATCCATTAAAAATTATTTATATAACCACTATAGAATCTTTAGCCCCCATATCAGAAACTTGCCAAATTTGTACCTTTTATCTGCCATGTCAGAACCTTTAGTGCCTTTATTGACTGCTGTTACATGCCCATTAAAGGTGTACGCGACACAATATGTACAGTTCCAAACATATTTTATTAAGAAACAAAAACTAGATACAAAAACACACAAATACATTTTAGATGAAATTTATATTTACCCTTTTTTGAGGAGTTTGGTTTTTACAAACTGCTTCGAGAAGATCGCGACCAAAACTTGTATTTGGATCGTCGGAGTCATACTGATTTCCAAAACTGAAAAAACGACACAATTCACTTTTTTTGTCATTTAACACATTTCTTATGTAATGGATGATATTAAATAAATGATTAATTTAATAAAAAATAAAATTAAATAGGTGAAATGAAAGATGGCTAAATTCAATGAAATAATTTATTTTATCACAGTACATTAACAAGGAATATATTTCAGTCTTACTTCTAATACTTCAGTTCAATTTGAAAAGTGGCAAAAATTAAGCTGACAAAATAACAAGGTATGGCACATGTAACTTAAATTGTATGTGGAAATTATGAAAAATTAATAAAGTCTTAAAATAATATCACAATGTAGTACATTGAATGTAGGTAATGTCACTGAATAAAATGTAAATTTTGTAAAAAGCTGCGAAAAGAAAAGCAAGTTTTGTGTAATATTATTGAGTAATATGTAAGCTTAGTTTTTAATTATGTAATATCATATAATCTAATTAATTTATAACTAATAATACTTAATAACCCTGATTAAAGATTTAATATTATTCCATATGACATTCTAATGTTGAAATGAAATTTTTCCAAACCATTATTTTGATCTATTAGAAAAGTGTTTTATTGTGTTTGGAATAATTTTAGAATATCCATATAGTTTTTTAACAGTACAAACTAGGTGGACGGTATGTACCTCAAACTTAACAAACGAAAAAAACAAGAAAAACTCAAACAATTGTTAACTTTGGAAAATTAAGCCAAGCACAAGCAAAACAAAACCCAGTCTGTAAAAGTACCGCACCTGCTATTTCTGCTGTCATCCGACGTTTGAGTCTGAGTTTCCGTTTCCGTGGAGGCCTCGATATCCGACAGGTTCGGGTAGAGTTTTCCGTGCTTGGGGGGCGAAACTTTGATCCTTTTCACTTCGTCCAGCACAGCTGTGACGATTTGATCCGATGAAGTGCCTGTAAGAACAATTGTGAAGAATTTGATGTTTGGTAGTGTCATTATATTATATAAGTTGTAAGTCAGTGGTGGTTCTGTAGTTTTTTATGTTGTTGGGACAAGTTTGTTTTACTTCTGAGATATAAAGGGCGTTGCAAAATAGTAGATTATAGAGTCCCTATAAGAAGAGTGGCCTGTGGCAAAATGGCTGTTGACCGGAGTATTTACCTAATTTGTATGTTTTTTTTAATTTTTAATGATTTTTTCCCCAGAATTTTTATATTTTTTTCTTTATTTTTGAATAAATGGTGACCAACAACTTTTCTCGGGTAATTTGGGTGCGCTGATTCCAAAAATAATCAAAATTTAGCTCAATTAGTCTTTGATTTCAAGGTATTGAACAAAATCTTTTTTTTTTCGATATTCAAACATTACAAATTCTTACATATATTTTTTTAATAAAATACTTTAACCATTGATCATGAAGCTATAATTACTATGGTAATTATAATTTAACAGGAAAACAAATTTTACACATTTATAAAGCTATTTCCTTAAAAAAACTTATTTTTAAGGAAATAAAATTGATTTTTTAGCAAAAATCAAATACTTTAAACAAGGATTATAAGTCATGAAGCTATAAGTACTAATTTAACAGGAAAACACATTTATAAAGCTATTTCCTTAAAAAAAACCTATTTTTAACGGAATAAAATTGATTTTTTAGTAAAAATAATTACATTTTTCAAAGTGCTTTTCGCGGACAATTTTGTTTAATTTTAATAAAATTTACAAGTTTTGTAGCCTTATTTATCTACTTTATTGTGCTAAAATGTTAATGCAATCAAATAAAAATTGCCAAAATGGCACTCAATTTATATTTACGGTCATTTTCGGAATTTCTAAAAAAATCCTATGAACAAAATTGCCACAAGAACTCTGGGAGGTAATCATTACGAAAATGCATTATTTTGTTTTAACCCTCAGTTTTCTTATGCTTAGGTCAAGTTCATTTTTATTACCACAGCATAAAGATATCCTTTTTCTGTAGTAGTACGATCAGCTTCCTCCGAGTTGATTTGTCATCTGACATATTGGACTGTTTGAGTTAGAGACAAAAAGTAATGAAAATTATGTACCAATTTAAAAGTACCTAATTGAAATGAGTTCGTTACTTATTCATACATACAGCTTTTCTCAGGATAAAAAACCATCGCAAACATCTATTTTTAATATAAGATTTACAATTTATGTTTAAATTTTAATTCCCACACCAATCCTTAAGCGGGGGTGATGGTTACCCCTAAAATGTTTAAAGGGAAGTGGGGTCGAGTGATATCTCATTTTGAAGGCCTTTCAAATCACTACATTTTGGTGTATTAGTTTATAAATTTGGTTGGTTCATTTTCGAGATATTTGAGAAAACTTTTGAGAAATTTTTTTAGTTTAAATTTTGACACAATAAAGTAGAAAAAAATGTTTGCATAACAGCACTTTAAACTTTGGAAAATTGTAGAAAATTTGCAGAAACGGGTTTTTTACGATATCCCTAAAACAAAGGCTAATTTATAGTCATTTTTTGAAACATCACACATATAATACCCTAAAAAAGTTATTGGGTACCCTGTGGCAAACAAAACAGTTCATTTTGTCAACCAATGTTATACATGATAAAGGAAAAACATAAAGAGAACTTAAATAACAAACGAATAAATAAAAAAAATATCATTTATAATTCGATTAAGAAATAAATTAAAAGATAAAAAAATTGCGAAAATAAAAAAAAAATCGGAACAAATCATTGTAAAAATACCATTAATGATAGATATAGACATTGAAAAGGGATTAATTCAAAAGCTGAAAAAGAAGTACAGAAAAAGTATGAAAATTCTGGTAAAATTTGTTTTAAAAAAATCATTAAAATTAAAAAGAAAGATAAAAGTTTATACAACCATGAAAAAACGTCAAATTTTATGAGATTACCAAACTAAGAAACCCAATATTATTTTAAAATTATTTTTAATTGATTTAAAAATGAATTAACCTAGGAAAAAATACGACCACTTATTATAATAGCAGTCCTATGACGCCCCCTTTTATATGTCATAAAATGTTTAAGCCTCCCAGATAGTTTTGACAAGAACATTTAGGAACGTTTGGGAAACGCTAATTTATAAAAATAGATGTAGAAAAGGAATGCATTCAAAAATTAAATAAAAAGATGGAAATTATGGAAAAAAGTAATTAAAATTTGTAAAACAAACGCTAAAATTATATACACTCATTAAAAAAACGTAAAATTTTACTAAAACTATTAAATAATAAACGATTAATTAAAAAAATAAAAAATATGCAAATTTATAGTATTAAAAACCTTAATTTGCGACCAAAAAAAAATAGAAATCCAAGAAAGGTACTTACTGGATCTTTTACCCCCACTCTTCCTACTTTCCACGTAAATATGCTCTGGAGCGGGTGGTGGAGGGGGCATCGAAGAAGAAACAATTTTTGTTGATTTTCTCTCACATAACATTGCAGTTTCTTCATTCGCATCCATTTCATCTTCATCGGAACTTTCTTCTTGAACATTAGCCACCTAAGTAAAACATTTTTCTTATAAATGTTTACAATAGTTTATATTAAACTCTCACTATGTTTGAGCTGTCTAAAATGACCAAAAACTGTTTTAAAACGTGCACGAGTGTCTAAAAATGCCCTAAACACTGTTTAAATTTGTGATTTACCTCTTTATTTTTGTTAAATCTGTTTAACAACATGTCCATCTCCTTCTGCCTTTGCTCCTTAATACCGCTTGAAATCTGACCTTCCGAAATCGTGCTCTTCCCTTCGAGCAGTGCTGCCATCTTGCTGGCGATACCGCCAGCTTGACTCACCGCCGCTACGGTGGGCGGATTGTGAACTTGCGCGACGGTGGGCGGTTTGGGCGCCGGGTATTTCTTACCGCCCGACGCCTTTTCCCCCGATTTCGCGGCTAATGCAGGTTTGGTGTTTTGCTTTGCGTCGCTTACAGGGGCCGACATTCCGAAGGCGGCTTTGGGGACCAAGGCGGCGCCTTTGTTTTTCTCGAACAGAGCCATGCGTTCAGATACCGACATCAAGGCTGGGTCCTTTGTAGGTTTGTTGGGGCTATTTGCGGCACTTTCGAAGAACGCGGCTCTGCCGGAAATAACGCCTTTGGATTTTACGGGGCTTCGAGGGCATTTTGTGGGGGAGGAAGGGGTTTTGCCGCCGCCGTTAAAGTTTGCCTGAATTTCCGCGATTTTGTTGCTACCTTTTTCCGGTTCTTCTCTGACAGTTTCCGGTTTGGATTTTTTTGTTTCATCTTTTTTATTTACATTTTCCTGCGAATTATATGAGTATACTAAGCGCGAACTGGAGGAGGTACGCGTAAAACCCTGTGATTCCTAGAATAATAATGGTAAACTCAAGTTACCTAGTGAATGACGATTGAAAAAAATATTATATAGGATCATGAAGAGAAAATGAAAATGTTATATACAATTATAAAAGAAAATGTAATGTAATAATGTAAAATTGTAATAACAAAAATATTTTTAGATACAAAAAAGATGTCTGTCATGCAAGAAGAATGCAAAATAATAAAAATTAAAAAGTATTAACATGTTTGAAAAAAAGCATAAGGTGGGAATTAAAAAAATAATATTGGTGTTTTTTAAGTGTTTAGTAGGAAAAATAAAATTAAATAGTTAAAAAGCAGAAGAGTGTTCTGGGATTCACAGGATTTTTACATGCAAAAAATATTTATTAAGTAGTCAGTACATTTTTTTGTAATTTGTAATATATACCAAAAATGTTTTCTTTCTTTTATATTTTACTAATAATAATAAAAATATTTTCAAAATCGTTAAATAGCATTTGTCATCTGACCACTTAATTTAATAAATTATTTAAAAAATAATAAATGCAATAAAAAAAATTTCATTCAAAAAAATATTTTTCTTACCAATGTATCCAATACTGTTTGATCCCACTTGATTTGTTTAGGAGTTGCACCCTGCACTCTTGGTGCACTTAAACTACTTTTAGTGGGGCTAGAAGATATTGAAGCCGCTTTGGGAGGGTCGTTATTTTTTGGAGGGTTGGGTGCTTTACCCTTAACTTTTAACGGAGAATTTTCAGTGGGGGGTTGAGGTGCTGGATGCTTCCACGTTTTCTTGGATGGCGATTTTGATTCTTTTGTTAGGGCCTAAGCAATAACATGTCAAAATAGAATAAAAAATAAAGTAAAAAAACTTACCATGTGGGTTAGGTCATCCTCAAATTCATTAATATGGCTTGCCAAATCAGCCAACTTACTAAGACCTTTTCTGCCAGATTTTGATTCAGTGGTTTTTGATACTTTTTTTACACTTTCTTCTTCATGCATTTCATGAAATTTAGCCTCAGATTTGTGAATTGGCGAGGAAATTCCAGCATCATCACCACCTGAATTTCAAAATAAGAATAAAAAATATTTCTTCATATTAGTATCCATTACACTTGTTTTATTTTATTTTTGTTTTAGAGTGTTAAAAAAATGTAAAAAAATGTCATAATACTGTCCAAAAGTCTTTACATGTTTTCCAAAGTATTCTAAAATGTCATTTAACTGTCTTAGAGCTGTGACAGCTCAGGTATCAATGTCCTTTGTAAAATTTAAATGTTCTAAAACTGTCTAAAAATATTATTTTTTATTAAATGTTTTAAAAATTACTTAAAACTTTTTAAATATTCTAAAACTATTTTAAAAGGGTCCCAAAATGTTCGTGAAACTATTTTCAAAATTATCCAAATCTGCCAATGTTTTGAAAAAAGCACCAAAACATAAAAATTAGCAAAACAATCTGTATAAAAATGTAAGTTACCCAAAACATTTTATTAAAATTCTAAAACTGATCCCAAAATATTCATACAAGTGCATTATACTGTCAAAAATGTCCTAAAACTGTCTAAAATTTTCTAAAACTAATCTAATTGTATATAGTCTCTACGAAGTCAGTGTAAACAGCATAAAAACTAAAAATCGTAGGCCGCATCTCTTTTAAGCAGGGGCATGCAAATTGCATGATGCGGTAAATACAAATTTTGTTATTTTATTTCAGTGACTGATGCAGTAAATTGATTGTACCCCAATTTCCTTGCAGTTTTGCTGACTTTGTATGGACTTTTCCTATACAGGGTCACCAAGTACCTTCCATGTGTATACTATGGGTATTTTTTTTGTTGAAAGACCAAGGTCAGTTAAATTATAAAAAAGTTGCATAATTAAAAGCCTATTAAATAAAAATCGTCATCTCCGAGAATTTTGAAAATAGTTAAGTTTAACATACATACAACATAGGTAAACATTAATCTACATTTTAATGCAATATCTTTGTACAATATTTTGAGTTACCATCACCATATTTTGTTTTTATAATGACCGCCATAACTTATGTAGTTTAATATATTGTTGGATAACTTTTTTTTCTATCCAACCATGGCGGCCATAGAAAAAAAAAATATAGTGATAACTCAAAATCTAGTAGGTGAAAAAAATCACAAATTGGATGAAAATGTGGATAAATGTGTTTTTTTTAATTTTTGGGAATATTGAAGTTAAAAGGATTTTTGGTTTTGACAGGTTTTCATTTTTTTTCAAATTATTTAAGAACTGATGAGTTTTTTTGTCAAATTTTAAATCAAATTTTAATAAACTTGTAATTACGCACCTTTTGTCAAATTTAACCGACCTTGTAGCTCTTCAAATAAAAAAGACACGCATAAAAGGATACATGGTGCACCTTGTGAACAAAAAAATTGGTAAATAACTAAATATGATATAAATGGTTTAGGCATAGGGATTTAGCTCACAGATGACACGGAAATATTTAAATCTGTAGGTATATATAATAGTAGGTTCCATTAACCATTTATCTGGAATAGTACAACTATAACTAGCCTTTTTTGCACCACTAATATTTGCTTTTTAATAAAATAAAATAAATAAATAAAATAAAATAAAATAAATAAATAAAATAAAATAAAATAAATAAATAAAATAAAATAAAATAAAAAGTTTTTATATTGTAAATATTTGCAAACAAACAAAACACATAGCTATATAAATACTACACAAGCAAAACTGTATGCTGCGTAAATGTTGAAACGCGTCCAAGAAGAATTGCACAGTAAATCATTAGGTGTCCCCACTGTTTGGTTTAGGTGTTATGTGATAATGGCTGTGTTGCCAAACAAATCAATTTTTCTTGATTATTATTTAACATTTTAAATTGGAAATTATGTTTATTGTTAACACAGAGAATCTGGAGATTTTATTGCAAAATCCAAAGGCCAGAGACTTTATTGCAGATTATGGGTCAAACCCAAAGATCAGCAATGCTATTTATACAACAGGGAACTAGCCCCTTAAAATTACAAAAATATATATAAATGTATCTGTATTCAAATACTAAATTAAAATATTAAAAATAATACAGAATTCTGCAAACAGTTTCTTAATCTGAACAAACCCCATGGTTTTGGCAATACTATATAGGCAATAACCAACAGTTTCATTTAGTCAACAAGGAACCAACCAAAATTAGCAATTTGGAAATAAAACTAAAATGTTGAAACTAAAATTTAAAAAAAAGAAACTTTGGGACCCTATTTTCTCAGTTTGGTTCCTTGTTGCATCATTACATCATTCATATTACCTGCATACAACTGTCCCAACCGATTCAACCTCTTTTTAGCATCCTCTCGTAAACCTGAGTGGTCACTAGCAATACTCTCATTATCACTCTCATCTTTCTCCTCAATCTCCACCTCAACCCTAACATTATCAGATGAAGTCAATTTAATCTCCATATTAATATTGTCCCTCTGTATATTTAAAGTTTTCAAAGAGGGTTTAGGAGATCCAGGCATGTCAGTGGAGATTCTAGTTTTGCTAGTTTGCCTCTTAAATTTCGATAAGTTGTTCTCTGATAAATTCTCTTTGATAGCAGTGTTTACTTTGTCATTACTAAGCATTAATTGCGTGTCTGAAACAACTTGTTTTCTGCTTAATTTTTTAATTTCGTTCAAGCTATTTTGTGAGGATGATTTTAAGTTAATTTCACTGTTGGTCTCGCGTAAAGGACTTCCTTTCTCGTTATCGGAGTATTCGTTTAAAAGCTTCTGTCGTTCTCTAGCCCTAGCCAAGATATTCTGCAAAAAAAAAAAACATGTTTGTTTTTTGTCTACATAAAATCGCTTTATACTCACTTCTGTGAACGAATCCATTATTTCAACACAATAACATTAACATATACTTGTACAACACACAAATAACGGATTTCACATAAAATACGAACAATTATTATACTTTTTCCTTCAAAAAGTAACACTTTCCGTTATTTACCAAACAAACCGTCAAGTTCGAAACCTACTTATGAAATTCTCCGATAGGGTGCTAAATCAGTCACCACCAAGCGATTTCATTGGCCGAGTTTTGGAATGGCGCGGAAAGCCATTGGTGGGAATATTTGTAACGTATTTTTCCCAACAGTCAAAAATTTGAATTCAAATAGGTATTCCCTAAAAAAATAATTTGTTTGTAGGCCTGAATAAAACATGTGGTAGGTAAATATAGTTTATTGATTTAATGAAAGTATGGCGATTTTAAATTGGCTTCGGTTGATAGTCCATTTTCGTGCAGGAATTTGTATTTAGCGTAATTTCCCATTAAATCCCGGTAATTTTCTGAATCATCCTCTATGGTCTGCAGAACTGTTACCAAAACGTGAACGCTGCCAAGAATTGCGAATGTTAATAAAATCGATTCGAAAGCACTCAATGCCATTCTTCAGGTGTTAAATATTTTACTCTTGATGTTATTATGGACTTATTTACATCTTAGATCATAAAGGATCTAAGATTTACCTACATTTTATATTTATTGGTACATTGGAAAAAGCTTTGGAAGCCTTTCCTTGTCATTAATGACAATGACGTTTATTTAAAATCAGTTTATTGTTGGGTTGTCAAAAATTTAGAGGTTAGGTTGTCAGAAAACTAATTAACAATAATTGTTAATAAACTGTCATAACTGTAAAAATGACTCTTAAACTGTCATAATGACAATAAAATTTATTAAAACTTGTTTATTTATTTACAAAATTACAATATTTACAAACAATTTTTAAGATTTCTTCACTGTATCATAAATGTCTGACCTTCTTTGTTCAAATATAGGTATTTGCTGCCGTATTTTATCACACTCATTTAAATCTATGTCTGCATAGACAATTTCTTGGCCAGCCCCAGCTTGTTGTATCACTTTTCCCCATGGATTAGTAACTTGAGAATGACCCCAAGCGATGTAGCCTTGTTCAGCTCTTGAGGGGCTTATAGCAAAAACGTAAACTTGGTTATCTAAAGCACGACCTCTTTGAAGAATTTCCCAGTGAATTGGCCCTGTGGTCATGTTGAAAGCACCTGGGTATATTAAGATTTCACAGCCTTGCAATCTGTATACTTTGGCTAACTCTTCAAATCTTAGATCATAGCAAATGCCTAAGCCGACTTTAACATCCTCCATATTGAATGTGACAACGTCGTTTCCAGGTGCTAGAACATCGGATTCTTTAAAAGTTATTCCACCAGGTATATCGATGTCAAATAAGTGCATTTTTCTGTATTTTGCAATCAGTTTGCCCTCTGGATTCCATACAGTGCATGTATTGTAGAATTTATTGTCTTCTATTTCGGGGAATGTTCCTCCAACTAGGTATATCGAGTTTTCTTTTGCAGCTTTTGATAACATTTCACAAGTTGGTCCGTTTGGAATACTTTCAGCATATTCGTTGAAGAATTTGGTTCCATATGGGGAATTAAAGCACTCTGGTAAGGAAACTAATTTGGCACCACCTTGTGTGGCTTGTTTTATCAAATTGTAGGCATTTTCAATGTTTTTGTTTCTGTCTTTGCCCACTGAAGACTGTATTAAAGCTGCCTTGAATTCCCTCATTTCAGTACTGTAATTTCGAATGGATTGTAACGAAGAAAGTAGGTTCTTAAACTTGTTTAACCTCATTGAGTCACTAATTACTGAATATTTATAAAGATAAGTTAAGGTTTTGTTAACTTATCTTGTTTTGAGGTTATATGATTATATTTCAAGGTCAGGTAATTAAACTGAAATAAAAACAAATAAAGCTGTAGATTTAAAAATTTGTATATTTAAAACAAAAATAGTATATTTAGTATAAACATGTGCGAATTACAAAATAATTTCATTTTTAATGCTCCTGGAAAGCTCTTTGTTTGGAAGAACTATAGAATTCAGTAAAATTGTTTCAGATGGCACACTGACAGAACAACCTAAAAAAATATTTACAAAAACCATTATAATGGTTACAATATAACTAGCATAGAAAAAGGATAACTAGTGTTTATCACAATCCACACAACAAGGTCTGTTCTATCTCGTACTAAAAATACAAAAAATCACTGCGTTTAACGGCGGCCATTTTTGTTGTTTACAATTTTTTTGCTTTGGGTTTAAACCACAATTGTGCTGTTTAACAGATTAATATTAGTTTTAAACGTTGTGTTTCTTACAGATGCACTTGTAAGCCTTAAAATAGGCCTTAAAGTGCTAAAAACAACCATTTTACTCTTTGGTAAAAAATAAACCTTATTCTATCAGGGCTGTCATCAAACTGTCATATGTCAATTTTAAGGTTAATTTATAACCCACAAATTAACCTTCAAATTGACATTTGACAGACCTGATAAAATCAGGTATATTTTTTATAAAAGAGGAGTAAAATGGCTATCCTTAGTTCTTAAAGCCCTTATTTGAGGCTTACAAGTGCCTCTGTAAGAAAAAAACAATTATTAAACAGTACAAACCCAAAGCACAAGAATTGTAAACAAAAAAATGACCGCCGTTAAACTCTGTGCAGTGTTGCAGTGATTTTTAGTATATTTAGCATGAGATAGAACAGACCTTGTTGTGTGGATTGTGGTGTTTATAAGAAAAATAAGAAAAAACAAGGAAACTTGCAAGTTGCACAGATCTAGGGTTTCAAGGAAAGGATCATGGTCAACTAAGTATTTTGCTTGTTTTTAACATTTTATATGCCATTTTAGTGATTTTTAGTATATTTACCATGAGATAGAACAGATCTTGTTGTGTGGATTGTGGTGTTTATAAGAAAAATAAGAAAAAATAAGGAAACTTGCAAGTTGCACAGATCTAGGGTTTCAAGGAAAGGATCATGGTCAACTATTTTGCTTGTTTTTAACATTTTATATGCCATTCTGACATATAAAACAAGCAAAAGTGGGCAGTTACGCCAATGTTACCGTGACAGTTGCCACCCAATATTGTGTTGTAAAAATAGTCGGGAAAAGCTTCAAAAACTAACAATTTAATGCTAGTTTTTTTTTAATTTTCAGGGGTAGAAAATAGAAACATTAAAATAGTATTTACCTAAAATCGTTATTGAAGGATTTAATCGGCCATCGTTGTTAAATAGTGGCGGGTTTTCCATTTTTGCGAACGGTTTGTTGGGATCTGGGTCTGAAGGGGTTCCTTCAACTCTTGCCCATCTTCCTACATGGGACCCCCTTCCTATAATGCTGTGCAGTACCAAGCTGTGCTCCTCTATTGTCGCGTCTTGTAGTATAATGCTTTCTCTTATTCTTACACCAGATTTTATTGTCACTCCTTGGCCTATACTTACATTTGGGCCAAGCTATAAAAGATAATATTGTGAGTTATTCAAATTTGGATTATTATAGGAACTAGAGACCCTTCACCAAGGGTCTTTAATATGAACTATGCTCTTCATAAAAAACGCCCACTTTGACATTTGAATGAGGAATATGTGTTTATGGTGTTATAAATTAGGATACATATACGCTAAAGAAGTATCGGGTTTTCGCAACGCGCGCCCCATCTGGTGGACTTGCATTGCGTGAATATAAGAATTGTCAACAATAAATTGAAAGCACTGATTATACATAATTTTTAAATAAATACTTAAGTAGTTTTTAACAAACGGGGAAGGCAGAAGTCTTACTCGACAAATTTTGTTCAAGTGCAAGCTAAATCGCGCACGTTATTTGTGCACAAACATGGTTTAAGCTGCAAGGAAAAAATTAAAAAACTTTTTTAGTACTCGATTTTGATTGATTATTCTTTATATCATTGATTAAGAAACTCAACGCTAAAATGCTTATATAGTTACGTTAGTGTATGTATTTTATCAAAGGGATCATGGTTAATTATTGTGTTTTTAATTGTAAATAAAATTCAAGAACTAAATCGTTACATTTTCATGTTTTGCCAAAGGATCCAATTCGGTAAGTACATTTGTTGGTGCAGAATTAACTAATGATAACTTTACCTAATATAATTTATATTTAAGCTTGGACATTTTTAAGAAATTAGTAAAAAATAATTTTTGCAAAACAACCTTAAAAACAATCATTTTTATATTTGAGTTCTCTAAAAAACGCCGACAACTGCATTTTAAACAACAAAATATACCAATGAATTCATGGCAACATAATATTATATATAATACATAATATAATGGTATTTTACCGTTGAGTGGAGACTTTGAAGAATTCTTAATCAACGATTTTAATAATGCTAAATGCTGTTTAAATTTCGACGACTTATTTGTTTGACGATTTTTACTGAATTGAAATGTTTACACTTTTCACGTTAATTACTACTAAAATGTGTATTTATTGTATCTAATAGGTACAATTTATATTTACAGAGACTGTATGCAATTTATTTCTTCATTCAGATTAACACTGTTTATTGGAAAACCGGTAAAAACTAAACCCAAGATTTTCTCTCGAAATACACCCAACACAACAAATCGATCAACGGTTTTTTCGATATTTTTTAACATTTTCCGGCTTTATTCTCAAAAACAAAGTTTTACTTTTGTTACGATGATAACAGCCGAGTGGTGGCGCTGCTAGCGATACTTCTTTAGCGTATTATTATTATTTTCAAAAAACTAGCTTTAATTTTAATTTTACAACTGTATTTTTTATTTATGCAAAGTTATGCAAAGTTTCGCAGACAACGCAACGAACTTTCAGCTTTGACACCCTGTATCTTGGTTATTATCACCTTTGCATAGAGGTAAATTTAGTTATACATATATGTGCGATATTGCCTTATTTTGGTCTCAGAAATATGTGGTATTACTTTGTACAGGCATTTTAGGAACACCTTGTATAGTACTTTTAATATGTCAATGAAACAAACCTAATTAGTACCTACGTTGATTACCTATTATATAATATTATATATAATACATAATATAATGGTATTTTACCGTTGAGTGGAGACTTTGAAGAATTCTTAATCAACGCTTTTAATAATGCTAAATGCTGTTTAAATTTCGACGACTTATTTGTTTGACGATTTTTACTGAATTGAAATGTTTACACTTTTCACGTTAATTACTACTAAAATGTGTATTTATTGTATCTAATAGGTACAATTTATATTTACAGAGACTGTATGCAATTTATTTCTTCATTCAGATTAACACTGTTTATTGGAAAACCGGTAAAAACTAAACCCAAGATTTTCTCTCGAAATACACCCAACACAACAAATCGATCCACGGTTTTTTTCGATATTTTTTAACATTTTCCGGCTTTATTCTCAAAAACAAAGTTTTACTTTTGTTACGATGATAACAGCCGAGTGGTGGCGCTGCTAGCGATACTTCTTTAGCGTATTATTATTATTTTCAAAAAACTAGCTTTAATTTTAATTTCACAACTGTATTTTTTATTTATGCAAAGTTATGCAAAGTTTCGCAGACAACGCAACGAACTTTCAGCTTTGACACCCTGTATCTTGGTTATTATCACCTTTGCATAGAGGTAAATTTAGTTATACATATATGTGCGATATTGCCTTATTTTGGTCTCAGAAATATGTGGTATTACTTTGTACAGGCATTTTAGGAACACCTTGTATAGTACTTTTAATATGTCAATGAAACAAACCTAATTAGTACCTACGTTGATTACCTATATAGAGATAAATATGGATATTGATTAAGAAAGACTTGGGATAAAAATTAATACAATGTATAAAACTTATTCCTGTAATTGGGCCCTGTGCCAATTGGATATAAATAAATAAATAATAATAATAATATTGGTACTCCTGTTCAAGCCCTTAATTTTAAATACTTTGACATTGGTCATTTAACTGTCAGAGTTATACCCAGGTAGCACAACGTGACGAAACCGTGACCAATTGGTCACAACGTGCAACTGCAGTATATGTATGCTGGGAATGCAAATTTGCCTCTTGTGCCATAAAGTCACCTTTATTTTATAAAAGGTAAAGTTATTAAATTTTTAACAACTATTATTTGACATTTCAAAAATTATAACCACTCGTAAAATTATACTATAACCACAATTATATTCTCCACTAAACTACATAGTTTGTTCTACTCAATGTAGCCAATTATAGAATTTTTCTAACTAATTTTTGAGGTCAAATTCCGAATTAAAAAAACCGAAGTTCTTAATAAAAAAATTTCTTCAAAAATAAATAAAATTATTTTGTTAATTTTATTAATCAAAATTAAAATAATTAAAATTTATGGTAATTTGTATTTTTTTAATTTAAGAAATTAACGTTAAGATCTATAAGAAAACAGATACAATTTAAAAAACAACATTGTAAAATATAAAAAATGCCTTACCACTGCAGTAGGATGGATAACAGCACTGGGATGAATGTGCACATCAGGATAAATTGTGCAATTAAATTTAGAAATATCTCCTGCTCCTTGAGGATTTGTTAACCTTTCAGGATGATTTGTTCTGTACAATTCCAAGTAGTGACGATTTGCGTATATTGCGGATCCTGCTGTTTTCAGTTGAGACCACCAATGGTTTACCTAAATAAATACAGAATTTAATTAACATACATTTGCGTTTACAAAAAAAATATTACTTGGAGGGCACAAATTTTTCCGGTTCCAGCCAATGGCGCCAATATTTCTTGCTCCAATTGAATATGCCCAGCTTCTTTGTTTCCATTTCCATTCCTAAAAAATGTTAAAATTAACACTATACATATTTCTTTTCAATAATTACAAACTACTTGTAATGTTCCATTTGCTTTGCATTAAATATTTCCCCAATTGTTTGAAATATTGATAGGGAAAATACATAAACTCCACAGTTTATTAAAGTAGAAACATAAGAACTTGGTTTTTCTACATAATGAGTCACTTCACTGGTATTTTTATTAATTACCATACAACCATAGTGTAAGGATTGTTGTCTAGTGGCTTCAGTACCCATTATGGAAACCTGAAAATATTAGGTATGCATAAAATAATGAAACATTATTTTTTTTCTTTTAAAAATTATGTAAATTATTATTATTATTATACATACCATAGATTTATCAGAATGTTTTTTGTGAAACACATACATATCACTAAGGGGAAAATCAGCACAGACATCTCCATTCATAACAAAAAAAGCATCAGGATTTCCACAACGAATTTGATCCCTAAAATGATATAACCCCCCTGCAGTGCCCAGAGAAGTAAATTCTTGCAAATATTTTATTGTTATATTGTAAACTTGTTGCAATTCATTTATAAACTGCTGAATTTGTGCAACAGGGTAAAATCCAATCAACAAAATTTCTTTTAGGTCTTTTAATGCAACACATGCTTCAATGTGATGTTGTATTAGTGGTAAACCTGCCACTGGGAATAAAGGCTTAGGTATATCCAAAGAAAGCGGCCTAAATCTGGTCCCTAAAAGTAAACAAACCAATGTATGTTGTTTAAGGTTATGTAATGTTACCTTTTTGGGGCCCTCCGATCAAAATAACAGCCTTTAGCATTTTAATTTTATGGCACAACTATATAAAATGTTAATTCAATCACAAATAAATGAAAAATTGCAGTTTTCTTATCAGCAAGACACGTCAATTATCTTTTGACAACAAAGGATACGTCCCTGACTTTTCCACAGGATAAATAAGTTCTTTTTCCATGGGATAAATTTTTTAAATATGGCGGCAAAACACCGGAAATGCCATGCGCGGTGTAATATTGCGCATCATCGTTCAAAAAAGACTTTGAGGTTACGTTAACCCGGTTAACCGTCAAAAAAACAAAATCGTTTGCCAGCTTCAAAAAAGATCAAATAATTTAAGTGTCATACCTACCTCAATCAAAAATGGAAATCTCAGACGATAATTTACAAACTCTTGCGCGTTATTTGCAAGAAACGTTAAATCCTGACGTAAATGTCAGAAGACCAGGTTAGTTTTCATATAATTTGAGTTGAAAAGGTTTTAAAAGCGTTTTTTAGCCGAAAAGTTTTTGGAGGGTGTTGAAGTGAACCAAAATTACCCGCTGTTAATGCTTCATTTGGTACATAAGCCTGAAATTGATATGACAATTCGTATTGCTGGGTCAGTGGCTTTTAAAAACTATATAAAAAGAAATTGGAATGTGGTATGTTATATAAATAATAACAAAAAATATTAATCTAGTTCTGGCAGTGGATATGGTTTTCCCTATACAATTTTTATTTTATAGGAGGAAGATCAAGCAGATAGAATTCATCAAGCTGACAGAGCAGCTATAAAAAATTTGATTGTAACATTAATGTTAACTTCACCAGAATCCATACAAAAACAGTTAAGTGATGCTATTAGTATCATTGGAAAAACTGATTTTCCACTTAAATGGCCGGAGTTGATCACTCAAATGGTTGAGAAGTTTGCAACAGGTAAAATATTGTTTGTTAAGTTGAATGTTGTTATTATTTATCGATTTTAGGAGATTTTAATATCATTAATGGTGTTCTACAAACTGGCCATTCTTTATTTAAAAAATACAGATACGAATTTAAGTCAAATGAATTGTGGACTGAGATCAAATATGTGTTGGAGAAGTTAGCAAAGCCCCTAACTGATTTATTAGTGGTATGTTATTTATTATGTTAGGTATATTAATATATTTATAAATAAATTTATTTTAGGCTACTGTGAATCTTGCACAAACTCATGCTAGTGATCCAAATGCGCTTAAAATAATTTATCATTCTTTAATGTTAATTTGTAAAGTATTTTACTCATTGAATTTCCAAGATTTGCCTGAATTTTTTGAAGACAACATGCAAACTTGGATGTCAAATTTTCATAATTTGTTGTGTGTTGATGTAAATAGTTTAAGAACAGAGGTAAAGATAAATTCTAATATACTTAATGACAACTTCTAAACAGTGTTTTCAGATATAGAGTATAGTAACTATACTATAGTTTGTTACAAATTTTAGACACCCTTTATATTATAATGATAATAATTTATAGAAAAGTTTATTTTGTGATTTTTTGTAGAGTGAGGAAGAGGCAGGGGTCATTGAGCAATTAAAATCGCAAGTTTGCGATAATATTGCGCTTTACGCGCAAAAATATGATGAAGAGTTTCAGCCCTATTTGCCACAGTTTGTGACTGATGTTTGGGGGTTATTGGTAGGAACAGGACTCCAACCAAAGTATGATTTGGTTAGTTATTTTGTCTAAATGTTTTTATCAAAAAACATTTTTATCAAACTTCTTAATTTTAGCTGGTTTCAAATGCACTTCAGTTTTTGTCCACTGTGGCTGAAAGAAATCACTATAGAAACTTGTTTGAGGACAATACAGTTCTAAGTAGCATTTGTGAAAAAGTTATTATTCCAAATATGGAGTTTAGAGGTAAGTCAAAAAAAATAGAAAATTTTAATAGTTAAAAATATTTTTTTGAATATATGATATATTTGATATATATTATTATATTATTGTTTGTTATAAAAGGAAAAAAATATATAAAAATATAATGTTTAAACAAATCTGATCTGATTTTGTGCTAAACACTAAGTAATAAAGTAAGTACCTACTTGTAAAGAACAAAAAGTATATTTAAAAATTTAAATATCTTTTTCCTCAGAATCTATATTTTAAAGTTCGTATACTATCACTGACATCAGCCAGAAAACAATGCAACTAGGTAAAGAAAATGAATAAATCCAAGCGCGTTTTAGATTAAAGGCTAGATGGCGAAATCATTTTTGAAAAATACTGGTAAAGAAGTTTGCTGGGTTAAATTACCTTGCCTTACCGCGGTAACGTTTCCGCACTTTAATCACTACATATTAGTAATATGATATTACTAGACAAATTTTGGAATGTCAAAAATATCTTAAAATGACAAGGTTTTTGTATTAATAAATGATTTATTTATTTAACACGTTCGCTGCTGACAGCGTCTAAAGACGCCCATCGCTTCTTAAGTGGGAGGCGAACGGCGCCTTTTGACGTCCACTACAATATCGCTTACAATCCTTTAGTAATTCTTTAGACGTCTTCCGCCTCTGGATAAATTTTTTTAGCAGGAGGTTGACGGCGTCTTAAGAGTCTTAACTTAAGATGTCCTAACCCTAAGGGCCTTATTTTTGAGTTTTTATAAATAAATGTGTTTTTAACTTTTCTGGTAAAACTGTTTATTATTTCCCAAAAACTATTTCAGTTTCTGGAGGTCGATTGCCCATACCAGTCAGCAGCAAAAGTGCCTAAATAATGTAGTTAAAGCAAAATATTAATCCTTATTAAGCTAAGTACAGCTTTAACAAATTGAACTGTTATCAATGTCTGAATAAATTTCCAGTTAGTTTATCTCTCAGATAATTTCCATGGATACCATTTTTTTCACAATTATCCCAATAGCAATTATCTGTTAGATAAACTAACTGGAATTTAATCAGAAAATGTAGGTAAACTTTAAATAGGTCCAGTATTTTTATATGTCAACTAAATATGGGTAACTTTCTTACATACAGAGGTGTCTATAAAACTAACCAGAACTTTACTGGATATAGGTACCTAGCTAAACTATCCCTAAAAATGTGAACTTAGTAAGGTATAAGTGGATTAAGAATGTTAACTTAAGCTTAATATAACTGTCTTAAGAATGTCAATTTAAGCTGAATATAGATTTAAAATTTTCGGAAAAATTGATTGCCTGAAAAAAAAGGCTTTTTTTCAGAAAAATCGGGGGAAACCCGGAAATTTTGGGAAAATTTTTTGTTATAAACTATAAAGCGTGTTTTAATTGCTAGGCATTCTTTATAGTATTTAATATGTTAAATAACAAATTATTATAATGAAAAAATGAATTTTACGACACTGTAAAATTTGCGCCGCAATTTACCAACAAATTTCCTACGCATTTCTGTTAATCCCCGAATCAAATTAATTTAGGTATTGTTTTTTATTTAAACTAATAAAAATATATTTTTTATTAATATATTTTCAGTTTTCGGTATATTTCAATTTCTCTAATTGTTTCCAATTCTTTAATGGCTCAGAATAATTTCCATTTTTTTTTTCATTTTCCCCCATTAAATCTTTACCTATATATAACTATTTCAAGAATGTCAGATTAAGCTAGGTATTTAAGAATGTCAACTTAAGCTAGGTTAAGAATGTTATACTACAGTATAGAAAGACCAGTACACTGCTGTACAAGTTAAAAAGGCAATTAAGTCGGTTCAGTTTTAAACGGAAAAAGTTGATTAGAACGATTTTGTTTGTATTTTTTTATATATAGCAAAATTATAATTAATTATAATTATATATCAAAGAAGAGAAGGCTCTTAATTTGGCGCAAATATCGAACATTTTACAACGGAAGAAAACCTTAAGAAAACCTTGAGTCAGATCGTCGACACTTTAACACAAGTTAAAAAGACCCTAAGTCGACTCACGCTCGTTCTAAGTTGTAAAGTGATGACGTATTACAAATAACTTTTTCGGTCTTTTTAAATTTTCTCTTGCGAATCGATTGATATGAAAATCTCATTTTTGTTGAAAATGTTACTTAAGTGTATTGTACGGCAGTACAGTCTAGGGGTGTCAATCCCGGGATCCCGAAATCCCGGGGTCCTGGGATCCCGAAATCCCGGGGTCCTGGGATCCCGTAAAAAATCCGATCCCGAAAATCCCGGGATCAAAAGTCCTAATCCCGGGATCTTAGTAATAAGTTACAAAGAATAAAATATACTTTTTTTAAGCGTATGACAATTTTTATATTATAATACTCATAAGAATATATAGAAATACTTCATTTTTGTACGCAGTCCAAAAGTAAAATTATTATACACCGCGGAAAATAATGCATAGCAAAGCATAAAATCAGCAAAAAAAACCTGTAAAATTACAGGTCACATAACACATAATATAAAATATTTCAAACGTCAAACCTGAAAAAATTTCACAAACTTGATAATTTCAATGTAAGTTACAGCCCCAATTGGATCTCACCAAGGCCCGATTGATAAAAGGAATTATTTGTAGAAGTGGGTACAATGTGCCTACGAATTCTTGAAAAACTTTCCTCCAACTAGTGTAAAGTCCGAAAGATATCGTTCGTTGGTTTGTTTGTTTCTTTATTTTAAAATGGTTTTAAAATTAACGATATATATTTTTTCGGGACTGATCTCGGGATCCCGGGATTAGTTACCTTTAGTCCCGAAAGTCCCGGGATTAGAAAAAGGGCTCGGGATTGACACCCCTAGTACAGTCAGTTGCGCTATTTATGAATGAAATCGTGCCTGCAAATGTAATGAGTTCGACTGATGCGAATCGATCCGAGATTATGTAAGAAGCCCATATGGCAGTAAACAACGACCTTAAAAGATACACTGATTGGTTAGAATGGAATAAACTTAAAATAAATGTTAATAAAACTACTTATATGATTTTTAAACAAAAAAACAAATACTTTAGTAAACTACACATTACCCTAAACGATATAAAATTAAATAGAGTCAAAGACACAAAATACCTAGGATTAATAATAGACGAAAATTTAAATTGGAGTAAGCATATTGGGTATTTAAAAGATAAAATAATTCCCATGGTGGGTGCAATTTATAAGTGTAGAGACTACTTGGACAAAAACTCAAAATATAACATTACCTTTGCTTATTTCTATTAAATTTTAATTTATTTTATTCCGATTTGGGGTACTTGTTCAACAATACTATTTAACAAAATGCAAAGACTACGAAATAAAATCATAAAAGTAGTGTATAATATTCCATATCTAACAGCAACAGAAGAAATATACAACAATGCAAATTAGTAGGTACATAAAACAATCAATACAAATCAAAAAACTAATCATAAGTCTAGATAATACTAGAGATCAAAGCAAAATTTACTTATCAAATACACATTCTAATATAGGTTTGAATAATCCAATAAATCGTAGTGTGGAAATTTATAACATGTTACCCAATCAATCAATCAAAAATAATAATTTATTTAGGGAAAACTAGAATTTCTTAAATGACTACGAAATATAAAAAAATCGCTAGTCTCCGTCACCAACACATGGTGCTGCTGATTAGGAGTTAGGATTATTTTCGTTTATTTATTCTACTTTCATGGACCAAAATGTTATTTAAATATCTAGTTTATAAGTGTACTTATTATTTGAAAGCAAGTGACCATTAAAATAAATATTAAAATATTAAAACAAAATATACGTTGAGACAGACGCATTTTCCTTCCCCCCCACGTTTTACACCCGCGGAGATTCGAACTGCTTAGATTACCTATGTGTAGATACTGCTCTCTCTCTACTGTGGATATAATTTTACCACATTCTTATGAAAAACCATGTTACTTTTTTTTAGTTTCTGACGAAGAACTCTTCGAAGACAACCCCGAAGAGTACACGCGCCGCGACATCGAAGGCTCAGACGTGGACACGCGTCGCCGCGCCGCCTGCGACCTCGTCAACACCCTGAGCGTGCACTTCGAGCAACGCATCATGGAAATATTCGGCCAGTACTTGCAAGGCATGATGGGCAAGTACTCGGAAAATCCGAAGCAAAACTGGCGCAGCAAAGATGCCGCTCTCTATCTTGTTACCTCGTTGGTCAGCAGGGGGTCCACGCAGAAGCACGGGGTCACGCAGACCAGCCACCTCGTTTCCATACCGCAGTTCTGTCAGCAGCAAATTTTGCCCGAACTCGAACGCCAAGACGGTAGGAAGTTATTTTTTGGTTTTATATGGGCCATTTTAGGCAGGCGGACGGGACAAATCACAAAAAAATTGTAGGTAATTTATTATATAATATTTAGGCATCAAAATTGTTAAAAATATTCTTCTTTTTTTAATTTTACACTAGGGTGGGTTGAAAACAAAATGTTTGTTTTTTTTTTAGCATGGGGGTAGAATTTGTACCTTATAAAAAAAAAATTTTTACTCAACATCTTGAGGTGGCCTACTCGTTTTTTAAATAAATATTTAATCAAATGGGGTAGTTCCAACGGAAAATTCTTTTTTTTGTTCTAGAATCTGTGTCCCCTTAAAAGCCAATTGGAAGTCAAAAGTTGAAAAAGTTTTTTCCCATTGTTTTTGTAATTTAAGTAAAAAATTATAAAATAAAATTCACTTTCTTTTGTATTAGAATGAAAGTTGAGTGAAAAAAATCACATTCTACAATTTTTACATGTTTTCCACGATTTTGGACCAAAAAAAAGAATTTCCCGTTGGAACTACCCCACCTCAAGATGTTGAGTAGTTTTCTTTTGAAAAATTTTCTTTTTTTATAAGGTACAAATTCTGCCCCCATGCTAAGAAAAAAAACAAAAATTTTGTTTTCAACCCACCCTACTTTACACATTACTAATTTTAATAATTGACAGGTGTGGACGGGACAAGATAAATCTTTTTTTTGTCCCGTCCACACCTTTCAATTATTAAAATTATCTTTACTTTTATGGGTGAATATAGGTGGTTCTGCACTAATGCAAGAATTGTAAGAAATCATACATTTTGAATATTAGGGCTTCACGAAAGATAGCTTCACGAAGGTTAGGATTTCATATGTTTTTTTTAAACATATATTTTAAATAAGTTATTGTATCTTTTGACACCTTAACTATGATTTCGCGAAAGAATCGAACGATCGATTTACAACACATCTCAGATTTTTTTTTAATTTTAATATTTTGTTTATACATCCAATTTAACACTAAATCTTAAATTTTTCTTTCATCTGACTTAAACTTTAGCTCCTAGAAACCATTTAATTTTGCCTTTCACAAAAAGGCCAAATTCCATTATTTTGGCATACATTTTTTATTAAAATACTGAATGATTTGAAATTTGGCCCATGTATGACCCCTATTAGTACCCACAATTCTGTCAAAAAAAAGTTTTAATTTTTTACATACAGGTGGCGCTGCAATTTTTTTTTCTTCGAAAGTAGACGTTTTTTGAAGACAAAAAATTCTCTTAAGCAACAATGCTCAAAAAAACTAAATAGCGTACCAGATAATATAGATATTCCTTTATAATTCGACATATAAAAATTTACTTGCAAATGATGTTGCCGCCCGTAAAGCCAACTTAAAGTTTGGTCTACCGCATTAAAAAAAATTGAATTACACTTTCAACTCTATCCTTATTTTTAAACTAAGAAACTCCAGGTGATGGCTTTTATTGGTAACTAAAACGCAACAAAAAAAAGTTTTATTTTTTTACATACAGGGGGCGCTGCAGCCTTTTTTTCAAAAATAGACGTTTATAAAGACCATAAAGTTACTTAAGCAACATTGCTTAAAAAACTAATGACATTATTTATAATGTATCAGATAATATAGATATTCTTTTATTGTTTGACATATAAAAAATTATTTGCAATAATTAATGCCTGTTGTAGGGACAATTAAAATTATAACTAGTGCACGTACCCGCATATTGTTATATAAACGCCTTTTTTCGCTTTTATTGTTGGATGCGGACAAAAGGTAACAAAACCAAAGAAATTTTAATTAAAAATGGTAACAAGTATTTCAGTGACTCTATAGTAATAGTAATATGACCATTTGTTTAAATATATTTTAGTATATTTCGAGAGGCAAAGCATTCTTTATTATCGTACTTTAAAATTAAACTAAAGTCAAGCCTATAGGCTGGGAATCAAATTACCCCAACAGTTGACAGTTACTGTCAAACGGTAACCATAATAACATTTAAAATTTTGCCGTTATTACAAAAGTTGAAATTGGAGAGGGAAAATATCATGCTTTTAAAGGTACGCAAAGTTAATAAATTTTCTTTAAGTAAATCAAAATTCTAGGAATTGAATTTTCTTCTGGAGTAAACATGAAAGTTCCTTGGACATCATCGAGTCGACAAAAGGAAAATCTAAATAATTTAAAAGCAATTAAATATAGGTGCGACGAATTACTTTGCAGTAGGGTTTTTGAAAATGAAGATGATCTTCTAAACCATCTTAAATTTCAAAATCATAAATTTCCTGAAATTAGACAAACTATAGGTGATGTTGCTAGAATGGAATTTTTAAAACAAAAAGATGTTTTAACTGCAACTAGTTTAACAATATCTACCGTCAATATACAGGGTGTCCCAAAAGTCAACGATATCCTTTGGAGGACTGATAGACCAACTCATGACTAACCAGAAAATAAAAACATGACCTTAGTAAAAAATCGTTAGTTTTTGAGATATAGTAATTTTTATGAATTTTGTAAAACTTGACACCTTAGATCGGTTTTTCGAGTGCCACAGCTACAAAATCTACTATTAGTTTAATTTTGAATTGTAATTAATAGCAGGCCTATTCAGGGTTACGCAACATAAAATATAATCTAAGAATATAAAATTTTGTAACTGTGGCACTCGAAAAACTGATCTTAGGTGTCAAGTTTCACAAAATTCATAAAAATGACAATATCTTAAAAACTAATGATTTTCTACCAAGGTCATGTTTTGATATTCTGATTAGTCATGAGCTGACCTATTAGTTCTTCATAGGATATCATTGACTTTTGGTACACCCTGTATGCCCAAATGAAGAAGATTAAAATACGTTTTTTCGAGTATATGCAAAAGGGTTCGGAAGGCGCAAAATTAAAAAATGACGTTTTAATGAAAAACAAAAAGATTTAATTGGCAACCTTTTTGAAGAAGGTGAAAAAACTAAAATTAAATATACGCCTGAATATATAGCAACAGCTTTACAAAATAATGAAGTAAATGGCAAATTTTAGTTTTCTTCAAACGAGTATATATGCATCCTAATCAGATACGCGGCTTATTATCAAGATTATCGTCAGATAGAAGGTTAAGCAAAAATAGAAAAAGAAAATTAAAAAATTTGCCGGAAGAAATTGAAGAAATTAGCCCAGAAGCGGATGAAGTTTTTTTGAAGTTTTATCAGTTTTAAAGTAGTTGCTTTGCGGCCTAAGTAACTTTTAAGTTATAAATAACCCTGGTTAAAATCTCTAGACTGATTCTGAGAATCGCTCTAGAGATTTGAACCAGCCAGTAGGATATAAACCAGGGTTATTTATAACTAAAAAGTTAGCGAATATAGAGCCCAACAAGTTTAAAATTTAATGTAAAGGTAATAATTATTATTATTATAATAATTATTAGGATATATCTTTATTATTTAATATATGCAAATCTTGCAGATAAATTGTTATATGTTAAATAATAAAGAAATAGTAATATCAATAATAATAATAAAGAAAAACATAATAAATAAAATAAAGAACAAACCTATTAAATAAATAATGAATGGAATACGTAACTCTTTATAATAAAGGAATTCATAACTATATTATCTGAAATGCTATATAGTTTTTAAAGAAAAAAGGCTGCAGCGACCCCTGGGTGTGAAAAAAATAAAAAAAAAATTTGCTGTGTTATTGTTACCAATAAAAGTAATCTCCTGGAATTCCTTAGTTAATAAATAAGAATAAAGTTGTAAGTGTAATTCAATTTTTTTTAATGCGGTAAACAAAACTTTAAGTTGGCTTTACGGGCGGCAACATCATTTGCAAGTAAATTTTTATATATCAAATTATAAAGGAATATGTATATTATCTAGTATACTATTTAGTTTTTTTGAGCATTGTTGCTTAAGAGAGTTTTTGGTCCTCAAAAAACGTCTATTTTTGAAGAAGAAAAAATTGCAGCGCCACCTATATGAAAAAAATTTAATTTTTTTTTTTGGTAGAATTGTAGGTACTAATAAGGGTCATTTATGGACCACATCTCAAAACATTCAGTATTTTAATAAAAAAATTATGCTAATATAATGAAATTATGGCTTTTTGCGAAAGGTAAAATTAAATGGTCTATGGGAGCCAAAGTTTAGGTCAGATAAAAGAAAAATTTAAGATTTAGGGTGGAATTAGATGTATAAACACAATATTAAAATATAAAAAAAATCTGAGATGTGTTATAAAAAAATACCCCAAAATCGTTCGATTCTTTCGCGAAATCATAGTTAATATTAAAAAAAAATACAATTGTACATAAGTAAAATATTTATAAAAGAAATCTGCTTACTGAGATATTACACGGTGGATAGGTTTTTAAATAGCAAATTAATGAACTTAAACTTTTGAATTATAAAACAGCAACACTCTCATCTGCATATAAATTCCAACTGACCTTCAGGAATCACATGCATCTATAATGTTTTAAACAGAGGTTTTTACTTATTTAAAATGCTTAAAGCGCCATCTGTTGCATAAAATTTAAAGCAAAAACAGAGAAACAATTTTTGTAACACCTACATAAATGGTTATTAAAATTATTTCTTTTAATTTTTAATAATATTTTATATTTGATTCGATTGCTTTGAATGTGTTTTATTTACTTAGTAAACTGAAATTTTTATTATGCTTTTACTTCCTCAGATATTTGAAAATATATTTGTTTATACCGTACCTCCATTTGCAAGCTAACCATAGGGAAAATACATTGTAACTGGACCAGATAAGTCGCAGTCAACACAAAGCGAGAACCTTTTTAGAAATGATTTGGATGCGTCGTCGAGACATGCGTACTAAAACAAATTTTACACCGCAAAAAATAAAAAACAATAATAAAGCATCGATGTATGAAGCAAGTTCAACTGTTACGGCGCATGCTAGCCTACTCGTCCACGCGTCCAAATGATTTCCACAACGTTTTTCGCTTCGTGCTGACTAAGACTTATCTGGTCCAGTTACAATGTATTTTCCCTATGGTTAGCTTGCAAATAAAGGTACCTAATTCAATAAAATTAAGAAAAAACGTAAAAATTCTCGAAAAACTAAATTTTGCTCTTCCACTAAAAAATTCATAACTTCACCATTTATCCATGGATTTCTATCAACAGCAGTTTTTTTTTTATTTTTAATAATATTTTATATTTGATTCGATTGCTTTGGATGTGTTTAATTTACTTAGTGAACTGATATTTTTAGTATGCTTTTGCTACCTCAGATATTTGAAAACAAATAGGTTAACCTAGAAAGATTAACATTCACGGATGATAGGTTTTAGACTTTTAAAACATTGTAAAAAATAATTAATTGCGGTTAAAAATCTGGAACCTGAGCTGTAATATCTACTTAGTTATGAAAGATCAAAACACAATAAAAGTGTAGGTCAAACTCATTTAGTTTTATTAAATATCACGGGCTAACACCATCGGGGGGGGACATTTCGTGAGATTCACTCTTATAAAATATGTCTTGCTTTTTTTATTTAATGTATAGCCTAATAAAAGAAGAATATTTTTGACAATTTTGATGCCAAAATATTATATAATAAATTATCTAAATTTTTTTATAAAAACAGTTTTGTAATTCGTGCGTTACGCGCGCCTGAAATGGGCGATTATTTTTTGTCAATTATGACATTTTAAGTCAAAGTTTAATGCAATTTCTTAAATTTTTAAAAGAGCTTCCAGTTGCAATTTTGTCATTTTATTACAAAAATAATCAAATGTTTAAAAATCTTGATAAATTTAAGCCATTGACAAATAATGAAAATATTTAACGCTTTTAGTTAATGAGTTGCCTGTACTAAAAGCTGACGCGATAAAATACGTAATGACGTTCAGAAGTGTTTTACCAAACGAAATGGTAGTGTCCACCCTACCTCAGTTAATAAGACATATGACGTCAGAAAGCGCGGTGGTTCACACATACGCATCATGCGCACTAGAAAAAATACTCATACTTAAGGACGCCGGCAATAAACCTCTGTAAGTTTATTAAATATGTTTGACTTGACTCGTTTTTATTTTATTTTTTGTTTATATAGTGTTACAGGAGCTCAATTAGAGCCTTTATCCAACGAGTTACTGTCAAATCTATTTGGTGTTTTAACACGTCCAGTTTCTGAAGAAAATGAATATGTCATGAAAGGTACTCAAATAGTTTTATATTATATATTTTTGTTTTTTTTTTGCAATTTTCTAATTTTTAGCAATGATGAGAACTTTCTCAACATTACAAGAAAGGGTGGTTCCATTTTTGAGCGTTGCTTTGCCCAAATTAACAGAAAAACTACAAATGGTTGCCAAAAACCCTTCTAGACCGCATTTTAATCATTATTTGTTTGAAACTTTTTCTCTAGCTATCAGGTATGTATAAAAAAATCCTATGAAATTGCTATTTTGACATTTTTATACTTTTTCCAGAATTGTGTGCAAGCAAAACCAATCAGCTGTTAAATCCTTTGAGGATATTTTGTTCCCGATATTCCAAGGAATCCTACAAGCTGACATTCAAGGTAATTAAGACCAAATATTAACCAAAACACAGTAACCAAACTACATTTGTTATTTCAGAGTTTATTCCCTACGTTTTCCAACTACTATCTCTGCTAATGGAAAACACGCCCCCTGGTGCCGTGCCTGAAACGTACATGCAGCTGTTGCCATGTTTGCTGGCTCCAGTGTTGTGGGAAAGACCAGCAAATATTTCCCCCTTGGTGCGGTTATTAAGCGCTTTTGCAACTCAGGCCGCGCCTCAAATTGTTGGGCAAGATAAATTGGTAAGAATTTAGAATCTTCAAAATACACGTTAAAATGAGAAAAACCCATTCACACAATTAAAAATGTGAAATTGTTGTTTTGTTTTATAGGGTGGATTTTTGGGAGTTTTTCAGAAGCTGATAGCTTCAAAATCCAATGATCATGAAGGTTTTCATTTGATGAGGTGTATAATACAAAATGTTCCAACGTATGTATACTGTTTTAATGCATAAATAGGTTTTTATGTGTTCATTTTTTTTCAGTGAAGCTTTACAAGCCTACATGAAACAAGTATTCTTTCTACTTTTCCAAAGGTTATCATCAAGCAAAACCACAAAGTTTGTTATAAATTTAATTGTTTTCTTCTGTTTGTATGCTGTTAAATATTCAGCAAACGATTTGGTCGTTACTATTGACGGAATTCAGGCACAGTAAATATACCAATAAACATTTTAAGGTTTACTTTTATTTAAATTTGCGGTTTTTAGGATGTTTGGTATGGTTCTGGAAAAAATCCTTATCCCAGATTTGCAAAAAGTTGCTGGCAACGTTGACAGAAAAATTGTCGCTTGTGGTATCACAAAGTTGCTGTGTGAGTGTCCAGAAATGTACACAGGGACGTATCAAAAATTCTGGCCCCAATTATTACAGGTAACATTTTTATTTTGTTTTTAAACACATTTTAACGAAAATATTTGTGATGTAGGCATTAATCGCATTCTTTGAAATGCCAGTAGATGAAACAAGTCTCCCAGACGATCATTTCATTGAAATCGATGACACTCCAACATTCCAAACAGCTAGTGCCAAATTAAACTTTGCAAATACACAAAAAACCGACCCCTTACAAGGTAAATATTAATATTTACTTACAAAATCCTTCCTATACTAATATTATAAATGCAAATGTGAATGTTTGTTAGTGTTTCTTTCACGCGACAACGTGATTTTTTGCTTAGAGATAGTTTATGCTAGTAAGTTTATTTCGGAAAAAATTCACTGTTTCTGAGGGATAATTCAAATTTTAAATTTATCAGTTATTACTTCACCATTTTTAAAAGTATTTAATGGCTGAATGAATTTTTATGAAATTTTCTGTGAAGGGGTCTTGGGTCCTGGAATTACACACAGAATACTTTGTATCCTGAAAAAATGGATGGTTCCTGTGTAATAGTAATTATAAATGCGTTAAGTGGACTCTATATGTTCAGAATTTTATAAAAAAAAAGTCTCCATAACATACCATTTATTTTATTAAACAAATCACTTGTTTATTTTTATAAACAATCAAGTTTTCTTTAAAAAAAATTACTCTGCAGTGAGTTGTTCAGTCAAGGATTTTTTGTTGTAAATCAATGAAACATTTTTTTAAAGTACTATATTTTTTTCTTTTATAAAATATTAGGTAGTAGTTAGAAAAATCTATTTTTACCAAAATAAATAAGTGGATTATTTGGAAGAGTGTGTTAATATGGTCATAAATAAATATAGGTATACTAAATACTAAATAATTGTTGAATATGGTTCAAATTAAATTGAAGCTTTCTAATGACAAAACTTGTGCATACCTCTCGGCATACTTACTTTAAGTTAGATTTTAAGAAAACAAACAATTTTTAGAGAAACTGCAATGTGAAAATATTTAATACTCCCATGACATGTGCTTTATTAAAGTTATTATGATTTTTCGATGTAGATCAAGTTCAGTTGAAGCTTTTTAACTATTTGTATTGAGAAAACTTTATGTCGGTACACTTTAAGCTAAGATAAGAAAAACTACCACATTTTTAAATACCATATTATACAGACTTTTAAATAATCCAAAATACTTATTAATTTTGGTCAAAATAAATTTTTCTAAACTTAAAATTACAAAATTAGATGATATTTTTGTTTTAATATAATATATTATATATAGTAAATTTAAAAGTAAACTACGTACACGTCATCAATAAAACAAAAATTTTACGCATTGGTACCAACACTAAATGACTAAATCGACGTCTGTAATTGAATATTTGAATGCATTTTAACCAACTTAAGTTGGCAAGAATTGTGATGTTGTCATGTTTACATTCAAATTTTTCATATTTAAATGACACATAAAAAAGAATTTGACGTTTTAGAATTTCGAAGCTGTCAGTTGAATATTTCGTTTAATTCGTGTATTATTTCGTTTATTTTGTTTGTTGTTTGTGTTATTTTATATCGTTTAAGTTTTCATTGCCGTTTTTGTGTTTGTTATATATCGTTTTTTTGTGTTTCCTATATTTAAAATGCCGAAGCATTTAAATAGTCGGAGTCAAGAGTTGGTGTCATCCTTAATACGCTATTTTGAGGCAGAACGGGATAATAATGGACCTTTGTTACCTTTAACAGCTGTTAGAGAGGTAAATAGGATTATTATTAATTATATATTAGAATATTTAACAAAATATATGTTGGATACATGAAATAATAATATATATACCAGAGACTGACTTTAGATGGCAAAATTTTTGGGTTTTATATCAGAAAATGTCTTTAAAAATGGCTAAAAACATACTTTTGGCGGTGCATCATATAGGTTATAAAAACTCAGACTTTTGACATTTTGATATTATTCATGTAAACGCCATCTATCGCCCTGTAGTTGCACTACCACTTTCCCTTGATGCAAGGATTTTAGCATCACATTGACAACCGTGCCCGATCAGCTGATTGATGACGTGTACGTAGTTTACTTTTAAATTTACTATATATTATATATAATATTATTAACCTATAGTAAATTTAAAAGTAAACTACGTACACGTCATCAATAAAACAAAAATTTTACGCATTGGTACCAACACTAAATGACTAAATCGAAGTCTGTAATTGAATATTTGAATGCATTTTAACCAAATTAAGTTGGCAACAATTGTGATGTTGTCATGTTTACATTCAAATTTTTCATATTTAAATGACACATAAAAAAGAATTTGACGTTTTAGAATTTCGAAGCTGTCAGTTGTGTTTTTGAATATTTCGTTTAATTCGTGAATTATTTCGTTTATTTTGTTTGTTGTTTGTGTTATTTTATATCGTTTAAGTTTTCATTGCCGTTTTTGTGTTTGTTATATATCGTTTTTTTGTGTTTCCTATATTTAAAATGCCGAAGCATTTAAATAGTCGGAGTCAAGAGTTGGTGTCATCCTTAATACGCTATTTTGAGGCAGAACGGGATAATAATGGACCTTTGTTACCTTTAACAGCTGTTAGAGAGGTAAATAGGATTATTATTAATTATATATTAGAATATTTAACAAAATATATGTTGGATACATGAAATAATAATATATACCAGAGACTGACTTTAGATGGCAAAATTTTTGGGTTTTATATCAGAAAATGTCTTTAAAAATGGCTAAAAACATACTTTTGGCGGTGCATCATATAGGTTATAAAAACTCAGACTTGACATTTTCGTATTATTCATGTAAACGCCATCTATCGCCCTCTAGTTGCACTACCACTTTCCCTTGATGCAAGGATTTTAGCATCACATTGACAACCGTGCCCGATCAGCTGATTGATGACGTGTACGTAGTTTACTTTTAAATTTACTATACCTTTAAAACAGATATTCTTATTTCATAATAGAGAAGCTAGATTTTTTTTTATAAATGCTGTTTAGTTAAAATTATTTTATGGAGAAAACCAGATTTTTGGACCAAATGCACAAAAATATTACTTATTTGGCACCATACACTTTAGAATTTTATTAAATTCAGTATTTATTTTCTTAAATTCTTAAACCACCCATTGTTATTGTAATGTTATCAAGATTTATGCATTTTTAACGCCTAAACATAATATTATTTCTTTCGTTGACTATACTTTGACAGATACATAACCTAAAAAGCCTTAAATGCCAAATTTTCAAAAGACTGCGTTCCGTACGTGGTCACGTGGTGGGACTTTGAGGTGTGGAGCATAGTACATTAAAAGTACAATTTTTTATAAGATTGAGAACTTGGCCTCGAAAATTATTTTAAAAAGTGACAGGTAGGTTTATATTTAAATTATAAAATTAAAAATTGTTTAAGCGCGCCTTCCGTATAGCGCGCTTTTCCCTTGATTTAATGAATTTTAAATTATTTAATGAAAGTATCCCAGGAAAAAACTGACACAAAAATAAATTTTAAAATTTTAATTGCTGCATTTTATTTAGTTAAGGAATTTCATTTTCTACTATTATGTTATAACGGCTTAAAACAAATGTTAATAATAGCGGTTATCATAACATAATATTTATTTAAATAATTATTTATACATTTGGACTCCAAATTTTTGAGTTCATACTTTCTTACAAATTCAAAATTAAATTACAGTATGTGTACGTAAGATTATAACAAAAACAATTATTCTAAGTAAAAATTAGTTAACATTTTTTTCAAGTTTTTTTGTGAAATACAAAATAAATCAATGTCTAATTTGATCATATTAAAAAATTCTATCATGTATATGTTTTTAGTTACCTTTGTTATGATACTTGTATTATCATGTTATAATAATTTAAATTTGTATTTTTTTACAAAAAATGTCAGAAAATGCATCTGTCAACAATGTTAATTTCATTTATTAGCTAGATGCCTTGTTTAGTTTGTTTCAATTTCATCTTTCTTAGATTTAGAACATGATAGTGTTTAACAAATATTATAAATATTCCCCAACGCCAATACAAAACACAAAGTGCTGAAATTATTTTTCGCCAACGATGTTGGCGAAAAGTTTTGGTGTTGGGGAATATTTATAAGATTTGTTTAACATATCACCAAAGTTGTCCTTTTTCAAGTATGATAGTGTGTAGTAAATTTGCTTAATTTTAAATTGATAATACAAAACTTTGGCAAGCAAAACATATAACATAAAGATTTTGATGTCGAATCGGTATGGAACTTTTTTGCCACTGCGCACGGAAAAGGTGCGTGTGGTGGAATAGGTTGAGTTATATAAAAAGTTTTTTATAACTGGGCAAAATGTTGTTTAAATCAATTCATTTTGAATTTTGCACCAACAATTAGCGGAAGTGCTCTTAACCAAGGCATCTAGCCGCTAAATCAAATTAACATGGATAACATATGCATTTTCTTCATTTTTTTTGTTAAAAAATACAAACTTTAAATTATCATAACATCATATTCACTATTGTTAAAAAAAATTCTGGACCGTTATAAAATAATAATAGGAAAATGAAAGTCCTTAACTAAATAAAATGCAGTAATTTAAAGTTCAAAATTATTTTTGTGCCAATATTTAATAGTTAATCACCTAAATCTAGTTTACTGCCGGCGAAATCAAAAGGTCAGTACAACGTGTATTTAAACTTTTCAAATATTGGCGTTAAGAAAATATTTAATACTTTTTTAATTTTGTATTGAGATAATAAAATAATTTTCATATTTAGTATTATTTTACAAGAAATGCACTTTTTAACGATTGTATGACATTTAACAACTGTCAACTAACTTTAGCCTGTGACTAAAAACCTCTTGCTAACTTCAGCCCGCGACTAAAAGTTTTAGTTTAAAACGCCATAAAGCCACAACTTGTTTTAAAGGTGTATTTATAAGGGAATTAAAAATATCGCAAAAATAAAGTTAAAGGCCGCTATAAAACAAGGGAATTAAAAATATCGCAAAAATAAAGTTAAAGGCCGCTATAAAACAATTTAAGTTTATAAGTTACATAAATATTTTATTATTGTTTTAAATATTTTATTATTGTTTTATAATATATTTTATAATTCAATTATATAAAAGTTTTTTTGGTAAGTTTTAACAATTTAGCTGCTCACAACATAATAGTATTTGTTGCACCTCTAATATAATCAATTAGCAATTTGGATGTAACAATAAAATACCAATAAAATAATACAGTTGTAAAACCACCAAATTATAAAATAACTTTTCTAGTTTTCTAGTTAGGATTTAAAAAAAAAATCATTGACTGAACAACTTATTGCAGAGTATTTTTTTAAGAAAGCAGTGCTTAAAAGTTTATAAAAACTAAACAAGTAGATATTTTTTTATAAAATTTATGTGAAGTTATCATCTCTATAGGTGTTCTTTTTTTATAAATTTCTTACCCTTGGTAAATTTAGGGTCCACTTCAGGAAGCCTTATCCAAAAACATAACTCAGTAATTGGTAATTGGAATAAAATTGGGTTTGTGGATTGGTTTAATGTTGAAATGACCCCTTATTTTTTCAGGAAAGCAAAGCTTTACGATTAATCTTGAATATATTTTATTTTAGCTGTTGGTGAGCCTAGACAATTTTTGGCGCAAAGTTTAGCATCTTTAGGCAGTTCGCAACCAGGTCGCCTACCAAGTTATATTTCAAACACAAATCAACAATCTCAAACCACTTTGCAAGGATATTTGTCAAAATTCGGAGTTCAACTCTCCTAATTAATTAATTTATATAGTAATTGTTAATTTTTTAAAGGACTGAAAACCACATTTTTACTGTCTAGTTTTTGTGTTTATGTTTTACTATCACTAAGTACTAAATTATTTTTGTAAGGAAATAAAAGTAATCCGTTTTAAATGACCAGTTTTTATTTATCTTGTCTTTTTTACAAAAAGTATAAATAAGAATAAATTAATTGTTAAAATGTGTGTTTAAATAATTAAATAATTGGCAAAACATTAAAATATTAATAACAAAATTCTAAAATCTAAAAAATAAAACTTTAGATGGAATGTAAAATATGAATGATTTTTAGTTATCACATATTCTTATGGAAGACTACTAACAAATTTTACCTTAATAAAACTAATTTTTAAGTATCTGGGACAATTTTTCATAAACCAAACTCATCTCAGGCCTTAACCTGGGTTTATCACTTACACACTGCTTTCCTATATCGATTAAAGCCAAATAATACTCGTCAAACCCCTCCAATAACTTCTCCTTCAACTCCATCACATCCCCCTCGTAATTAAAAACATAATCCCTCAAATAAATAACTTTTTTCGGCTCCTTCCTCGATGCCGCCCTCATAGATGTCGCTAGTTCGAACAGAACCACGCCAAAACTGTACGTGTCGACTTTGGTGGAGAACTTTTTCGACACTAAGAAGTCGCGGGGTAAGTAGGGAGGGGTGCCTTGTATTTTGCTGATTCTCGTGTAGTCTTGTCTCGGGCCTTCTCTGGCCAAACCGAAGTCGCCTATTCTGGGAATGTCGCAGGGGTCTAGAAGGATATTGGCCGATTTTATGTCGCCGTGGACTAAGCCTTTTTCGCCGGCTGTGTGCAAAAACTGCAAACCCCTATAAATAGAAAACCATTTAACATTATATCACTGTAAATGTTTATATAAAATTTTTAGTCTAAAGAATGAATGTTGTCTTGCAACAAAAATTTAAAAAAACTACAGATAAATGTATTAATGTAATGGGGGCATATAGGTTTACATTTTAAATCGGTAAAAAGCGGAGAGGTGCAGTAGGAGAAAGATGGGTAAAGTGGTGATTCAACTTTATGGACCAGCATTTTTATTTAGTAGACGTGGTTATGCTGTGCCGACAAAACCTAACGTTTTTCAATTTAAAAATATAATGATTATATTAGTAATATGTGAAGAGGATAGTGATGTAACGAATGTCGATTTTCAAACATTTGTAAATGCAAATGTCAACTTTTTAAACCTTTCTGCGCTTATGATAGGCAACCCGATTGGTTGTATTAATAATTTTATATCATTATTAGGAATGCCAGAAATCAAAATGCCGTAAACAGAATTATCAAGAAAATATAGAAGTTTACAAAAATATATAGAAGATTAAAATAAATCATTTATTACTATAATTGCAAATAAAAAAAATACATTGCCAAATAAGAAAAAACAAATTATGGTTGCTCATCAAAAGTCAAAAGTCAAAACTGTAATGCAATGTTTTAATTTCTAAAGTCTTAAATTAACGTCATTATAGGCCTTTTAGTCGTTCATGTCGACGTCGTGGTTTGTAGGAATTTGATAAATTAGAATACATATTTTACAACATAAGGTATTTTCGGAAACCTACTCTAGGAACTTCCTAGTAGAAAGTGATCCGGTGTTCGTTTACTACCTCGATCACCTTGACTCTTGTTCGTAAACTTACTGGGGTGAGGGATCGAGCCGGGATCTGCCGACTCTACTCGCAAGCAGGGATATCAGATCACCTACAAGTGAACCGCATGCGCATAGCGTTTTTCTTTATTTTGATTAACGGTTTCTTGAGCCTATTGTGTGATATACCTGAATATACTCACAATTAAAAAAAAGTACATATGATCTCTATTAAAAATACAAAGTTAACCCCCGCTCTTCAAAATAGAAAAGGGGGTAGGTGCAGGGTTGGAAAAAACCTATGAATAGGAAAAATAAATTGTAGGTTTTAAGGTTTTTTATGTTTTTTTTAAGTTTTTTTAGGTTTTTTAAGATGGAGTGGTTCCAGAGATTCTATTTTTTCAATTTTACCGTGCTCTAAAGTTTGACAAAATTGTCAACCTTAATAACATTACCAAAAAAACGAATTTTAAAACAATTTTTTTACTGTGCATTAAGAGTCATGCCTACTACACAATAATGTGATTATTTTCAAAATCGGTGATTTCGTGAAATTTTCTGGTCCCACTTGACGTGGTTTGACTCAGTACTGAACACATAAATAAAAATATTTATATTTATAATATTTATTTAAAAATAAAAATGGATAAACATAATCATAAATTATTCAAGTTTAATGCAACTTTAAATTCTCTCTGATCATATGATCAGTCAGTGATCATTTTATGAGATATCTGATCAATACTCTAGTAAACATGTTTTACAAAACAAACATAATATAATCTATTATCTTTGTTTTAAAACATGTTAACCTCAAAAAAGCGATTTTTGTCATTTGAAGATAAAAAACCTAAAATGAGGTTATTTGAATGATTAGGTTTTTTCAAAAAACCTAAAAAACCTGTACCTGCCAACCCTGGGCAGGTGTCAAAAATATGTTAAAATAATGATAAACATAATAAATTCCCTGCCTAACAACGGAAATAATGAACGAATTATTTACGTTGTACAACGTTAGGCATTAGCGATTGGCCGATTTAAATAATCACTGTGATTTTAACCAATCAACCTGCAGGTTTTAAATTGGAAGAAGGCTACTATAGTAACATTTAAAATTGGTAAAAAGTGAGGTTAACCATTCGACAGATGTCAGATTTTATTTAATTATTTTTAAAAATTATTTAATTATTGGAGTAGATAAAGTATAGTTTTACACTCGAGATTATGCGCATTATTTACTCGGATGATTTAAGTCTCTCGTCTGGCTACTCGAGACGCAAACCTCATCCTCGTAAATGACCTGTATTATCTCTTGTATAATAATATACTATACATATAGATATATGGAGAAAAATAGTCTTATATGCAATAATTATTTTTTTAACATTGTAATATAATGTAATGTAATATGTATATGTATATGTCAAATTGCGAATAAAAAAAATAAACTGTATTTATAGGCGTTTTCAGAAACCCAGTCTGGGTTACTTACCCGGGTTATTACATCTATTCTTGATTTTAAGTGTGAAATTTGTATTCATTTCAATAAATATTAATTTTAAAGTATTTAAACTTTTAAATATTTTATTTAGGCGATTTTGTTTAAAAAAGAACTGACATATTTTGTTTTAAAAATACTTACTAAAGTATTGACTTTTAGGACCCGGGTAAGTAACCCAGACTGGGTTTCTGAAAACGCCTATAAATACAGTTTATTTTTTTTATTCGCAATTTGACAACGTAAAAAAATTGGTGGTTTAGTTGGCAAATTCTAGGGACTCTTAATTTATAATTGGCTACATTGAGTAAAACAAAATTATTAGTTGATTTATGTAACACAAATATTTATGTTATCAAAATAAGGATTTGTTTTTAAAATTTCTTTTTGTTTAGAATTTTCTGTTATCTTTGGCATTGTTAATTATAATTCCAACATTTAAATAAAAATGTAAAAGTAAAATTAAGGCATTGAACAGGAGTACTAGTTTTAAAAATTAAAAATACCAAAGTATATTTATTTACAGTACCAATATAAAAATTATTATTAGAATTCAGTGCTTTCCCCCTAATTATTGTGTATTTACAGTGTAAAAGTTAAATAACAATTTTCTCTACCACAATTTGTTTTTCATTTGAGGTGATAAAAACAATACAAATACTATTTACTATATTATATTGTAAATATAGACCTTTCTGCCTATAAGTTGTAGCACACAGCAGTATAATACTGATAAATTGAAGTAAAATTTTAATTTAAGTAAGTATTTACATAAATTATTTCTCACAGAATTCTGCAGCGGAGAGTATTTTGTCGACAAAATCGAATTTTGAATGACTATTTTGATATATGAAAGACCGCAATTTTTCCGAAGGTTGCCGAGTGATACGCACTAAGCATTTATAATTAATTCAGTGCCTGCAGACGAGTTTGATCTAATTTTTTTTATGTTATTGGGTAATGATAAATCCCCCTAAAAAACTTTCGTATCCCTCTGAAATTCCCCCTAAGAACTTCGTTCGTTACTCCTAGTGAACGTTAAAAAAACTCCTAAATCTAGCGGAAAAACCTCTGATCTGGCAACACTGACATTAACGATCGTCCTTTGTCGTTTTTATTTTGAAAAGTTGCTTAAAATCACAATCTAGGCCCGTATGCCAAATTTAAAAAGCCTCGGCCAACTTTGATATCTCACTTTTTTATGTTTATTTCTTAAATTAAAGAATTTGGGAAACGGCCTGGTTAGTTCTTTGCAAAATATGTGAAAAACCATAGTTGGCCAAGGATTTTCAAATTTGGTAAATAGGCCCACACACAATCCACACAACAAGGTCTGTTCGATCTCGTAGTAAAAATATTAAAAATCACTGCAACCCTCTTTTGTAAAAAATAAACCTTATTCTATCAAATGTCAATTTGAAGGTTAATTTTTAGGTTATAAAATAACCTTAAATTAACCTTCAAATTGACATTTGACAGCCCTGATAGAATAAGGTTTATTTTTTACAAAAGAGGAGTAAAATAATTGTTCTTACCACTTTGAGGTCTCTTTTAAGGCTTGCAAGTCTCTCTGTAAGAAGCACAACGTTTAAAACGATTATTAATCTGTACAAACCCAAAGCACAAGAATTGTTAACAACAAAAATGGCCGCCATCGTATGATGTGCAGTGTTGCAGTGATTTTTAGTATTTTTACTACGAGATTGAACAGACCTTGTTGTGTGGATTGTGAATAGGCCTAGATAATGATTCTAAACAACTTTTCTTTATAAACTTTTGGCATATCGGCAACATAAATTTTTTTATTTCCACCTTCTTAGTAAATGACATTTTATAGGTTAATTTTGTGGTTTTTGTAACCAAGTAAACGATACATTATGGGAACAGACCTGTAATATTTTACGGGCTTGTTTAAAAGACCTGTAAAGTTTTACAGGCTTGTAGAAAAGCAATTTATGAAATGAAATGTCACATTTGACATATTAATTAAAACTTTAAATTTGAAAATCGTTATCTAAAGGTGAAAATAAAAGTTTGTACGTGTCACGCTTTGCAATTAATCTTTACTAGGCTCACTGGAATATGGGGTTTGCTCCTGCGTCGCTCACCCCACAAACTTCCAGCTCGCCCGTAAAGATTCATTTACAAAGCTTGACACGTAAATAACTATTACGACATCCTTGATTTTTCAAAACTGAAATCGAGTATTTTTCATTCACCTATCTGGGGCATATTTTGGTTTTGTTTAAATAACTTATGAACCGTTTATCACACATATATTATTACAAATAAAAAAGTTATTTATTTGCTTTTTTCAAAAAATTAATTCCCATTTTTTTTTGTAAACAAATATCAGTATATTCTAAATATTATAAATGTGTTGTAAATGAATATGTATTGTAAATAGTAGAGTTGGCCGTCACTTATATAAATGACCGATAAGTGACCGATATGTGACCATAAGTGACCGTCACATTCATAAGTGACCGACCAATTTTTAAAAGTGACCGATTTTAAATTTCGCGGGTAAATCGCGAAAGAATTTAACTTGTATACTAACCTTAATATTAAATAATCGGGATTATTTAATAAACTTTATTGTTAATTAAAAAAAAGGGTAAGCAATAGTTTGGAATTATTTCGATAAAATGGTAAAAAAGTGGACAAATGTGTGTTTTGTAAAGTTGAATATACATGTATAAGCCTTGCAACCAGAATGAATAAACATTTAAAAATCTGTAAAAAAATGTCCAGATAACATTAAAAAACTGATTCATTTGAAATTAAAAAACTTGATGATAACCTGGATGCAAACACAATTTTTGTTGATGGACAAAAATTTTTTATAACACAAATTTTGCCATAAAATAATTAACTTTCATATTTTATTCTTTAATGTTTTATTTAAAAATGTTTAATGTTTTTTTAAGTTTTATTTAAGTATAGCAAATGTGATCTCAAAAAAATTATTTATAAATAAGGTAAATAGTAAATTTACAAATTATTTTATTTTAATGCTTCCTATTTTAAAATACCTAAATATTTATAAATTTATAAATCTCCAAGCATGCTTAATTATAAGATTTTTTTGCCAGGCATAGCTACACAAAACTATAAAAAATATTAAGATTGTTAGTTTAAAAATATTAAATAATAATGAGCTTTGAGGCATACTAAGTATTTTTGGTATATGAATAGGAATTAAATGTATTCAAAACCCACAAGAATTGATTGCTTTTAAAATTTGCATTTGAAAAGTACCTACAAACTATAATTTTAGTTTAAAATTTAAAGAATCATATTTTTATTAATAACTTAACCAATTTAATAAAAAAAATACAAGTATTTGGTATTAATGAAAAGCTCTCAACACAAGCTATTGTTTAAAGTAATGTTGTTACGTTTTTATAAGTGACGGTCACATTCGCTATGTGACCGGTCACAAAAACAATGTGACCGGTCATTTGCCAAGTCTATTTACTAAATAGGCAGAAAGACTAAGGTCGTTAGCCTTTTGGAGTAATCCAATAAAGTTTATTTTATTATTATTATTAATTCCCATCTGCTATGGCCACACTGTGCTCCTGAATGAAAACTCAGGTAATTTTGTCAATTTTGAGTTTGAAATCAAGTAGAGAGCAAGTAGAATTAAATGCAGGAACTAAACTTGTACAAGTAATTTGAAGACTCTCCAGATTACTTTTACAAGTTGCCTAGTTCTTAATTCTATTTGCTCTCTACTTCATTTCAAATCAAAATCACCAAAATTCAAGTTACAAAGTTTTTACACTCAGGTGGCAATATTAATGATAATGCTTAAGCATATAAAATTTTATATAAGTATAATAATTTTTAAGTCAATGGTGGTTCTGCAGTTTTGTATGTCAGTGAGATCAGTGAGTTTTGGATTATTTGAAGTGTAAAATATTAATTAAATTATATTAAATATTATAAGTATTAGTAACCTTGCAGTCCCTATCGCAATCTTTAACCTTTTGGGCCAGGTTAACATTTTAGTAGGGTCTTTAATTTTTAATCTTTCTTCTAAGGAACCCCCAGCCATGTATTGGTATACCAGACAAGGATGATGTCCACTTATACTGTAACTAGAAAATATGTTTGTTATTATTGTAGATTATTTTAAATGAAATTATTATTATTTATATGAAGTTGGGAGTTTTTTTCTTACTTTTTTAATGTAACTCCAATTTAATAGTATGTAATAAACGTTACAAGATCAAAAAGTGACTCATAATGTTAAAGTATTGTTAAACATTTTATTTCATGCTTTATTTATTTATTATTATTAGGTTATTTTACAGTTTTTTAATATTATTTAAAAAATACAAAAAAATTTGCTTAATAAAATAATTATTTAAATAAAAAATAATAAAAACTGCTTTCCAAAATACTTTATTTTTCAGGTCAAGAAATTTTGTAGCTGGATTTTCCATAAAATTAGGAATGTAAAAACAAATTATAATAAAATTTACCAGAATTTTAATCTTATAAATAAAGGAATGTCCATATTTCTTTCACAGAAGTTAACCAAACTAACCATAGCTGATAAAGTTAAATAAATATGTGGGAAATCCCAATAAATTAAATCAATTTTGACTAAAAATCATCTTATCTAATTATCTCTCTAATTATAGTATAATATATATGTATATATATATATATATTTGATATTTATTTTTTAAATTTTAATTTTTTAGGACAAGAATTAATATTTTTGATATCTCTAATGGTTTAAGTGCAAGAAAATGTAATGTAATTTTAAAAATTGGTACCAACCATAAGGTAAAATAAATTTTTATTTCATCAAGACTTGAATAAAAAACAATTTATCAGAAAAATGTAAACTATTCAAAGTATTCAATACTATTCATTATGATTTTTTTGGGGTAATATTAAAATGCTTATCAAGTAAAACAAACCTAAATAACCAAAAGTACTTACCCATAGAGAGGTAAAATATTATCATGTCTATATGCATTAAGGCAATGCAATTCAGTAATAGTCTGTTTAATTTGTACACTTTCCCATTCAGGATTATTTTCTTTTTGCTCAATCCTCTTAATTGCCACCTCAGTACATTTCCATGTTCCTAAAATAATTAAATTTAAATTATAATTTAAATTTAAAGGTAGTCAAAGTCATTTACCTTTAAAAACTTTACCAAAACCACCAGCCCCTAAAATATTTGCATCATCCCAATTATTAGTAGCTGCTTTTAGATCATCATAAGGTATTTGTGGAATTGCCCCGGCAGATTCAGTAACACATGATATGTTTGAACCAGTTGACATTTTAGAGTTACGAGTCTAAAAATTAAATGTTAATTAAAAATTAAATTATATTTTTAACCTTACTGTAGGTCTTAGTAAATTTCCAATATCTGGCATTTGAACAGATTCATTGTAATCTCTAGTTTCACTGTGTTGCTGTACCGCAATCTTGGGCAAATTTAAAATTTTCTTTTCACTTTTATCAAAGTTTTCCCTTGGTATATGATTTACAGGTTCAGTATTATTAGTATAGCCTTTAATTAACGTGTGATATTTCGTATCGACTAAATCTTTAATAATTAACATGGCTTGGTAATGTTTCATTCGACTTAAGAGCATAAAAAGTTCCAACATTGTGTGATTCAAATGGCCCCATAAATTTAATAATTCGTCGGTTGGGGAGTTTCCTTTAACAACTTCGTTTCTTAGTTTCTAAAATTGGTTTACAGTTTAAAAGTTTTCTTTTACAAAGTTGCAAAACTTACCTTTATAGTTATTAAATCAAATTTCATGTGAATCCCACCCAATTCTTCCCATTTGTTATTCTGGTCCAAAACGTCGCATAACTGTTTTCTTTCCGCATAAGGCATGTTATAGACATACATGTTTAAGAAGAGTTATTCACCTTTCCCACAAAATAATAAACAAAACTTCACCAACAATTTTTTTTACTGAAGTAAAATAATTAACATTAGGTATTAAAAAATACTAACTATATTAAATGCACCATCAAGAACACTAGTGTTTTTCTGCAGTGCACCATACTAAAGTAAGTACAAAACACCACAGATTATTAAACACTGTGGAACAAAATAAACCTGTTGAATGAGGTTACCTAACCTAACTAAATAGTTTTGACAGTGCAGGGGCGAATTAAACCTGAATTCAGACGATTACCAGGTATTTTTTTTGTGTTATTATAATAACACTGTTATATGATATGATATAAAGTTTTTATAAACAAGACAATAGGTGTTTCGAATAAGTTGTTTCGAATTGAAATTTTAAACATTGATAGGCATAATGTCCCGATGTAAGTAGTTCCAATAGGCCAATGTAGCCAGATTGTGCATCAATGCGACGTTGCCAAGTTTGAAACAAATTTGCACCTTCAAAACAAGATTAAATAAATAATTAATGGCCACTTGCACCGTTTTCTCTAACTGATCAGTTAAATTAACTGCCAAGTTAAAAGGTAACAGGGGATTAGTGTACAAAATCTTGCACCGTGATTTTTTAACTATGGTTTAAAATTTAATTAGTAATCTAGGGAATTTGACTAAAAAATGGAAAAGATTGGTGCTAATAACTAACTTCACACTTATTTGTGACGCAAATATATTTTGACGTTAAGAGGACTCTTACTTTTAAAAAAACTATATTTGTAACTAACAATGATGGCACTAGAATAAAGAGAGTTTCATATAAGGGCCTCCCTCAAGGGTCGGTTCTTAGCCCCACCTTATTTAATATATATACCAGAGGAATAGACTCCCCCATTAATATAAAGTGCAAAATTCTCCAATATGCTGATGACATTGTAATACGAGGGTTGCCTTTTATATTTCGGGAATGGCCGAACCTGCTGATGCTATCGGACAACAGATGTCTGTATCGTTAAGTTCGACCTTTTAGACGGTGTTCTTACTTAAAACGTTTTGACGTGCGGGCGCAATTAGTATTATTAACAGTCACTTGAAAAATTAATGTCGGCCAAAAAAATGGAATTGACCCGTAAACATTTTCGTGCTATAATTTTTACAACTTTAACGTGGATTATCACAACAATAATGCATCGATGAACTTAATTTGACTTTTGGCGACAAAGTGCCATAAAAAACAAGTAAATATTGGTGGTGTTCCGAATTTAATCGTGGCCGTGGTTCGCTCACCGACGAATTTCGTGAAAGTCGTCCAAAATCACTCGTTCTTGCAAAAAACATTGATGCTGTGCGTGAACTGGTAATGCAAGATCTTCATGTGACATATCGTGAGATTGGGTCATCCTTGGGCATTAGTGGGACCAGCATACATTCAATATTAAATGAACATTTGGCCTTCAGAAAAAATTGTTACCGTTGGATCCCACATAATTTGACAATCGATCAAAAAAGGGCTCAGGTCTAGTGGTCAAAAGAAATGCTTAAAAAATACGATGGCGGTGCTTCAAAACATGTTCATGACATTGTAACAGGTGACGAATCATGGATCTATGCGTATGAACCTGAAAGTAAACAGCAGTCAAATGTGTGGGTCTTTAGAAGCGGTTGATGCATTCAAAATGCATGTTTTGGAGGTGCCTCAATCGAAGTGAAAAAAATGCTTCGAAAATTGGTTCAAGTGTATGCAAAAGTGTGTCAATCTTCATGGAGAATATTTTGAAAAACAATAAAGCCATGTACGATGATTAATTGTTGTTTGTTTTCTCTATTCCCGAAATATAAAAGGCAACCCTCGTATATACTAGTAATAATGATACTTCTCTCTCTAAATTCTACATTAACTATTCATTGGAAGCTCTAAATATATGGCTAATGGAGTTGGGTCTATCATTGAGTCCGGAAAAGTCTAAAGCAATCCTCTTTTCAAAATCAAAAATTCCTTCTCCAACTATCAGAATAAATGAATGCCAGATAGAGTTCGTAAAAGCATACAAGTTCCTGGGGATGTATCTTGAGAATGATCTTAGTTGGTCAACTCACATAAATAAATTAAGTGACTCCTGCACCAGAATTCTAAATACAATAAAAAGTTTGACTAGGGTATCTTGGAGTGGAGACCCGAAAACATTACTGACAATGTACAGGGGACTGATAAGATCCAGAATGGAATATGGGTGTTTCCTGTTCAACTCATGCAGAAAAGATCTTTTAACAAAATTAGATAGGATTCAATATTTGGCTCTGAGAACATGTCTGGGATTGATGAAGTCCTCTCCCACCAATTCCCTCCAAATTGAAGCTGGAGACCCTCCGCTAAATCTAAGAAGGCAATTTCTATCGGATAAATTTTTACTAAAAAGGCTAAGTAGGGAAAATGATCCTGTTATCACGGAGCTTCTTAAAATTAGAGACAAAGTCCTTAAAAATATCAAATCAAAATATTTTAAAAAACATTGTTTATTTAAATCATTGGAGACATATGAGGATAAGATTGACATGCTTTCCACAACTATTAGAATACCCATATTTTGCTTTGATTACTTCACTCAAATATCCAAAATCCCCGTAATCTTGGATTGGGGCGCTGATAAAAGTACAGACCCACTAATAATAAATAAATTATTCAATATTAAATTGGCTTCAGATTGGGCAGATTGCGTTCATATATACACTGACGGTTCTTTCCAAAAAAATTTAAATAGCACTTCTTTTGGCATATATATTCCTTCCTTAAAAATTGAAAAATCATTTAAAATAACCCACTTTGCCTCTATCTTTCTTGCAGAACAGATGGCAATTTTTTTTGCGTTAAAAATTTGTTTAAAAGATAAACTAAAAAAATTTATTATTTTCTCAGACTCTCTGAGCGTACTTAGACAGATAAAAAATAATCCATGGAACGGAAAATCTAACAACATTTCTTTAAGTATTAACCAGCTATACAACGATATTAAAGATTATGGGGGAAAAGGGGCTCTATGTTGGATCCCCGGTCACTCAGGGATTACGGGAAATGAAAGGGCAGATGCTATAGCCAAAGAAGCAGCAAACAAAAACACAGAAAAATATAAAATCCCTTCCTCAGAATTTTTCAAAGCCTCAAAAAAATTATTGTATAATAGCTGGCATAAACATTGGAAAGAATCGTCAGTGTATAAGGGGAAGAACTATGCTTTCCTGGAAAACAAATCCTGGAAAATTCCATGGTTTTACAACATAAATTTTACAAACAGAGAATATATTACAACAATAAGCAGAGTCAGAGTGGGTCATTGTTCCTATCCTGCACACCTCTGTAGAATAGGAGTAAAAGACGACCCACTATGTTCATGTGGAAAATTTGGCGATCTAGATCATCTCTTCTTTGAATGTAATAATAACAGAGCTAATATTAATTTGCTAATTAACTGCTTGCTATCCATAGGACACCATATGCCTTTTAATATTAAATCTATACTTGCATGTCCGCTTGTAGAATCCTATAGCTATATATTTAAATTTATTAAAAAATCTAACTTAAAGATATGATATGATTAACATCCTGGGATCCTCCTGGGGCGACCATCCTTTGTTTGTTTTGTTTTACCTTACCGACTTACAAAGAAGATACATCATTACCAAAAGAAACAAAGCACAACAGACACAATAGAACACTCGTGGCTGGTCAGTAAGAGTCAAGAAGACTCAAGACCAATTTTCTCCATATACCTACTCTGTGGAGAAAATAAATTGTTAAAGAAGAAGAAGAAGAAGAAGACGTTAAGAGCAGAGACTCTGTTAAGAGTTCGATTCTTTATAAATATATATGAGGAGCATCCGTGCAAAACCGGCTAAATCCATTTTATTCAGTTTTTGTTTTTTTTTTATTTCGCATCTTTGGGTTCATTTCTATCGACAACCAAGATAATTCTGTTCAAATTCAACTATATCCATGTTAAAATCACATTTAAAAGGTAGCTTTAGTAGCAAAACCGGCCAAATCCACGTTTTTATGACAAACCCGGCTATATCCAATAAATAATAATGATGATGAGCATGTGGATATGTCGTTACTACTACTAAAATTTGTTCAAGTTTGCACTAAATTTATTTTGTTAATATTTTTGAATAATATTATATTATATACCTAATGTTTTTTTTTCACATTTTATTCGTTTTTTATTCGGTTTTTGAGCAAAACGAGCTATATACAAAACATTTTTTGAAATTTTGGCCTTAATATAAAGTTTTTGAAAACGAAACTATGTCTTATAAATCAAGTACTACAAAGCCCTCAAAACTCAAGTTTGGTTTTTCTTTTATCTGTAAAGGCCAGGAAACCGAGAGTTTTTGCCATTTTCCCAACATTTTATTAAAGTGGATATAGCCGGTCATATAATCTGTGTAAGAAGATTATATATATTATATATAATAATAATATATTATATATATATATATATATATATATATATATATATATATAATCTTCTTAAATCTGTGGTTTGATTCGATGATAAAGATCTTTATCATCTGTGGTCAGAGCTGTTCCGAGTACAATGAAAAAATACTCGAGTACTGAATACAAGTACTCTTATATAAAAGTACTCGAGTACACTTTAGTTATGAAATGTTGGGAAAAATGCTAGAGAAATGGGGCGAATAAGAAATGAATTTAGAATCACTAGTGCAAAACTAAACACTAGCCGGCCTATTGCCTTTATCAAATATTGATATTTCGCTTTATGTTAATTATCAAGGCCGGCTAGTATCATGTTTCACTTTGCCTTAGCTTTATTTTTTTATTATCTTTTTGAGGAATATTGTCACCTTATTTCTACCAAAATATAAAAAAAATTACATTTCATACATAAGTAAAAACTTTATGTTCAATGCTCTTTTTTGTGTCTTTTTATTTATCGATTGAGGCTGTTTTAAGGCTGTCGTGTGAGTCAAGCTGGCTGATGCTGTCTCAGGCAGCATGTCCATAATTTGACAAGTCTGAGCAGTATTGCCAAATTTTCAACACCCACGCACATATGTGTCCACGCCAACCTCACTGCATAAAAATGTACTCATTGCATACTTTTATGTACTCGAGGGCACGTAAAAGTACTCGAGTACACGGGAAAGAACTCGAGTACACGGGAAAGTACTCGAGTACATTTTTGCAATCTTAAATGTATCAAGTACAAGTATAAGTACATTCAAATTAAAGTACTCGGGACTGAGTACCGAGTACACTGAAAGTACTTGGAGTACAGTGTTTGAGTACTTGTACTCGAGTACCGCACAGCTCTGTCTGTGGTTCGATTCTATTTCATATACGACCGATTCAGTTGATGGCAAGAGAGAATAATATGGATACAGAACCTGAAAAAAAGGGGGCGCTCCTCAAATTAATCTTGTGGATACAAGGGTATCATTGAAAACAAAGAGACAGATAGAGCTGAAACAATTAGAAAAATTAACAATAAAAAGGATGTAAAAGAAACGACTCTTTCGGATTTAAAAATTTTAGAAGAAAAAGAAAAACTTAATATATGTATTATAATAATAAACAAGAAGTGACCTTTTATTTTATTTTGATTTTAAATAAGTGGGTACCTATAAATTAAATAAGTATCTATAAATTAAATAAAACATCAAAAATATTATTCACATTAAATTTTATAAATTCGCAAAATAATCTTGTATTAATTGATTTTGAAACATAATACGATCTTGTGGATGAGTAACAACAGGGTACTCCAGTTTATGGCATTATTATCATCAGGCAATGGCGGCTTTGGTTTTTTCATGTCTCTAGCAATATTATACAGGGTGTTTCAGAATAAGGTGCTGAACTTTCAGCATAAGGTACCTTAAGGGTGTGAATCCTTAGTTGATTTTAAGAAAAAAAGTTCAAATAAACCTATGACCTAAACCTCTTAATTTTTGAGTTACAGGGTGTTAAAGTTTTAAGAAAAAAATCGTTTTTTTTTATCATAACTTTAATAACTTCCTAGATATTTTTATAAAATTTGGCACACACCTTCTAAGCGTTAACAGTAAGTTTTTGATGTAGAAGATTTTTTATTTTTTTTACCAGTGGCGTCCGTACAGGATGTGGTCTAGATATTTTTGGAAAAATATTATGCACGCCACTGCTATTTTTCAAAATAAAAATTATTTTTTAAATCCCCATTCATTTTAGGGCAAATTTGATTTCTTGACCATTTTTCGTACGACTAACGGTTTTCGATGAAAAAAATAAAAAGCATTTAATGCGCATATTGCCATGTGCCTATATTTCCTCGGGATTTTCCATCACGCTTAAATTTTTGCAAATGGTTTCTTCAAATGGTTACCGACAATCCCCAATTTGACGCCAAAATTTTATTTACGCTGAAGCTAATTTTTCCAGGAACGCCATAAGAAATTTTCACAACAATCATTTATGGACTGAAGAAAAACCGCATGCCATCACGGAATTCAACTACCAACAACAATTTTCTGTAAATGTATTGGCTGGAGTTATTGATGATTATTTACTTGGGCCTTATTTTCTACCAGGCAGATTGAATGAAAATAGTTATCGCCAGTTTCTTGAACAAATTTGCTAGACGACGTCCCTGCTTTTACCCGGCTTCATATGTGGTTTATGCACGATGGTGCACCTCCCCATTTCAGTCTCCAGGCACGGGAATTTTTAAATCAACATTTTAGAAATCGCTGGATAGGGCGCGGAGGAACACAATCGTGGCCACCTAGATCGCCAGACCTCCTATGGGGACATCTTAAGGCGTTGGTTTAGAGCACCCCAATAAATACTAAGGAGGAGTTAAGAAACCGCATAATAGTTTGTTGTGACACTATCAGAAATACTCCAGGAATTATCTAAGGGTACGAAACTCAATGAGGAGAAGAGCTGAAGCATGCATACTTGCAGGTGGTGGCCACTTTCGACAGCTAATCTAAATTATTATTGTTTTTGTTTACGTTATTTAATGTTAGTTCTTTTAAAATTATTTTATAATTAAATGTAATTTTAATGTTTATTTAATCATGGCATTGTTTTCTTAATATGCGCATTAAATGCTTTTTATTTTTTTCATCGAAAACCGTTAGTCGTACGAAAAATGGTCAAGAAATCAAATTTGCCCTAAAATGAATGGGGATTTAAAAAATAGCAGTGGCGTGCATAATAATTTTTCAAAAATATCTAGACCACATCATGTAGGGACGCCACTGGTTAAAAAAATAAAGAATCTTTTACATCAAAAACTTACTGTTAATGCTTAGAAGGCGTGTGGCAAATTTTATAAAAATATCTAGGAAGTTATTAAAGTTATGATTTTTTTTTAAAATCAACCAAGGATTCACACCCTTAAGGTTCAGAATCTTATTCTGAAACACCCTGTATAATATATATTGCATTTAAATTGTAATCTAAGATTAGTTTAAGAAGTGTTCTGTTTATTTATAAATTAATATTTTTTTGTGTTTACCTTAAATGGTAAAGTAAACAACAATTTATAAATCTATTATGATATATTCCATATTCGTTTAATAATAAAATAATAATATAATCCTGTAGGAGGGGGGTCTGTAATTAATTATAAATATAACATGTACGTTAAACTGAAATTGCTAGAGGTCAGGCAGAAATACATACAATACAAGTGCCGCGAACAATATGAATTCTATAGTGGAAAAAATAGCGAAAAACATCCCGTTGGCTGAGTACGATGTGGAGTATGGCGAAGGTAATGAAAAAGGGGAGGGATATTTGGGCGAAATGGCGTTCGTAAAAATTACAGCAAAGGGAAATGGAAAAACTTACAACGTTGCAATCAAACGAGCTTTCACCAATCAGTCGATCCGGGAAGAGATGCATATTAGGGACGTGTATTTAAATGAAGTGTTATTCTACAAGGAGTGCTTTCCTGTTTTACAGCAATTACAAAGTGAGCTGGATTTGCCAAAATTTAATAATGCCCCGAAGTGTTTTTATACAAGCACTGAACCCGAAAACGAATATATCGCAATGGAAAATTTAAGGGCATCAGGCTTCGAACTTTATCCCAAAGAAAAAATTGTACCATACGACCATTTCGAATTTATTTTTAAAATTTACGCTAACCTACACGCAACCTCCGTCGTATTAAGAAAAACCCAACCCGAAAAGTTCGAAAAACTCGCTTCCAATTTTAAAGAAGTAGCTACGAAAAGCTTCGATAATCCTAACTTTAATAATTTATGGGGAACTATGTTTAAACAAACAGGGGAAAAACTAATACCTGGTCAAGACGATGAAGCTATAAAAGCATATGAAAAAAAATATTTCAACAACGGAATTTCCCATTTTATGGACTCTTGGAAATATCATGGACAAGACCCTGTTATAAATCATGGAGATTGCTGGAGCAACAATATGATGTTTAAATATAACGTAAGAATAAAGTTTTAACAAGATTCCTATGATAAGTAATAAAATTAATTGTTTGTCCTTGTTGCATGTGCAGAACTTTAAGCATAATTCGAGTAACTATCATTTAAACAAATTACCAAATCACCCCATATTTTTAATAAAAATGCATAAACAATTTAAAAAAATGTTGGTCTGTTTGCAAAAAAATAATGAAAATAAATATTAATTTTTTATTTTAGGAACAAAGAGAACTTGTAGACCTAAAACTATTAGACTGGCAACTACTAAAACTAGGATCGCCAGTCCATGATTTATCGTTCTGCTTGTACTCAGGAGGTTCAAATGCCACTTTCAATAGACTGGACGAGCTTCTCAAAGTCTACTACAAAACTTTTAGTGATGTTTTGGAAAAATCTGGTCTGAATTCCGAAAAAGTCTACCCGTATTCCTTGCTGAAAGAAGAATGGAAAGAATATGGCAACTTTGGTTGGCTCATGAGCTTAATGATAATTAAAATAAAGTTAACAAACCAAGAGGACAAAGTTGATTTAACGGATCTAAACAATAGTGATGATCAGGAAGAAATTAATATGAAAATAATAGAAGGAACACCGTCTGAAGCTTACGATAGAAGAATAAGGGAATTGCTCCTTCATGTACACAAAATTGGAGCTATGTGAATTATTAATTTTAAAAAAGTATTAATTAAGACAAATTGTTTTGAAAAAAAAAAACCAAAAATGTTTATTTATTTATTATTGTACTGAGTAAAAAAATGTAAATTGCACTCAAACTAGATCAAGACATAGTTGGCTTTAATACATTAATACACAAGGTTATTTTTATTGCATTTTGTAAAAAAAATTAATGTTAATAAATTCAATCTTTAAAGATTTAAATTTAAATATTGTATCTGCCTCGGTATATATGCTCCTTCATTGCATTAGGGTGGAGTGAAATACATAATGGTATCCTATATTGCCTATATTGGCTGAGAAAAACACTGCCGACTATTTTAGAAAATAAAAATTATTTAACCCAAAATGTAAGGCAACTTGCCATTGTAAATTTGGTTTAAAAAAATCATATTATTAAAAAAAGGTTAGTATGAAATAAAATAAAAAAAAATTAAAATAAAGTTAAATTTAACAGCAAAAATAGACGTATATCAAACGTTCAGGCAAGATATTAGTTTGTAGTAAAGTTTACCTAAAAGACATTTACAAAGTTTTAGAAAAAATGTTAAAGTTGCTAAGACAACACGGGATGTTATCGTTTAATATTGCTAAACATCTCTTTTAAAGCTCATGTCTTAAATTAATGCATATCTTCTAGCGTGACATTGAAAAATTAATGATTTTTTTTCTCATATGCAATTATGTCTGAATTGCCATATGAATATTTGTTAACTTTTACCGCACAGTTTTGCAATAATAATAATTACAATAAATTTATTAATCCCATAGGCTACAAGTATAGATCTATAGAAGAGACAAGTCAATATAAAGTTAAAAAACAGGGTGTTTCAGAATAAGATGCTGAACCTTAAGGGTGTGAATCCTTAGTTGATTTTAAGAAAAAAAGTTCAAATAAACCTATGACCTAAGTGTTAAGAAAAAAATCGTTTTTTTATCATAACTTTAATAACTTATTTAGATATTTTTATAAAATTTGACACACGCATTCTAAGCATTAACAGTAAGTTTTCGATGTAGAAGATTTTTTATTTTTTTTACCAGTGGCGTCCGTACAGCCCAGACTGCAATGAAGGTTCGAAAATATTCCAGGAATATTCCGTATCGCCTAGGAATATTCCGCTTCATTCTAGGAATATTCATTGGGAATATTCCTAGAATAATCCTCTAAAACTTCCAAGCATCATCTAAGAATATTCCCAGTGAATATTCATTAGTTTAGTTGCAATACCTCTCACCGTTGCTTACGCACGCTTGATAACTATATATACCGATAGGTTAATAATATTAGTTGGAGATGTGCGTCTGTGATGGCACAGCCAAACAATGATTAGAGTGGGACTGATCTACTCAGTAACTCAATAATGGCTATACTTAAGTTAAGTTCCTGGGTATAAGAGGCAATATGGGCTGGGAATAATCCCCAAATTATATCAAGGAATATTCCCCTAATAATCCTTGAGTCTTCTGCAGGCAGATATATGGAATATTCTTTTTATGATGCCTGGGTTAATCAAAAAGCGGACATTTGATTATGCCAGGAATATTCCTGGGAATATTCTGGGACGATTGGAATATTCCTGGGAATATTCCTGGCATGTGCAGGGAATGTGATTTTGCGGTCTGGGAGGATGTTGTCTAGATATTTTTGGAAAAATATTATGCACGCTACTGCTATTTTTCAAAATTATGTTTTAAATCCCCATTCATTTTAGGGCAAATTTGATTTCTTGACCATTTTTTTGGATGAAAAGAATAAAAAGCATTTAATGCGCATATTGCCATGTGCCTATAATTTCTGAAAAAGAGGCTATAAACTTTGTTGTTAAGGAAACAAGAATGACAAAATAAATAATTTTTAACAGTTTTGACAGATATTTAAGTACACGGCTTTTTACTTAAAATTTAAAAACGTAACACCTTTTAAACGTATAATTATACTTATAATTATACAATGGTAAATTTTACAAATGCTGAGTTTGCTGATATGCATTACATGTACGGCTGACGGCAATGCATTTGATACCAAGAGCGTTATCCAAATAAAATAGTTCCGGATGCACGCACGATTTCAGGAAATCACAGAAAGTTATGTAAAGCGGGATCTTTTAAAACAAACAACTACCTGAAAGGGGCACACCATACTGCACGAACACCGGAAACCGAAGAAGCTGTTTTATATTTAGTGGATCAAAACCCTGAAATAAGTATATTTTAAATATTACTCATGTTCTAGTATGGAGAATTATTCATGATTATTTGTTATATCCTTACCATATTCAACGGGTCCAGGCCCTACTTCCTCGGGATTTTCCATTACGCTTAAATTTTTGCCAACGGTTTCTTCAAATGGTTACCGACAATCCCCAATTTGACGCCAAAATTTTATTTACGGACGAAGCTAATTTTTCCAGGAAAGCCATAAGAAATTTTCACAACAATCATTTATGGACTGAAGAAAACCCGCATGCCATCACGCGTGCACGGAATTTAACTACCAACAACAATTTTCTGTAAACGTATGGGCTGGAATTATTGGTGATTATTTACTTGGACCTTATTTTCTACCAGGCAGATTAAACGGAAATAGTTATCGTCAGTTTCTTGAACAGAGTTTACCAAATTTGCTAGACGACGTCCCTGCTTTTACCCGGCTTCATATGTGGTTTATGCACTATGGTGCACCTCCCCATTTCAGTCTCCAGGCACGGGAATTTTTAAATCAATATTATAGAAATTGCTGGATAGGGCGCGAAGGAACACAATCGTGGCCACCTAGATCGCCAGACCTCCTATGGGGACATCCTTAGGCGTTGGTTACATCACCCCAATAAATAGTGAGGAGGAGTTGAGAAACCGCATAATAGTTTGTTGTGACACTATCAGAAATACTCCAGGAATTATCTAAGGGTACGAAACTTAATGAGGAGAAGAGCTGAAGCATGCATACTTGCAGGTGGTGGCCACTTTCAACCTGTTTTAGTTTACGTTATTTAATGTTAGTTCTTTTAAAATTATTTTATAATTAAATTTAATTTATGAAAAATAAACCTGTGTTAAAAAATAAACCACTGTTAAACTTACGGTGCAAGTGGCCATAATTGATTTATTAATAATATTTTATAATATCATTTATCAAAAACTTAATCAGTACTGATACTTGAAAAAGGACAACTTTGGTAATATGTTGAACAAATATTAGAAAATATAATAATATTTGTTTAAATGAGTACTGTCGAATCAAAGGCGGACAAGACCCCCAGCTAGCACAAGTCTGTCCTAAGGACGTCCTAAGGAAAGCCTTACAGGATATTGGGATATCCCAAGGATATCCTAGGACGTCAGACCTCCTCAGGACATCCCAACCATGGCCGAGTGGTGCAAAAAAGGCCAGCCTACAGACGTCCCGCAAATGGCCTTTAGGATATCCTAGGGATATCCCTAGGTCCATATAGGTCCAGGAATAGGACATCCTAAGGATGTCCCCTGAAAGTATATGTAGGTCCAGGAATGGGATGTCCTGAGGACATCCTCCGAATGGCCTTGTTATTTGTTAGGGATACATTTTAAATAATCAAATACCATTTTATTACTTTATAAAATATATTATTTTAATTCTGTATACTTATATATAATACACAGCCAATTATATAAAATAAAAAATAAACACCTATTATAAAAGTAAAATAAATAATAATTCTAAATAAATATAATAGTTATATTATTTATATATACACAGTGTCCAAAGTTATCTGCTCACCATTTTAACTCCATTATTATTGCAGCTACAAAGTCGGTTAAATTAGGAAATTAGTGGCATTTTTTCTTCTGATTAAAATCCTTCGGAGGGGACTTTAAGCCGTCGGTCCGTTCCTACCCCTAACCCGCACAAGCCATTTAGTTGGCTTATGGGACATCTTAGTTTGGATGTAAGGGTGGAACTAAAAGAGCACTTTATAACTTTTATAACTGAAACTTTCTGATTGTTGTTGAAATATCCAAATTTTAACAATCAGAAAGTGCCTATTAATTGTTTATTTTTAAGTTAAGGGTAGTAATGCCATAATAATTTGTTGTTCCAAATTAAATTAGTATTTAAGGTTTATTTCGAAGAGAACACTATAATAATATTATATTATAAAAAACACACTTGGAGAACACGAGATTCACGGCCTTTAACCAGGTTCACGGCACAGACAAAGAATTCCTTTCACAGTGTTATCCTTTTATATCCTTTTTCTATGGTGTTATCTATGATTCTTTCTAACAAAAAGGAGCCAAACAACTAAAGGACGCTATACGTCATCTTAGCTTTCTCTCCATCCAGTGATACCACCATAGACAATGGTTACCACCATAACGTATGGCGGCAAATTTAAAACAATCGGTAACACAAACTATTAAATAAGTTATAGATTGCGTTTTAAGGTTAACTGACGCTTACTACCTTATTTATTATTTATAAAACTCTAAATGTATCAATACCTTACAAACAAGGTGTTTGAACAATTATTAATTACCAGCCGTTATTTCTGCGCATGCGTATTAAGTTGGCTGCTATCCAGTTGTATACAAAATATATTTTGTGGTCATATAACAAATACACAAAATATAATATTGTTTTTAAACTCCTGCCTTTAAAACGCCGATTATCGTACATGTTTCTATGATATTTTAAATACACATTGACAAGTTGTGGCTTTATGGCGTTTTAGTCACGGGCTGAAGTTGGCAGCAATGGCATTCGGACTTTTTAGTCATGGGTTGAAGTTAATTGCAGTTGTCAACTGCGAAACAATGACCATCAAAATAAAGGGTCTAAAAAGTGAGGTTAGAATAGACTGGTCGATGTCAGATTTTATAAATAATTATTTATATATAATTGTTGAAAGTTATTTAATTTTTGTGATTGTCGTAGAAAAAATATAGTATGCAAGTCGTTTATAAACTTAAAAAAATCTATATAATATAGTTTTATAATTATATTGATTGACATTTTTAAGATGTGCCTATGCAAAATAAGTTAAGTAAAAAAATGTAGGTATTATTAATTATATGGATAAAATATTCTTATAGAAAAATGTGCATACTGGTACTACTGGTACTTGGTCAAATGTTTACCAAAACCTAACGGGACATTCTGAGGATGTCTCTGGGATTAGTCCTATGATCAGCCCATTTTAGGCTTTAATTAGGATATTAT